TTTTCAGTAAATGCCTCCTTTGCTGTCAGATCTCCTCCTACATACCAAACAGAGCAGACAGATGAAGGCCTGCTGATCAAATGCCACCTGGCTGCTGTCATGTACAATGTGTTAGCGCCCCCTCTTGGTGCTTTAGATCACAACATCTACAAACCATTTCAATCATCTTATGCATCCCAGAACTTTCATCATTAAAATAGTTTCTTCCTGCCAGAAAACTGCTGCTATCACACGAATCTAACTCATCATGATATACGTTTCATTTCCTTGTTGCCTTTAGCAGAAAATGATCCCAGTCTGCCCAATCTCTGATCCTCATCTCAGAATAATCATCCAACTCAATCCAGTTACCTTAATTTCAGAGTTTATGTAAAAGAGTGACGTGTGGTGGAGGCTCACAGGCTGGAGGATGGTAGTCCGTTTATTCTGTGCTGATCTGCAAAGAGACTTCAACAGCTAAGAGCTGTCAGTCACACAAACTCACTCTCTCGGTGACAATCAAGTTAATTAAAGTGGTTTAACAATCAGGTACTCAGAGAAAGGCGGAATCAGTCGCCCTCGGGCCAAGCACTTTCAGTCTTAATCAGACGCATTAATTAAACTTCATTTCTTCAATTTGCCCAAAGACTTAACCTTTTGCTCTGAGATGCGTGTGTGAGAAGGTGTCAGCAGTACTGACGCCATGTTTCAGATTGCAAAATAGATTCCAAGGTCTGATGTGACTGCTTGAAAGAACGCACATGCATACTGTAAAGATTTTATTAGAACTACCATTGGGGGATCATATCTAACATCGTATTTTTTTAATTTATGTTTTAAATTATTTTAGTAAAAGTTAATATGTCTTGAAGACATGTGTTATGTATAATGTTGAGCGTCAGCCTGACGAAGTTTGCAGCCGCACACGAAACGTTGCAGGTAAATAAAACCTGCGTTTTAAAGAGAACTAAAAGATGGAGTGTATAATGTGTTATGGTCTACACCTCATGATTGTTTTAATGTGTGTTTCTTCTCTGTGCAGGTTGGCTGTGGCTCTTCCTGCAATTCCTACCCCTCTGTGGAGCACCGGGGAGTGCCACAGCTGACTGCAATATCCTGATTGCTACACCATGTATTTAAGCAGCTGTTCCCAGCACATGGTGTGGCATTGTTGTGTAGTGTTGCTTTGAGTCTGTGGATCATCATCATCATCATCATCATCATCAGTAGTTTTTGTTTCAAGTGAAACCTGTTAAGTCCTTTTTCCCACTTATGTGGTGATTTTTTGTTATTAAAAGAACTCGGAACTGGATCGAGTCATCCTGCATTTGGGTTTATTCCTGTGTACCCTCGCGTGACATAATGTTGAAGAAACTGATCACAGCCATGTTTTATTTCGAAGGTTAATAGTTTGATCAAGGTTTGTCAAAAGCAGGAATTTGTTGTTGGACACATTTGACGTATTTGTCATTCAACAGCATTAGAGACAGGTCAGAGCCCATGAGCCTCACAGCCTCAGAAGCTGTTCCTATGCCTTGTTGTCAGGGCTTTGAGGCTTCTTCCATATTACCTCCAAAGGAAAGGGGGTGAAAAGATCATGCACAAGATGAGTGAGCTCTGTTATTGTCTTCTTTTCTCCAATTCTGCATCTACTGGTGTAAATGCACTCTCCCTCTGAAGTCCCCCCACCATCTGTTTTGTCTGACAGGCTGATGTGACTTGAACCATTCTGAAAGCTCTTCTTCTGATCCATCAACATTTCTATTCTGGAGATCAACCAACAATAGTGTATCTTCAGCAAACTCCGCAATAATATTCTCATTCTCAATATGCAAATCTTGCAATTTTCCATTAGATTAGCATCAGATTTAACCACAAAAACAAAAAAACCTATAACATCTCAACATTAGACGATCTTACTTCAAAACTCCTGTATAAAAATCAGTAAGCGATGAATATTTGTTCAACAAAACTACAGAATGAAACATGAGTTGTCATGAACTATGTGCACTCTGTTATTTCAGTGTATCTTTCTGCATTATTTGCAGCCCTCACAGCACAGGAAACGACTTTTGCCAAGGACACTGATACAATCTCATGTCATCACAAACCCTGACTGTCTGGATGGTCCTTTTTTGTTTTTGATCCAAAGCTCACCGTGTCCATTTCTTATAAAAGATCTGGAATTCAGATTTGTCTGACCACAAAACACACTTTCAGTGACTGATGGTTTGTGATATCGGACTATACCAGCTGTCCATGAATGATGGATCTCAATGTGTTAACACCTAAGAGACTAAGGCACACAGATGCCCATTTCTGGCTTGTCTTTTGGTCATCAAATCAGAGAAATAATCTAAATTAATTAGGGGTCGGCCCCTGAAATGCATAGGGAGAACGTGCATGGCCTGTTTTCCTATGAAAGTATTTCACTGGCGGCAACTACTATTCTTCACTGGACGACAACAGCCTTCATATTTGTGAGTCAAGATTGGTGTGCCCATGAATGCTAATTGATGGTGACGTAAATCTGTGAGGATATACAAATCCTAGATTTCCACCATCTACTTTCAATCAGAAGCTAATGCTGGAGATAGGCGTAGGAGACTATTTTCATGCTCAGCCTGCATGAAACACTCAACGACTGATTAATCAGAAAAAACATCAAGATAATGTTTTTTTCAGTCACCCACACCTTTAACACTTCAGCTTAAAATGTACTTCCTCATTCAACATTTTTATTAACTTCTCAAATTTCTGTTTGAAATCTTTACATTTTTAACTTTATTTAGTTTGTCTTATTTAAATAACTCAATTATTATACAAACAATTTGAAACACCTTATCTTAGCTACTACTGAGTTACTACTGAACACCCCCTCCCTGCTATCTGATTGGCTGAAAGTCTTCAAGCTTCTGCTGCCTGAACAAAAGGCTGCACCTGCACACATAATGTATCAAATAGACCGACAGTCTGGAAATGTGGGAATTTACTTTTAAATGCAATCTGAGTTATACAGCAATGAAAACTTTCTGAGCTTCCTGTATCGACACAGTTGATAGCCATGTCATTTAACCCTCTCAGGCTCAAAATAAGTTTTGATAAAAGGATGAACAACTAAGTCGTTCAGAGGTAGTTCTGAGTAAAAAAAAATGCTCAAGAAATACTTAAGTGGAGTAACCAGGTAGGTAGGTTTTAACGATACAAATCTGCAGCATCTGCCTCCAGCGGGTTAAAATATCAAAAGGGTCAATGAACATTACCATATCATACAAGCTTTATTTACCACTTAAAACACCCACAGGACCGAAGTGCTGAACACAAATAAAACATGCATCAAATGACATAATCAAAAGGTAAAAATCTCACCGTTCAGCCCTGTATAAACAATTTGTAAAATTTACACAAAATTATTAAATAAAAGCTAAGAGAAACTTAAAAATCAACATCAGATGGAGCCAAAACTCTGGGAGAATAAATGGGTTTTCAGGAGGGGTTTAAAGTCAGACAAGGAAGAAGCCTGTCTGATGTCCAGAAGAAGGTCATTCCATAATTTAGAAGCTCCCACAACAAAAGCATGGTCTCCTCTAACTAAATGAAGCAACTTTCTATAGCTATTAACATGGCAAGACACGCCAAAACCCCCCAATGGAGTGACTATGTCACGATGAGAGGATGGTTTGGACCCAAAATGCAGATACCCAGGATGACGCGTGGCAGGAGTTGATATAAAGAAAATCCTTTTATTTTAGGATGAGTCCAAAATAGAATTAAATCCAAAAAGGCAGGGAGCCAAAAACCAAAGATCCAGGAACAGGAGAAAAAAACTCACTTAGAGCACAGACTGGGAACGAGACCGGAAACTTACACAGAACACCAGAACACCGCTGACAAACAACAATGGACCGACCAGACACAGAGACAAGACAGGGCTTAAATACACTGGGGCATAATGGGAGGCAGATAAGCTGCAGGTGTGTGGAGTGTGGGGGGAGGACCAGGTGAAAGCAATGACTAATCAGGGAAGAAACTAACATGACCTAAGAGTGAACCTAAAAACAGAAAAGCAACCATATAACTACAATTCTAAAGGGAAGGAGAACTGCAAAAACCGGTGGGACAAAACATATTAAAGAGACTAATAAAAATGAAAAGCTGAAACTGTAAACACTGCAGAGGGATGACTGGCTGCAGAGGGGTGACTGGAGAAGACTAAAGGAACACAGGAGACACATAAATGAGATGCAGACAAAGGACACATGAGGGCGCTATGAAACACAAAAGGAGAACCTGGAGCGGGAACTGGAGGGGCTGGGGAACAAAGGGACACAGAACATGACAGACTAAGAAAATCCAGCTAATGACTTACTGCTGTTTCCAAGCTGAGTGTAGCAATAAGCTTCAACCTAGAAACGATATTCAAAATTTAAATGGGTCGGTCACAAGACATTGGGCTCCAACACATTGAAGCAACCACCCACCGCATCCAACTCAGGGTTTAATGTTTGAGAATCTCAGCTTTTTTTGTGTTTTTCCATAAGGTCACAGATTTGTCTAATTTAGAGCTGTAAATGAGAAGCAGTCACTTTGAAATGATTTTCTTCTCACAGATAAATTGTTGCGTTTGTGACACCTTAGATTAAGCTTTTGCAAATAAATATATAATTACGAAACAAAATGAAGTAAATATGTCGAAGGAAACAAGACTTTTAGCAGTTTTTATTTTTCTAAGCTTGACTAACCAGTCACGTCAAAACAAATTCTACCTAAAAAGCCTTGGTGCTGCTCTTTTGGCATCTTAACCTTTTTGTGTGTTAGCCGATGCCGAGCACAGCAACTCAGTCAATCTCAACCTCAGGGACTCGAAAATGCAGTTTATGAATCATGCAAACCCAAAGCTAAAGTGTAAAATCACTCATTTGTTCCATTTTTTCCATGGATTGAAAACGTTGGACAGTTGACGCCAAACGCAACATGAAGAATTGGAATTTTTCTACCTTGTAATGATTTCAGGCACTCCTCTCAGATCCTGTGAATAAAAAGAAGATTGGGAGCTGAAGTGAAGGCTTGGAAAGGGGAGAACTGTGGAAAAAGAGATGAAAAAGTGCAGATTCATCTTATGGAAATGCTGTAATTCAATTCCTGTGAGGGATCTCACTTCCTGGAAAGCGTCAGGTCTGCACACACACACACACGTACAATGTGTTTCTCAAGGTGCAATTCCTTCTTTCTTATCAGAGTTGTAAAGACTTGTGTAAGGTCACCACACCTCAACAGGAGCAGCTGGGCTTCTGAAGTTTATTAAACTGAAAGATTTGAGAGGATTCAAAGCTAAAAAGCAGACGTGAAGATTGGATTTCTCCAGGTAAGTGTTAAAAACAGAACCATTTTTCTGTCCAGGAGGAAGAAGAGTCAGTCAGTTGGTAAAAGCTTAAATTATACACAACTTTTATGATCATAATTGTGGTTTGGTGCTCTGTGGTCAAAGTTAAATGTAAACTTCCTTCAAACCCAAAGTGTGCCTGTAATAGCTAACCTGTAATAGCTAACCTGTTATAGCTAACCTGTAATAGCTAACCTGTTCCCCCAGTTCAGGTGTATAAATACACATCTGGAAAAGGGAACAAGGTCAAAGTTTTATGTGAATAGCAAATTTCTCACAAAGAAAATCTGTCACTGAAGATATTTAGTTTCAAAATTCAAAAGGATTTTTGTCCTCCAGCTGCGTGTAGGAATCTTCTACAGGCCTGAACAAGCCTCACAGTATATGCTGCATCAACACCATCTGTGAGCTTTGCATAGGAGCTGAAAATGTCAACCAGCTACTCTACTTTGGTTGGGTCTTTAGAAGGTTCTTTCATAGACAAACAGTTCAGATGTCTTTGCACAATAACTCAATGATGTTTCAACCCTAACCCAGACAACAGTGAGTCTCAGTGAAATGTTTTAGCTATAGCATGGCTGCAATAAAAATGCTGTTGCACATGTTAGCAAACTACTGCTTAAGAAAATATTCATTGTGCTGTTGTAATGCATTTACAAACACGACAAAGAATCATCTGGACATGCTAATGTGCAGCTGAAGGGTTGTTCTGCTTATGTGTACAGAAGATGAGCAGTCGGATAAGTGCTGGTGATCAATGAAAGTTATCACTAAAACTGTGAAAAGAGCAGCACAATCACAAAACGTCCACTGTTGGTGAATGTTTGTGTGTTTATGAGGAATGAAATGCACAAACGTTTAAGAATTTTTGGTATATAAACAAATAAAATTACAAATTGATCTGTTCTTGCATTGACGAGTGGAGAAGGTACTAAAGAGATTAGCTGCAGAAACATCTTTACTCTTAACTCCCATCCTGAGAGCTTTCTATTTTTTCCCTCAGATCAAAGGTGTCCCATCACAGCACCATCATGACTAAACCAACAACAGGTGAGATGCTTAACAGGACATCACACTCAGTTTCATCTTTTAAATCACATCCTAACTAAACCCCTCAAGAACATGATAAATGACTACATTTGTGGTGGCCGGTAGAGATTTCAGCTGCTTGTGTGGACGGGAAAAAGGCTGTTAAAACAGAGGCCAACAGAGACTGTCTGGTGGAACAGAGCAGAAGGAAAATAAACACGAGTTTCTTTGTCAAATGCTTAAAGTCTGTGTCTGCAGAGAGGTTTTCTTCTCTTCCGTTTTTAAAAACACCATCACAACTGAGGAAGAAATAATTACACGCCTGTGAAGTTTTGTGACTGAGATCAAGATAAAGTTCGAGTTTAGGATGGATGCGGCGGGAAGTAAAATGATGTGCCCCTTTCTTTTTGACTCAACGGCTAATTGACAATTGAGCCGGTGTAGTCACATGTCAAGGTTGCTGGCAATTACACACACACACACACACACACACACACACACACACACACACACACACACACACGCACGTTCAGACCTGAAGACATTTGTATCTGAGCTGATAAACATTTAGAGGCTTTCTTTCCTTTATTAAAATTGTGTCAAATAAAGATTAAAAAAATGCTCCTGAATGCTCACTTTAGTGTATAGTTGATGCTGTGTGCATTTACAAGTGATGTATTAGGTCTAGAGCAGCAGTTAAATCTAAACAGATGAAGCTCATTGTTCGATGGGAATATTTGCCGGATTTATCACGCTGCCTTTTTTTTTCAGATGACATTTACGCCTACGCTCTGTCCAAGACCCTGACAAAGGTTTCGGCTCCAGCGACCGTAGGGCTCTACTCTCCCTGTCAGGATCGCATTAACCTGATCCTGGAACAAATGGAAGGTATACAGTTCAAACGGTACATCTGACTCTGCAGATTGTTGCTTAAGCAGGTACTTGAACCCCGTGTCAATGATGAGTCTGTGGGTGGGCTCGATGATATGCAGGGATGCAGCTTTTTATCTCTGATGACTTGCATGCTCGCCGTAGTGATGGCCCCCTCTCTGTAGCTGTGAAGATGATGAGTGAAGTGTAATAACAATTTCACTTCACACTAAGAGAAAACTTCTAAATATCTGAGAGAATCACTTCCTGATTCCTCAGTTCTCCAGCTGCCTCTTGAGTTGGCCGAACCAGGAGGCAGCTGGAGAACTGAGGAATCAGGAAGTGATCCCTGTACTTATTAAATGTTGCTTACAAATTTAGACAAATCACGATTTGACACGTTTAAAGGCATTACCAAAGACCTCAGAGATCACGCCTTCACTCAGATACTTAGAGATTATCTCTTAGTGTAAAGTGAAAATCTTCTTGGCAACAAGGTCGTAGAACAGTGTTTTTACAGGTTTGGAGACCAGCACAGTTAAGATGTGTCAGGACGTGTGATGCAGTTTGTGCCTGCAAATCAAAAAATTAATTCTGGTCACTTTGATAAAATATTTGGCCTTTGGGATATGAAGTCAAGAGCTAACTGTGTGTGTTGGGAGATTAGTTAGCCTCTTGACAGTAGCAAATAGGACATGAGAATTGTTGATATTGTAGCATCCCAAAAGGCCAAATATTTAATCAAAATGACCAGAAATTAACTTTTCCATTAAGTAAGTGACTTATTTCCTTACTTTCAAGTAACTAAGTGACTTTGTATCCTTTTTCAATGAAAAAATCATAAACATCAGGTTGGACACTCATTCCTCCTTATCCTCATTACCAACCAACACAACCAGACCACAGCTACAGCCACACAGCAAAAATCTGGCTAGAATACCAGCTTTCAGAGTGATTAGTGCTAAAACACTGGAGGACATAGTAAATACCTTAAATTCACCTACCTGCTGTCTGGACACCCAGTCAACTAACTTCTTTAAAATGTTTTCAGTTGCCTGATGTTGCGATGAGGGGAAGGTAGGACCCAAAATGCAGATTACCCAGACGACAAGAGGCAGGAGTTGGTAAAAAGTAAAAATCCTTTTATTGGCAGGATGAAACAAAATAAATCCACAAGGCAGTGAGCCAAAAATCCAAAAACCCTGGTAACTAGAACAAAAGCTCACTTAGAGCACAAAGTCCAAAAGTCCTGGAACTCAGGACACCGTAAGCTCACTTAGAGCACCAAAACCTGGAGACATAAAGCTTACACAGAGCACGAACAACGCTGACAACAATAATGGACCGACAACCACACAGAGACAAGACAGGGCTTATACAGACTGGGAAGATGAGAGGGAGATGAATTGCAGGTGTGTGGGGAGAGGGACCAGGTGAACACAATTACTAACTCGGGGAGGAGGAAGAAAACACTGGTGGTAAAAAACACATTAACCCTCTGATGCATGAATTATGAAATCTTCAACTATGATTTTTTTAACAATTTTTTTCATTCATCTTTAGGTGTGGATGAAACAAATTTCAACAAATATTTTTTGTAAAATTTTACAATTTACAAATAATTTATTACATGTCCATCTCAGTGGACAGTGTGCATTCTGAGCATGAAATATGTTGGCTTGGCTTACTGAAGTCCAAATGGAGGGGCTCTCATGCAATAAAGTCTTCAACAGCTGTGCATAATAGCAAAAACAAATAAATAACAATTTTGAGTACCTGTCCACTGTAGTGACCATTATGCATCAAAGGGTTAAATAATGAAAGGCTGTAACAAAGGAAAATGACCTAAGAGAAAAACAAAAGACCAGAAGGCATGAACCATCACTAATATTCTAAGGGGACGCTGACAGTAAAGGAAAACACTACAGAAAGAAACTACAGGGACGTGGCTAAGAGGGGGCCAAGAGAGCACAGGACCTGGGAGAGGGATGTCTGAGGAGGGAAACCTAGAGGGCAAATGGGGAACACCAGGAGACACATGAGGAAGACGCAGACATCAAATCAACTTCAACTTTATTTATATAGCACTTTTCATACCAAAAATGCAACTCAAAGTGCTTTACAGATTAAAATGGCCCCATAGATCCCACATTCCCATCCCAGCCCCCCTCCCCAAGTATAAAACAATTAAAAATTACAGTTCCCCTCCCGCACCCAACTTCCAAAGTGGACATACAATCACCCGCACACTCGTCCATGCACACACACACACACACGCACACACACACACTCGTGAACACCAGAGGAAACAATAGGCTGAGTTCAAATGGGTCAGGTAATGAACGACACATCATCAGCGGAGCCATCTGCCCTGGCAGCAACAGATCCACGGCAGCAGCCAAGACACCGGCCCATGACGCCCAGTGGCGTACGGCAGAAACCCCCACCAGTGCCCGGGCACTACCCGGGGAGCGCCCTGGCCGCCGCCGCCCCTGACCACCGGCCCCAAGGCAGAGGGCTCCGCAGAGGAAACACTGGAGGATTTAAGATATATAACATATAAAATAATAAAAGCTAATAATGATAAAAAGTAACTGATAAAAAGTGATTATAAAGATAGTAAAAGAAAACATAATCATGTAAAAACACTAAGATGTAGATAAAATGATGAAAATAATAAAAGAGATAAATATGTATTTATAGATAAATAGTGATCAGTTAAAAGCTAAGCTAAAAAGGTGGGTCTTGAGCCTATTCTTAAAAGCCTGGATGTTTCCTTCGGACCTGAGGTCCTCCGGCAGCCCGTTCCAAAGGCGAGGGCCGTAATACTTGAAGGACGCCTCGCCGTGGGTGTGAGTCTTAACTTTAGGGATAACTAGGAGACGGCTGCCAGAGGAGCGCAGAGACCGCGAGGGTTTATACAGTAAAAGCAGTTCTGAAAGATAAGAAGGCCCAAGACATGACACATGAGGGCGCTAGAAGACACAAAAGGAGCACCTAGAGACGAATGGAGGACACAAGGAGACACATGAGGGGAGACGCAGACACAGACCATGACACCTGAAAGCTGATGTGAACTGTGTACTGAAAATCATTAACTGCTCCTTAATGTCAAGTATTTTTCCCAAATCATTGAAACTGCTGCTGTTAAGAAAATTAGATCCCTTAGAGATGATTAACTGCAGATGTATTTCTAATCTCCCTTTCAATGGGAAAATTATTGAAGAAGCACTTGTGATCCAGCTGAACAACTTTGTGGAGACAAACAAACTGCTAGATGGTTTTCAGCCAGACTTTAGACAACATCACAGTACTGAGACCGCACTTATTAAAGTATTAAATGATATTCATCTAAAAACAGATTCAGGCAAAACATCTATCCTGATGATGCTCGATCTCAGTGGAGCCTTTGATACTGTGGATCACAACATCCTTCTGGATAGGCTCATAAACTGGGTGGGACTATCAGGCACAGTTAGTTGATTCCAATCATATCTCCAAGACGGATTGTTTCCATTGGTGATCTCAAATCAAAGCTAATCACCATGACATGTGGGGTCCCACAAGGCTCAATTCCTGGACCACTGCTGTTCACCATCTACATGCTCCCCCTGGGTCAGGTCAAGAACAACATTACCTATCATAGTTATGCAGGTGACACCCAGATCTATCTAGCTCTATCACCTAGTGACTGTGGTCCCCTAGACTCACTCTTTCAGTTTTTGGGGAAAGTTAATGACCGGATGCAGTCAAACTTCCTCCAGTTAAACAAAGACAAGGCTGAAGTTATTGTCTTTGGAAGTAAGATTAGGATGGAGGTTTTTGCTCAGTTTGGCTCCAGAGGAATAAAGACAAAGACCCAGGTTAGAAATATTGGTGTCATAATTGACTCAGACCTGAGCTTCACTGGTCACATTGTTTATATCTAGATCAGCATTTTATCATCTTCATCAAATAGCAAGACTCAGAGGTCTCATGTCCAGACAAGACCTAGAGAAACTCATTCATGCATTCATCTTCAGCAGGCTGGACTATTGCAGTGGTCTTTTGTCTGGTCTTCCCAAAAAAGCTGTGAAGCAACTGCAGCTTATTCAGAATGCTGCTGCTAGAGTCTTCACAAAAACCAAGAGAACCGAGCACATCACTCCTGTTCTTAAATCTCCACACTGGTTACCAGTGTCACGTTCTGCGGGTGGTGGTGGCAGACCATGTGTGGTGGTGGGTTCTGGAGGCAGATGAGCAGGCAGACGGATGTAAAAAATAAAAAGCTGTTTATTGAAGGACGGGAGCAACAGGACGAACGAACATGGACAACGACAATGAACCGACAAAGACAGCAACACGGAGGGAGGTATAAATACACAAGGGAATCAGGAACACATGGGCAGAGTATTCAGGGACAGGTAAGAACAATCAGGCTAATCAGGGCAGGAGAGACACAGTCAGGGGGGCTGGAGCGGATCATGACAGTACCCCCCCCCCCCCCCCCCAAGGGGCGGATACCAGACGCCCACAAGCCACAAAACACAGGAGACACGGGCACGAACGAAGACCAGACTAGGGCACACATGACAAGGGAACACAGAAGACGAGACCAGGGAACAAGGAACACAGTCCAGGGCCGCGGAGCAGGGGCCTCTAGGAGTAGGCGGCACTCCGTCTTACAACCAGACGTGTCCACGAACTTAGACCAGGGAAACCGGACTCGAACACCTGGGCACGTAGACTTGACGTGGGCACGTAGACTTGACGTGGGCACAGGGACTCGAACACGATGACTTGACTTGACGTGGGCACGTAGACTTGACGTGGGCACAGGGACTCGGACACGATGACTTGACTTGACTGGACACGATGACTTGACTGGACACGATGACTTGACTTGACTGGACACGATGACTTGACTTGACTGGACACGATGACTTGACTTGACTGGACACGATGACTTGACTTGACTGGACACGAACACTTGACTCCAGGAACACAGAGACGAACTGCAGCAGCAGGCACAGGCCCCAGCAGGAACTGCTGCGTGGAGAACCTGCAGGCACAGAACCTGCAGGCGTGGACCAGGAAGTGGTTGAGTAGCGGAAGCTACGCGTGGAAGCCCAGCTCGGCGGCAGGTACTCGACATCCCAATCAGAGCAGGTGCACATCCGATCTGCTGGGTCCATCAGCGGAGGCTCGGGTGAAGGGAAGCCGGAGAAGAGCGGGGAGACCAGCCCTACCACACCGGAGAACAATGGCGTGCGCAGGGGTTGTAGCTCCCTTGAGGCTCCAGGATCCACCGGAAAAGAGCGGGGAGACCAGCCCTACCACACAGGAGAATAATGGCGTGCGTAGGGGGTGTAATTCCCTTGAGGCTCCAGGATCCGCGGCTTCAGGAGACGAACGGGACGAGGCTAAAACAGCTGGAGGAGAATGACCCTGGCCACCCCGAAGATAAATAGGATGCGCCAGGATCTCCCAGAGGAACTTCGACCACCCCGAGAACAGGTAGGATGCGCGGAACACACAAATTCCAGGCCAGAAATCTCCCACAACTGAAAGGGACAAAAAGAAAAAATAATCCTCCAGGAACAGATGTGTTAGCTCACCACAGGTCCAGGTTTGGTCGGTTCATTCTGTCACGTTCTGCGGGTGGAGGTGGCAGACCATGTGTGGTGGTGGGTTCCGGAGGCAGATGAGCAGGCAGACGGATGTAAAAAATAAAAAGCTGTTTATTGAAGGACGGGAGCAACAGGACGAACGAACATGGACAACGACAATGAACCGACAAAGACAGCAACACGGAGGGAGGTATAAATACACAAGGGAATCAGGAACACATGGGCAGAGTAATCGGGGACAGGTGAGAACAATCAGGCTAATCAGGGCAGGAGAGACACAGTCAGGGGGGCTGGAGCGGATCATGACAACCAGTAAACTACAGAATTGATTTCAAAGTGCTTCTACTAGTTTATAAATCACTCAATGTCATAGGGTCAAAATACATGTTGGATCTCCTTCCTGCATATAAGCCCATCAGGGCTCTGACATCCTTAGGGCACAGTCAGCTGGTAGAACCTCGGGTCAGAACCAAACAAGGTGAAGCATCCTTACAAGCATCCTGCCCCTAGATTCGGACACACCCAGCGTCTCTGGGCGACTCCATATTGGAAGCCATGTTTCCTTCTACGGAAGCCCGTGAGGACAGAATGCATTTACTGATTTGTAACAAACGGTTACAGAACTTTCAGCAATAATAAACATTGTTCTTTTACACATTTACCTTTTCACTCATTGCCAGTGATGAAAGGGAATTTGCTGTTCTTTTTATTTTGCTGGAAGTTGCACTCCTAAGGATTTTTTACCCTAATGGCCATATGTTGGTATGGTCTTACTCAAACACAAAAATACTGCTTGCTTGTAATGATTTAGGTATCTACTGCACCCTATCGCCAGGGAAAATACACACTGTCACGTTAATGAACTGTGTGGAATCAAATATCTGCAAATTTTAATGAAACAAAACAAAAAGTATGTAGTGACAAGCCTTTTTCACACACAAACTTTGTTTTTGTTTAAATAACGGCATTGTAGAATCAGTCGTATGCAGGGGTGGACTGGTCATCTTGTCACCACTTCGGGTGGACTGTTGCCCACGGTGGGCTGGTATCCCCCCCCAGTCGCATGGACGCCGGCAGCATTGAGAGTTCTCCGTGTGTTGCAACCCTCCTCCTCCACTCTTGACAGCTAGCAGCATGGAGAGCTGTTCACGAGATGCACACACACACCCCTCCTGCTCGGATGGCTGGCGCCACAGAGAGTTGTCCGCGAGTACACCCCCCAGCTAGGACGGAGAAGGTTCCCACAACCCCACCCCCGCTCTGAGGGTCGGCGGGACAGGGAAATGCAAGGGTTGAATTATCATCTCAACAGGCCTGGTTGTATGTTTAATTAGTTGAGTTCAGGTTCAAATCATTCTAGCATCTTGTGGAGATCCGATTAGGTCTTCATATGAGTCAAAAACGATGGCTGTATGGAATACAAATTGCTGCTCCAACAAGGCACTTGTTTCCGGTTATTCAATCCTCTAAAGAAAAACAGTCTCCATGAACCAATAACTATGAACGCAACATACCCTTTTACTTTCTGTTTACATCATATCTACAAACCTTTACTTCTGGCATCCCGAGTGCTGCTGACCAGACGTTTGAGATGAATAAGGAAGAAAAAAATCTACAACTCACTTCACACAAACGGACTGCACACAACATCTGTCACAACTGGAATGTGAAAGGGACACTGAGCAGATATAGTGGAGCAGGTGCAGCAGCAGTGAAAGGCTCTCATAGAAAAGACAAGCTATGTTATTTTACCCTGAAGGTCCAGGAGTAAAGGAATGTTGTTGTTTTTTTAACCTTGGCAGATATATTGCACATTCTGGACCAAGCTTGATGCTCACATAATAAAGTCTACAGAATAATGAGCCTTCAGGTGCAGCAAGACAGATGATAAACACAATTCATGAACTCTACATTCATTTCTTTTATTTTGTTTGTTTTTGCGACAATGTTTTGTTTTTTTTTCCTGCAGGAGCATCAGACGGATTGTTTTCCCTGCAGCGGGTTTTGGATTTAGTGTCACGCCGCAGGCTATTTTATATGTCGCTGGGAGCCTAATGAATAAAATAAACAGAATTCTAAGCAAAACTTCTATTTATTATTTTGTTTTGCGTTTAACTTTTATATATTCTCCACAAAATATTTACGTATAATTTTTCATGCCCCATAATTTTTGTTTTTAATTCCTCAGAGTGCATGAACCGCGAAGCCTCCAGGATCGAGCGGAAATGTGATAAAAGACGGAAACCTCGTTCAGCGAAGCCTTCCTGTGGTGACCTAATGGCCCTTATTGGACGACTGCTTTTCTTCAGACCCGTTTGGACCACAGAGAGCCAGAACTACAGTAACATCAGGTTTCTTTATGTACATTTTAGTGCTTGGCATTTTGCAGGCAGCGACCTGCTCTGGGCCGGGATTGCCATTCGGCTGTTTCATGCCATGCAGGTGTCTTTCGGGAAGCTACAGCTTGCCCTCTACCGTGTGGCTCAGCATGATGAAGATAAAGAAGTCACAAAGAAGGTTTGTGAATTATTTTCTCTTTCCCTCAATTTCTGCATCAAAAATGACTTCAAATCTTTTTTTTTTCCTTGTTTTGTGAATTCACTACTCCTGAACTGCATCACCAGCCATGCAGGTTTCTCCTGTTAGTTTTACATCTCACAGTGTAAAAAACTAACATAACACATGCCAAAAGGCTAATGTGAAGGTATTAAGAATAAGAATGGTATGATATTTTACTTTATTTCTTAAAACGATAAATTAGCTGACAAATCAAAGCAGCCCAATAGGAAGACTGTGTTATGGACAACCACAGAAAAATATGAGATAATCATGCTATAATGCCTTAAATAAACCAAAACTGCATACTATAGTAAAGGCAGTTTGAATATTTTAATAACGACATTGAAAAATAGACAACAAGACAGAATATGTATAAATGCTGAAGCACAGGAAGCTCAGAACTGGAACACAACAATCTGGTAACGGAGTAAAGAAACCATGCAGGGAGTAAAATACAGGAAGAGGTGATTACCAAAAAAAAGCAGCTGGGCTAATCACCAGATGATTAAAGAGACAATGTGCAGTTTTTACCATTAATCTCTGGAATTAGCCATCAAAACGTTGAAAATTAAATAAATTATGCACAATTAGTAAAAAAAATGTTGGGGCTTGATAACACATAACCATAAAAATCGGGTCTAAAATAGGCCCAATCCTAATATTCACACTGCGCCCTACAGTCTTCTGTGAAGTGCACTTGGAGGAAGTGTGCAGTAAGGCTTCGAGTGTGTGGTACACAGTTGTGCAAATAATTGCCGAATTGAGACAGGGAGCATTGTGTCATCGACCACAACGCATGCCGGGCGCTGTGCTACTTTATTTAAAAAAAACTTTATTAACAACTTTCAGACAAACAACCAGTTCTTTGAAGTAAATTTACATTTGATGATGCTTTGTCTGAAACATTCAGACTATCATCGAAATGCCCTAAAATAAACTAATTTCATCTGAAAATACTAATTTTCAGAAAAGGCACTTGAGCCTTTACTCCTGCGGTTGTGGGCTGCGGACTTGGGGGAAGTGCGGATCAAGGCTGCAAAAGGGGCGTGATCAACTTCTGCACCCAAGGACGCATTCGCACCCCTGGCCGGGATCGTTCAATTGAAGGGCGCAAGTGTGGAAGGGGGAGTATTGGGAGCGGGTCCAAGTCTGTGCGAGACCACATTAGACGCAATGTTTCCTTCTACAGGAGCCCATGAGGACAAAATGCATTTACTGATTTGTAACAAAACTTGCACCATTCATAAATATTGTTGTAAATACTGTTATCCCTTCGCTTGTTGCCAGTGATGAATGATGTGCTTGTCATTTTGCTGGATATGGAACAATGTGACGAAGTACTCGTTCAAAAATTCTGTTCCTAGGGGTTTTGACCCTAATGGCCATCTGTTGGTAAGGTCTTACTCTAACACAAAAATACTGCTTGCTTGCAATGATTTTGGTATGTACTGCCCCCTATCACCAGGGAAAATACTCATCCTCACTTTAAAGAGATGTGAGCGAATGAGTAAACAAGGACGGAACATGACTAAATACGTAATCACATCACAACAACTCAGAAATGACCTTGATTACAACTTCCTAAAGGGTTCAACAATAAATATGACTGCAACAAAATAAAATATGTAAAGGCATGAAGGTTCTCTGATTTGTGCCAAAGGTCACATTTGCCCAGCTGGGTCAAGCTGGGTCAGACAGTACTTTGAATCCACAGATTAAAACACAAGGAGCCATGATGTCTGCTCAAGATCATAACATCATCTGCTGTTCCGTCCCAGAAGAAGGACACTTCAAGCCACGATGATAATAATTAAATAATAATTAATAAATTCATTGATTTTATTACTGTTTAAATAATCATTACAACATGATCACTTGGTTCATTATAAAGGTACCTTAATTGCATGAAATGGATTATTATGCTTTGGGAATAATAATTATTATTATTATAATGTTTATAAAGATGTGTTTAGCAAAGAAGACCTTCACCCTATTCAGCCAACACAGAGTTCAGATAAACAATAACTGCATCACATGTTTTTTGACGCATGAGCAAGCTTTCTTCCGGAGAGAGTGAGAGGGGTTCTGAGAGAGTTTGGTAAAAACTAGCCATCACAGATTTCACGTCCAGTTCTTGAACCAACACCACGAGGAAAGGAGAACGGCCGTCTCCTAACCTCCACCTGCTGTTCTGTCACGCCGACAAGAATGGCTAAAGAACAAACAAACCGTAAACCAGCTAACGAAAGACTCTACCAGAGTAATTGATTTCTGAAGTTAAGTTAAATACGAGAACGTTCAACTGCCAAACGCTTCATACACCGAGTGACCCAAGAAGACATCCCAGGACCGATCTGGTCGTGCCAGAGGTTCTTCTACCAACCTCGTGCCTGGAGGAAACCCATCTCCACCTGGACACTTCGGATCCAAATGGGGGTCTTCTGATTGGGTGAGGTAGACCTCGACAGAATGTGTTTGATGCTGTTTTCTCTCAAAATAACTCAGTTATCAGCAAACCATCATTTTCACCCAGAACACTTCATTCTCTCTGAAAGAAACCTTCTGAGAACTTCATTCACGCATCCAAAACTCATCATTCTCGTTTTTAGCTCCAATCAGTCACAGGTTTGTTTTTAAACAAGTAATATCAAAGCTGTTAAGGATTGTCATCAAACTTGCCATCTATGAATTGTCATTTTATAATTGTCGTTTCAAATTTTCAGTTTAAAATGGTTAGTAATAAAACGTCTTCATTTTTAAACGTGCCTCCTTATTGAAACGAAACACAGAAAAGCGTTGCATTTTCAGTTTATCGAATGAAAAGAATCTTACTGAATCTTCTGTTGAATAAATAAACTTTTGCTATTAATTTAAGTATCTCAAATTAATTTTCACACCATTGCAAATATAATATCATTTTGGTTGTTTGTGAACACAGTTGGACTTTCTCTGATTACTGGTTGTCATTTGGTAAAAAAAATCATTTAAATCTAAAATTAAAAATTGGCTTTTTGAAAAGGTTTTCCTTGAAATTCATGATAAACAATGACTTTTTGAAAGATTTCACTGATTCAAACCAATCAAACAGTAACTTTATTCTCATCGGGTTTTTTATACATTTGTCTTCAGGTTGTTAAAAACGGTACAAATGACTGGATCTCCAAAAAGCTCTGCTGCTGCCCGCTGTGGATTTTCATCCTGCTTGTTGTTGTGGTCCCGCTTGTCATCCTAGTGCTGTTCATTTTTAAACTTTCTAAAGCAGAACGGGAAGTGAATGGCACAATTGTTGAAACAGAAGATAACACACATGGTGGAGTTGGCATCCTGTAGAGCCTCCTCATTGCTTCATTAGGAGTCCCAGCAGCGAGGGCTTTGATGTTTGCCTTCCAGATGGGTAAGAACCTCATCTTCAGCCAAGATCTGAACATTAAGAGGGGGATGGACAAAGAGCAGATCAGCAGCCAGCTGGGATTTATGAACGAGGTCAGGAAGGAAATACGGTTCCTGTCTTGTTTTGTTCAGTTCATGGAGGTTTTTGAGAGGAGGAAGATTCGTATTGTGCTGAAAATCACTAATCTGGATCGCTGCCCGCCCAAGAAAATCATAGCCGTTCTAGAAGCCATCAACATCCTGCTTTCAGATGAGGAGAGCCCATTTCTCTCCATCCTGGCTGTAAATCCTCGTGTTCTGTTGGAGAAAGTCAACTTTGCAGATGGATGCTTCCTTAAAGAGGACAGAGCTTACGCACTGCTGAACCGCATCGTCACCCTGGCCTTCACCGTCCCGCCACTCTCCAAAGACTTAAAACGTGATTTATTTTACTCTCTCACCGGCAGTCCAAGAAGCTCGGAGGATTTGTCCTGCAGGGGGCGCACACACAGAAAAAAGGCATCTTCATCAGACCTGACATTAGTGGAGGTGGAAGAGTCTAACACGCTGATGAATACGACACCATCAGCAGTGGAAATGAAGGAGGAGGAAATGGAGACGCTGGTTGGGAGAATCCTGACCAACACTGAAAGGAAACTAAACAAGTACATGTCAGATGATACCACCAGCATGAAGAGGATAATCAGCTCTGTTTGGGTGACAGTGATCATCATGAAGGTCTTACAGAAAGAGCTTCCAAACCCAGAGAACGTTGCAGCGTGGGTGGTGTTGGCCAATCAGTGGCCTTGTCGACTCAGTTGGATCATCCAGTGCGTGGAGGATGCCAGGCAGAGGGCAGCGATCGATCGCAAGAGTTTGTCCTTTGATCACTCAAAGACCTTGTGGGAAGTCTTCAGCGAGTCCAGGGAGGAGCTGTACGTGATGAGCGCAGACATCAAGGACCTGCTCGAGCAGGACGGAGATCCAGAGCTGTTTGAAGAATTGCTCAAAGAGGATGATTTTGAATTCACTTTAAACAGCTTGGAGACATTTCAGCTGGCCATGGTGAATCTGGATCAGTCTATTAGGGGCGAGCTGGCTCTCATCAGAGGGACGTCCAGGCTGAAAGACTCGGGTTGGATGAGGAACATAGCACCCCTGCCGATTACAACCCTCATCAAGATGAGTGCAGAGGAAGTGTGTGAAGAGGTAAGTAAGGCTCTGAAGTTACTAGATCTTTAAGAAATGGTTCGTTTTTCAGCACGTGTGGTTTCTGCCTGAATAAGCACCGGGTTTCATAAGATACTAAATGGTGCTAAAATGGGTGAAAGTGGGTTTTCTTTTCACTTGTATGAAAGTGTCAGAACTTTAAATGATACAGAAAGACACAAAATAACATTATTTTAAAGTTTGAAATTCAGAAACATTTTTCTTCCTTCTTAAGATAATCTTCAAGCACTTATTAAATTAATCAAATAAAAACTATTTAGATGTGTTAAACTCCTTTTTTATTTGACAGGTTCCTTAACACTCAGTAAATATTTATTTTTTATTCCTCGTAAAAAATAATTTCCCTAATTAGCTTCTCATGTTCATGTGTAATGCTCACGTTTGACTCATTTAAAATGATGAAAATACTCCCTGTACAAATGACTTCTGCCATTGTAATTTGTGTTTGATTTCATTTTTAATCAAGCACATATCTGTCCTATGGATTCATTTCCACAAACTACTTTTTCAAATAATGTCACTCAAAATAAACCCACGTTACCAGAAACTTCAACTAATATACTTCCCTTTAGCTCTGATGACCTTTTGTTTAGTTTTTATTGTTTATCCTTTTGTGCAGGTTTCTAACTCTACGTAATTTGGCACAAAAACCGTCATTCGTTGTGTAAAATGTTTACCTATTTTTAAAACATGATCTGCTAAGCATAAGCTCAGTCTAAACAAAGATGGATTTGTGTTAATCATCTTTTTAAACTGTTTACAGATGAAAAGGATGGATTATGACAGCAGGTACATTGACATTGTGAAAAACAATAAGCTGACTGGATCTGCGCTGGTCTTTGGAGATATAAATGATCTTAAAGCCCTCCTGGGTATGACCTTTGGTGAATGGGCAACTTTCAGACTGCACTTCCTGGCTCGACGCCCACATATCAAGCAACAATACAAGAACAAGCCACCAGCACCAGATTATTCTAAAAACCAGCTGCACCTCTTCCAAACTCATCAGGCACACTTTTAATACAAGTATCCTTATGAGCTGGTTTGCATCTTGGTGCAGAAACTGCACAAAGAACCTGCAACAAGTAGCGAAACTGACAGAGTCATCGCGGTCTCGCTTCGCTCTCCCTGGAGACCTTCTTCAAGGAGGTAAGCAGGAGAAAATCCTTCAGTGTTCGGTCTGCCTATAAACAGTGTGACCTCATGCTACCTGGAGGAAGATATTGCTTCATTAAAGTCAGAACATCCAGAATCTGAATCAGATTTATGGCTGCTGAACTCATAGCAACCCTCCTCGGGACAGAAGAAATGCATTTCATTCTCTCAACACAGTTCAGAAGACTTGAATTGTTTTTTAACTTGGCCAATTATCCTTTATTACTTGAAGGACAGTTGTGTTTAATTATTGTTGTCACCAACCACCAAAAAGCAAAAGGTAGGCGATGTTGGTTTTGCATTTGTGTACTGTGCGTTAGCAACATATTTTATGAACAACTGAACAGATCTTAATGAAACTCAAGAGAACTGTCATTATATGTGCATCTACAACCAGTTACCCTTTTGAGTCAACCCATTTCAAGATGGCCACCACAGCCAACTGACATTAGTCAACGTGCAAAGAGGAAGTCAGTCAAGTTTCTGCAGATATCCAGCTACAATGTAGAGCAGGAGTGTCGAACTCAAATTCACACTGGGCCAAAATGAAAAACCGGGACGAAGTCGCGGACCAAACTCAATATTGTTTTGACGGTGAATGTGCACATTTTCCTTTATCTACAGATATGAACCGTTGAACTTTTTCATTTGGAAACAAACTTATTTTTGCAGTAACACTGAGGCCTAGTCCACACGTAGCCGGTTTTTTTTTAAACGAATATCCGCCCCTCCAAAAACTTGCATCCACAACACCTCGTTTTAAAAAAAAAACTCTGTCCACACGTACCCGGATAAATACGTTGTTAAGGACATGCCAGACCTGTAGGCGGCAGTACTTCCCCCGTTCTTAACCTCGTCCTTCGTCTGTGGTCTTCCGCAAGGAGCAGTAATTCTGCTTGCAAAAACAAACAAGCAAAAAGCGCTTGGACAATTGATAAAGCAAGCGCAGCTCTGAGGGCATCCGTGCTGTCGGCTAGTGTAAACACAGGTCGCACACGTGATGTCAGCATTTTTTGTCGCGGAAAGTGACGTTGCGGACCTTAAAACTTCGGTTTTGTCTGTCCACACGCAGACACCCAAAACGGAGAAAACGCAGATCTTCACTTTGGCCGGAGTTTTTAAAAAGATCCATTTTCGTGTGAAAAAACTCCGTTTTCGTGTGGATGACAGGTCAAAACGTAGAAAAATATCTACGTTTTGGCAGATCCCCGGCTACGTGTGGACAGGGCCTGAATGTGGAATAACCAAATTACACACAGGCAAGTCAATTTTAAATAAAGCACACATCAGTGGTATTCGTTACTTATGTCTCAATATTGTTTAAATATTTTATTCCTTAAAATCTTCATACATTCAGCATTTCTTCTTATTCTTTATCTTTTGAATGTTTTAAGTGTTTCTATTTTATGTTTTCTTGTTTATTCTTTATTTTTTACTCTCTTTGTTGCTCCTGTAATGAATGTCATTGCTGCTGTGACACCAAGTTTTCCCCACTGAGGGACAATAAAGGGATTTTCTATTTTATTTTTATTCTATTCTTCTATCTGTAATCTTTCCTGTTTTAAAGTAGGTTTAATTTATTTTCACATGCCAACAACAGAAATAAAAAATAGCAATTCTCTTAAATGAAAATGCAATATCTCACCTATTAACTGTCATGCTCTGGAGCAGAAAAGGTTAATAAAACCAAAATAATTCTATCCCAGTTTTCTCCACTCGGATTTCCTGTGATGCTCACCTGTTCCAGCAGACCTGAGGGGTTGGGCTCGGAGCTGAGGAAGGAGTTCATCAGTGAGAAACAGTTGCTCACACAGGTTTGTGCCGCTGGACATGGAGAGCATCTGGACCACGCAGTTGTGTCGGAGAGCTGCAGCAGCCACAGAGTCACAGTGACTTGAGCGTGTCGCTAAACTGGAGTTAAATCATCTCGGTCTGAAAGTTGGTCGGTGCGCTTTCCATGTCAGCAGCAAACAGATTACTGAGCTGTTAAAATCCATTTCTGGGCTTCAAAGCCTGCTAGTTGCTGAGTGAACATGGCGCTGAGTAAGAGGAGTGTTTTCAGTTTGTCCGAGGCAGAGGAGGTAACGCTGCAGACGCTGATGCTAGTAGCATGGATGCTAATGACTGTAAAGACATACCGGTTTTTCTCCTTGAAGCATCAACATGTTCCATCTTTGTTGAAACACCTTCCTTCTGCATCAATCTTTCTCTTCCTGGACATTTTGGGATGATGTGTGGACAGTTATTTTTACTTGTTGCATTAATAAAACATGGAAGTGGATACACTGCCACCTAGTGGCGAGTCACTGTACTGAGAACACAATCACCATACATTATGGGAAATGTAGTTTATAGCCAATGTGCACTTTGAAGCAGCATAGACTTACCGTAAATCCTCTAATACAGGCCGTTATTCAATTAAAGGCCGGGTCTCCAATTTTGGCCGGTGCCGGAGTCAGCAGAGGTGAATAATGGCCGGTCTCTTATTGTGGCCGGGTGGAATGTGGTAACAAGCAAGTACGGGGGGCGGTCGTGTCATCGTCTCACTTTTGATTTGCCAGTGATAGACCGCGAGGGTAACTTTAACCGTGCGGAGACGAAGAGGAGGCAAAAATTTGATATCAAGTTCAAAGACAACGTGCTGATTATGCTGCAGAACACTCTGGGGAGCAGTAGCAGGGGTTGTATGAACTAGTCGACTTCACTATAGTGACTTTTTATGCCTGTCGTCAACTAGTCGCTGTCACGTGATAATGACCGGCAAGATGCAGCCCTCGGAAAAGACAGCAGCCTGCTGTCAGCAGGTGACAAGCTCCTGCGCTCGGGGGGGGCAACGCGCTGTGCCAGTGTGTCGGTACTGACACGCGATCGTTCATGTCGGTTAATTTCCTTTAATGTTTTCTGTCTTTTATGTGTTTCGCTGCTGTGGAGCTGATGGAGCTCGATGAGCTTGAGTCAAATACAGGTCCGGGCCTGTATTAGAGGATTTACGGTATTTTAAGACACATTAATCTCTTGCGGGTCACATAAAATGATGTGGTGGACCACATCTGGCCCGCGGGCCTTGTGTCTGTCTGACACATGTGATGTAGTGTCATAGTTGCTAAAAACCAATACATAACACATATAAATGATAAATGACCCGCACTTGTATAGCGCCTCTCAGAGTAAGGACTCCAAAGCACTTTACACTACAGTGTATCATTCATCCATTCACACACTGGTGATGAGTTACGATGTAGCCACAGCTGCCCTGGGGCGCACTGACGGAGGCGAGGCTGCCAAGCACAGGAGCCACTGGTCCCTCCGACCACCCCGAGCAAGGGGGGTTAAGTGTCTTGCCCAAGGACACAATAGCAGAATTCTCTGTCCGGAGCCGGGATCGAACCTGCAACCTTCCGATTACTGGACAACCCGCTCAACCTGTTGAGCTACTGCTGCCCCATCTCGGTCATATAACACATACTACGGGTCCTAACATGTTGCACAAGGCCTTGAACTAACCATCAAATAGAGATTTTTTTTATTTGCCTGATTATTTTATTCAAATTAGTTTGGATTACAGTGTAGATCAGAATGCAGTCAGATACCCTAACAAGTAGGATTTTGGCCTTCAGGAGGAAACCGGAGAAACAATGAGAAACCCCAGTGTACATGGGCGGTAATGTGCTATTGCCAAATGTTGCAGACAGGGTTTGAAACTGTGACCATTTTGCTGTGAGACATTGTCACCATGCATGCATTTGACCAGTGGATGTATCATTTTTCTAACATATGATTATCACATCTGTGGTGTTTTATGTAGTATTTAGTGAAGTGGTATTGTTCTGTTTTGCTTATCTTTTTGCTCTGACTCCAAACATGAGATGTATTTTTATTATAATAGGAACAGTGGCAAAGTTTACAAGATGGAAAATCCTTCAACATGTCCTCCATTGTCAATCATCTAAACCCAGTCAATCTAACTGGTAATCCGGTCCATCTCCAATCGTTCTGGTTTATTCAAAAACAGCTGCTGATCTTGGCTCTCACTACATCTTGGTCCGGTATCTTCTGTCACTGCTGAACTTGAACTCAAATGTCTGCAGGCCTTCTTGTGTGCTCCCTCATCCACTTCACATGTTCAACACATTCACACACTCTCATCTGCTGATCAGTGTGCTCAATGAGGCTTGGTGCCTCTACTTCATAGTTTACATTAACCCTCAAAATGACATGATAATAAACTGCTTTCTAATTAAGCTTACTTTAATTCATGTTCTGGTTTATGAAAGTGCACACCCCCATGTTCAGTTAATGCATTTAGGTTAATCAAATGCACAGGTCTCTGGAGTTTTGTACTTGGGTGGTTAGTAGTTTAAACTATGTATATTCATGACAGATCAGTCAGCAGTCTCATAATGAGTTTTGCTGCAGGGCTTTGTGATGGCGCATACATTCATTTGTTCTTCAGATAATCAGAAATTAATTGGTAAAGCAATGATAATGTGAGTCTACAAAGCTCAGAGCAATTATTGATTAAAATGAACATTTTCTTATATACAACTCTGTCCATAATTTTAATTATTGCCGGCATGTCTAGTTGCTGTTCTAAGCGAATGTCAGACACGAAAACGACCATGGGCGAAAAAGGTGAGACACCCCAATCCTCCCCCACTATTATTTAGGGACGATTTATGACAAAGCACAGTTGTAAGCCTCTGCTGAAAGGTGAGCGGCAGCCCCCAAAACACCTGTTTCTGTAAACACAGATGCACACGTTAGCGAACCAGCATCACGCACACACAAGCTCCAATCTCAATGTGTGTGTGTGTGTGTGTGTGTGTGTGTGTGTGTGTGTGTGTGTGTGTGTGTGTGTGTGTGTATGTGTGTGTGTGTGTGTGTGTGTGTGTGTGTGTGTGTGTGTGTGTGTGTGTGTGTGTGTGTGTGTGTGTGTGTGTGTGTGTGTGTACGCGCGTGCGTGGGGTGCAGTATTTATTGCACGGAATCACTGAACCGAGCTCAACTCATGCAGCCTTCTGCAGGAATGGAGGCCTACATGATGGACTCAAAACAATAAAAAACAAAGCTTTGCCAAATATTTGGACCTGCTTCTCCTTTGGTAATCCAAAATAAATCACTTTGAAACACGCAAATCATCCCAAGCGCATGGACGGAAGGAATTAGGCTTATTTAATGTACACTGTAGGAAAGCTGGGAGACTCTTTAAACAGCTCTACAGAAAGCCTATAATGTGTTACTTCTGCATTTTTAGGAGACAGGAAAAGCAGATCCGCTGAGCAGCCACTACTCCGTATGCTTCGTCAGTGTTCTGTGCGTACACACACACGCACACATCTCCACTAAACAGAGCACTGACCGCTCCCTAGACGTGCAGAAGTTGACCTAATCATGTTTTTAAAATGAATCAGAGGTGTTGCTGTTCAACACACTGATCAGAAATCTTCAAAGAAAAAAGAAAATGTGGAGCTGCATTACATGCATGCACGCGCATTTAGTCCCAAACCCAAGCAAAAAACACACTCTCCTCTCAGAAGGCTGCTGTGTGGGCGTCATATGGGAAAGGAAGCAGCCAGGGCGAGGAAGTGATGAAAGAGTCACAATGTTTAGTCATAAAGGAGGGAAACCTCTAGGAAGAGTTCGTGGGGAACAGCATATTTAGGGAAAACCAATTAGCACAGCGGACCCAGCGGGCCAGTATACCCTGTTCCATATAGAAGGAAGGTCACAAGTGTACCAAGAGGAAGCCCAGCGAGAACCAAAGGAGGGAGAATGGGCCCATTGAGGAAACCATCAAGGATGGTGGCAAAGGCATGCAATTCAAACATGTCAGGATACGACATTTGCACTCTTAAACGACTTAAAGCCCCAGTGTGTATTACTTTAACTTACTATCAAACTCTGTGTATCCAGTTCACCAACTTGTTCGTCGTCGTCGTCTTCCTCTGCTTATCCGGGTCCGGGTCGCGGGGGCAGCATCCCAACTAGGGCGCTCCAGACCGTCCTCTCCCCGGCCACCTCCACCAGCTCCTCCGGCAGGACCCCAAGGCGTTCCCGGACCAGATTGGAGATATAACATCTCCAACGTGTCCTGGGTCGACCCGGGGGCCTCCTGCCGGCAGGACATGCCCAAAACACCTCCCCAGGGAGGCGTCCAGGAGGCATCCTGACCAGATGCCCAAACCACCTCAGCTGACTCCTTTTGATCTGGAGGAGCAGCGGTTCTACTCCGAGTCTCTCCCGAATGTCCAAGCTCCTCACCCTATCTCTAAGGCTGAGCCCGGCCACCCTACAGAGGAAACTCATTTTGGCCGCTTGTATCCGTGATCTCGTTCTTTCAGTCATTACCCAAAGCTCATGACCATAGGTGAGGATTGGGACGTAGATCGACCGGTAAATCGAGAGCCTGGCTTTCTGGCTCAGCTCCTTCTTCACCACGACAGATCGGCTCAGCGTCCGCATTACTGCAGATGCCGAACCAATCCGCCTGTTGATCTCCCGATCCCTCCTACCCTCACTCATGAACAAGACCCTGAGATACTTAAACTCCTCCACTTGAGGTAGGACCTCTCTCCCGACCCAGAGTTGGCAAGTCACCCTGTTCCGGTCGAGAACCATGGTCTCAGATTTTTCTCCAAATCCTCAAAACACATGTGGATTGGTTGGGCAAACTCCCATGCCCCCTCCATCACCCTTGCAAGGGTATAGATCTGGTCCACAGTTCCACGGCCAGGACAAAAACCACATTGCTCCTCCTCAATCTGAGATTCAACTATCGATCTAACCCTCCTCTCCAGTACCTTGGAGTAGACCTTTCCAGGGAGGCTGAGGAGTGTGATCCCCCTATAGTTGGAACACACCCTCAGGTCACCCTTCTTAAAGATGGGGACCACCATCCCGGTCTGCCACTCCACAGGAACTGCCCCAGATGACCACGCAATGTTGCAGAGACGTGTCAACCACGACAGCCCTACAACATCCATAGCCAGATACCCAGGACGAATCTCATCCGCCCCCAGGGCTCCGCCGCTGTGTAGTTGTTTGACTACCTCAGCAACTTCTGCCCCCGAGATTGGACAGTCCATCCCCAGGTCTCCCGACTCTGGTTCCTCCTCGGAATGCGCGTAGGTGGGATTGAGGAGCTCCTCAAAGTATTCCTTCCACCGTCCGACTATAGCCCCAGTTGACGTCACCAGCTCCCCATTCCCACTGTAAACAGTGTGAGCGAGTTGCTGCCTTCCTCTCCTGAGGCGCCGGACAGTTTGCCAGAACCTCTTTGGAGCCGATCGATAGTCTTTCTCCATGGCCTCACCAAACTCATCCCATGCCCGAGATTTTGCCTCGGCAACTGCCACTGTTGCACCCCGCTTGGCTATCCGGTACCTGTCTGCTGCCTCCGGAGACCCACAAACCAGCCACACCCTGTAGGACTCCTTCTTCAGCCTGACAGCTCCCCGAACCTCTGGTGTCCACCAGCGGGTACGGGGGTTGCCACCACGACTGGCACAGGCCACCTTGCGACCACAGCTAGCAACAGCCGCCTCAACAATCGCAGAGTGGAACAAGGCCCACTCAGAGTCAATGTCCCCCACTGCTCTCGAGACGCGGTCAAAGCTCTGCCGGAGGTGGGAGTTGAAGATCGTTTTGACAGGTTCTTCTGCCAGGCATTCCAAGCAGACCCTCACTATGCGTTTGGGTCTGCCAGGTCTAAGCGGCATCTTCCCCTGCCATCTGATCCAACTCACCACCAGGTGGTGATCAGTTGACAGCTCCGCTCCTCTCTTCACTCGGGTGTCCAAAACATACGGCCGCAGGTCAGATGATACGACTACAAAGTCTATCATCGACCTGCGACCTAGGCTGCCCTGGTACCAAGTGTACCGATGGGCATCCTTATGTTTGAACATGGTGTTTGTTATGGCCAAACTGCGGCTTGCACAGAAGTCCAATAACGAAACACTACTCGAGTTCAGATCAGGCGGGCCGTTCCTCCCAATCACACCCCTCCAGGTCATGCTGTCATTGCCCACGTGAGCATTGAAGTCCCCCAGCAGGACAATGTAGTCCCCTGATGGAGCACTATCTAGCACTCGTCCCAGGGACTCCAAAAAGGGTGGGTACTCTGAACTGATATTTGGCCCATAAGCACAAACAACAGTCAGGACCCGTTCCCCGACCCGAAGGAGCAGGGAAGCTACCCTCTCATCCCCCGGGGTAAACCCCAACACACAGGCAGAGAGTCTTGGGGCTAACAAAAAGCCAACCCCAGCCCTCCGCCTCTCACCCGGAGCAACTCCAGCAAAGTAGAGTGTCCAACCCCTCATACGAGCTCCGCGTCACGCGTTTGCACTGACTGTAACCTGAAAGAAACAGCAGAGGGCAGCAGTACACCCTGGAAGATATGTCTGTGAAGGTTCTCAGTCATCCAGGTCATTGTAGTCTAATGAGCTTTGAAAGAAAAGCATCTGGACTTCTTTGAGTTGCTTGAAGACGTTTCACCTCTCATCCGAGAGGCTTCTTCAGTTCTAAGGTCAAATGGTGGAGCCTGTAATCCGCTAGTTTTCTAGATTCCCTTTCATATTCCCGCACCAGTTGAAGGGTGTTCCTCCCAAAATATACGGCAATATGTCTGTGAAGAAGCCTCTCGGATGAGAGGTGAAACGTCTTCAAGGTCTATTCCCGGAGCCTAGCTATACCATTGCTGTACTTTGTTAGTTTGAATAAAAAACAATGGAATCGAAAGACACGTCAAATTTATCAGGTTGACATCATATTCAATACTCGGCAGCCACATATGATGAGATCTCTGCCCATTATTAGCTGGACACCAGCCTCCAAGTGGTGTCTCTGACTCCCTCACTCACCTCAAGTTCATCTTTTCTTCATTTTAGAGCTCCCAATCAGGTCCCAACATATTGGTTTCAAATACGCATCCTATAGTTCAGTCTACTCAAGTCTCTTCTCCTTCTGCAGCTTGCCATGTCTTTCCCAACAGGCTCCAGCACTCATCCACTAGCTGGTGGCTAAGTCAGCATTTTTCACGTCACCGGCTTCAGCCAACCCTCTTTCACTAACTGATGGATAACGACAAGCAGTGTTGTTGACTCCATCTTCACTCCAGTCAGTCATGTGCTGTGAATTGGCTGCAGCTAATCTAGGTGAGGAGGCCTCGGAAAGATCAGATGTAGCTCTGATTACCTTCCTCAGGGCACATTGATCTTGTTCTTGGCCTGAGTGGTGCTGCTGGTCCCCCTCTGGAGCTCCGGCTTGTTCCATTGTGTTGCAGCAACCAGCTTGTTTAAAACACCAGACCCCGCGGCTGACACCACCCCTCCTCTGTGTGTCAACTTCAAAGACTGACAGATCTAGCTTGCTTCCTTCAGGACTGGTAGGTTGATATACCAGTCATGATTTAAAATGATTTTTTTAATTGGTCAAGTTTAAATGATTTGTTTGGGTTAGGCTAAAGAGATTGGAAATTGATATCAAGCTCATGCTATTTATAAAGAACAAACCTGATGGCTGGAGTGAAAGCTGGTGGTTCTTGACATAACCTCCTTTTTGTGTGGGCCACCGTAGCTGCAATACTTACTTTGAACTGCATGGCGCTAAAGAGTTGCATTTTTTACCACGATCTCTATGGATTCCACACACGGAGCCTTTAAGTACCTCTATCAGATCTTGACTGAAAGAAAAGCTCAAGTCTAAATAGTTCAAAGTTGACGCCAAAGCTGTTTCAAATGAGCCACCGCTAGGGCTGGGCGATATGGCCTCAAATCTATATTGCGATATAATCTGAAGCATGTGCAGTATCGATAAATATATTGCGATATATTTTTTCCTCTGTTTATATATGTCAAAATGACGTGCTTTTAAATATCCTCATGTGGCAAATATATGCCACTTGAGGCATATAGGCCTCCTCCTCCGCCCACTCCATGCTTGCAGTCACTGCCATTCTGTTGTCCCAATGTCAGCAGGGTGCACATTTTAAGCTGTTTTTATAGGACCATAGCGTTTTTAAAACAGGATTTGCCGCAGCAGCCTGGGGAGGGTTTTGGCATTTATAGTAGCAAAGCTGAAGCTAGAATAAACTGCCATCAGACACCTCTCCAACCAAGACGGGATATAGGGAGGTCGCTGGTCATGCCCCCCCCCCCCCCCCCCCCCCCCCCCCGCATTTGACGTACAGGGTTGCGCATTCAGCGTCAGCCTGAAGACACTTCAGACTGATGAAATTTATTTTTCAGGACCTTTAGCTTTGATGTGACCTGCTTTTTGTCCCGCTCAGCCAGTGTTTTCACCACTCTGTCGAACAGCTGGCTGTCTCTCACCGTCCCCATAAAAAGGCGACTAATCTGTTTGTCCGCTCGCACGGCCAAAAGCTCCATGGTCTCCTCGTCTGTCCAGCCAGCTTTCCTTCCGGCCGGCATCCGGCGCACAGTGCACGTGACTAACGCGACCACCCTCTTTTGTGGGGAGGGGGCCTCCCACAGTCGCTCCAAAGGGATTAGCGTGGCTGACATGCGTTTAGCCGTATGAGGCGAGGGGCTGATGCGTCATTACTACCAAGTGAGGCGGAACGAATGCCGCAATATTTGCGCAACGCCATGCCGGCATGGCGCATTTATAGACATACCATTGCGGTAATATTACGCCGATATGCCGGCATGGTGTGTCCTATGAAAGCACCTTTAGTGACGTCATGTGATCGCGATATCGCGATATAGCCAAAAACTCTATCATTACCCAATTTTATATCGTTTCTACCTTATATCATTTATATTGCCCACTCCTAGCCACCGCCATCTTTGTTTTGCTCATTGGTGCTGTGAATGGCAAGACTCAAGGGTGTTCCGGCCTGCTGAGGTTCTAAGGAAGCGTGGCTAGACCAACCTGCAGAATCACTTCTGCTACGGTCTAGTTTTCTAGAACACCTTACAAATATAAAAATGTCAAATGCTGAGAAAACATTGCTCAAGGGAGACCAAAAAGTATAAGAAAAACATGTTTCTTGTGCGTGATGTTGCACTAGCATGCAGCATTGCAGATTTATGTGTGAAACTTTAGAGAACATTAACTTACTGGTAAGACTGTGAAACACCACTGATGTGATTCATCTGCCTTTAGTTTAAGAGCTCAACCAGACATTCATACAATAACAAGCAAGAAGAAATTCAGTTGGATGTGGTCATGAATACTTTATTGATCATTCATCACGAAGCTCAACACTGTGTAAACTGTAGTTGGTCTTTTCATGCTATTCAATAAAATATAAACAGAAACAAATAAAACTTAAATGCAAAGTGGTCTAAAAAAATGCTCATGCAAGCAAACCTTTTGAGTTTGTGTGTGGCCGTCCCCCACAAAACACACATGCCAGTCAACAAATAGCCTGAGTTAATGCGCTGATTCATTAGTCGTGTTTTCACATCAAAGCATTCTCATGTTAAATTAGCAGCTGCAAATGAAATCCATCAGGATTCCTTTGAATGGTTTCCTCACAAAGTTATAAACGTTAACTAAGATTATTAAATGAACTCTGGGAGTCTCACAATACATGACTAACATCCAGAAAACAGCACACTCTTTACAATTAACAGGTTATATTGAAACTTTACATACAGATTATGTGGTTCTAAACACAGAAGCAGCCTTTTGGTACACCCCGAAACCATGGGTCTGCTGTAACTTTAAGGCATCAATAAGTGAGTTTCTACATTACAATCCATCATTTTGCTATAATGATTCGATTAAATATTCATTTATAGTTTCACGAATATATGAGTTCTTGAAATAAAACATGCGCGTGAAAAGACTTTGGTGAAGAATTCTGTGGTTGTTTTAGTACAGAAGGGGATTAGGCACACTGAAAAGAGAAAATCATATTTTACTCAGGAGTCAAAAAGTCAGAATTCTGAGATTGAAGTCTTAATAATTCTTATTTTTTTAAGTGGCTCTAATCCCATTCCGTAGTTTCAGCCTGTATTGAGGTATGCATTAAAAAAATCAAACACTCTGGAACAGATACACTCAGGCTTACGTGACTATTGGAGAGCAGTTTTTATAATCAAGGCACAGCTGGAATTTTGTTAAAACTTTCTTTTTAAATTCAAAATAAAACAAACTTTTCCACTCATAGTAGAGGAAGAAAGGAGCTTTTCATCTTTCCCCCAAACAAAGCTGGAGGCACATTATTTAGGAATGTATAAAATATATATATTTATTTATTTAAAAGCATCAAAAACAATGTGTTTGAAAAGACCAATACGATGCATATTTATATTGTAATTCAGATTTGAATTTTTTTACTATTGATGTTCTGCATTAAACCTGAAACAGGTTTGCAGAGTAACTCAAAGAGTGATTTGGACAAAGACTTCGGCAGAAGTAGGAGAACCCCCAACCTCAAAGTGTTTATCTATCAAAATGTTCTTTATTCAGCCTCCGTGCTCTCGTTACGTTGTTCTGCAGCAGTTCCCCTGAATACTTTACCACCACAGACACTAAAGGAGCACTTCCAGGTGATGAGCATGCTGGCGCGGCTCACTTGTGTCCCAACGTCTCAGCTAACTTCTTCAGCCTTTTCTTGAGCTCAAGAGGAAACTTCTCATAACACTTTTTACAAACCGGCTTCATGTCAAACTCAACAAACTTGTTCCTGCAGAAGGGAAAGAAAAAATACCAACACTGAAGGACGCGGGTGTCGAGCTGTTGATTGGTAACAAAACAACTGAGCACTCACAGCTTTTTTGCTTTCAATAATTCAAAAATAAATTGTTTTTAAAACTAAAGCAACTTGATCCAACTGAGATTGTGTTTAACATCCTTTCATGTTAAATTTGCTTAGTGCAGGAGTTACAAATAAATAACAGCATGCTGGACAGACGAAGAGGAAGGAAGCAAGAACAGGAGGAAGGCAGCAGCTGCACCAGCTACAGGATGGAGCGGTGAATATTTTAAGAATTAGATCTACAGACAGACAGCTGGCTTTTTCTTGCGGTCTTTGGCGTCGCGCTCGCGTCGAGCCAGGCGACGCTTCAGCTCCTCGGGCATGCGTTCATAGCAGTGCCGGCACACCGGCCTCAGGTCAATTTCAACAAACTTATCTCTGAGTTCCCACAGATGCAGCCAGTGAGGCGTGTAAAAGGAGATGTTGAGGAGAAAAAAAGGAAAGGGCCAAAGAAATGACAAGTGTTAGCTGAGGTGTGAAAACACACACAGTTAAGTATTAATGTTAAAGGAAGAGTTAGAGAAAACAAGAGCTGTGCATAGTTGGGTTTCAACTTTTAAAGCTAGGAATCAACATTTGAACTTACTTGAGAGTGAGTTTGTTGTTGCAGGTGGAGCACGAGAAACAACCGACACACCAGGCTTTGTTGAGAGCAGAAACAACTGGGGTCACAGAGACAAAATAAATAAATATAAACCAGATCCTGGAAAGTCAGCGGCTGCATCTCAAAGCAACACTTTGTAAATCACTGAGGCATACAACACAGTAATTATGTGCTTTATCACACTGATGCTCACCATCGCCTTCAATCACACGGTTGCAGTGATAGCACACGTCGCCGAAGAGCTTGACAGCAGAGGAACAGAGAGATGAAGTGTCTATTTAGCAAGCCGATTCTGTCCTGCAAAGCCAAATCTGGTTTCCTACCTGATTATAATGAGTCTCACAGTACGCCAATCCCTTCCTCTCATAATGGCGATGACCGAGGAAAGGCTTCTCACATTTGGCACACACAAAGTGCTGCAAACAAAGAACAAATGCTGCTGAGTGGCATCACAGAGAAACCAACATGGAGTCCTTTAATAAGGCAGAAACACCGCCATGTCATTTTGCTTTTCGCATCTTAAAACACTGGCCTGTGTTCAAACTTCAACCAACCTTTTGCAAAACACCACATTTACTTTCCTGAAGTGGTTAGAGGCTCATATTACAAAATGTCTTCATTTAAGGGAATAGTGTAGAAAGTGTTTAACCTTTAGAAATGAATGCACACAGGTAACTGCAATTAAAATGTATTCAATATTTTTACACAAACTCAGCACCAGATTATATGTTATATAAATGAAAGACTGAAACTATCTTTGGACAAAATTACATTTAAGGAAAACATTTTTGTGTTTGAGAAAATGTATCTGGGTGTCTGATGTTGAAAAGTTCAAAACTTTGCATTTTGGTTTCATCCAAGAATAAAAATATTTGACCATCTCTTCTGCAGCTTCCTGGGTTACTTTTAGAGCGAGTCACTCCCAAATCAACATGTTTTTTTCTGATTAACTAAAGGAGTATCTAATAGTGCTATAAACATTAAAAAAAGACTTTTTAACTTTGTCTTTTCTTTTTAATTTTTAAATCTAAATGTAATATGTGTGTATTTTAATTGTGCTGTCACTTTGATTTTAACTGTTCATGTTATTCTTGCTAACAGAAAGCACAATGAATTGCCTCGGTGTATGAAATGTGCTACATAAAGCTGCCTTGACTGAAACTGTAATTATAGCGCTCTCTTTAGGTTAAAACTCTGCACTACATTTAATTTGAATTTGCCATCGCTATTGGCTAAACCATGTCAAGTGATGTTGCCCGTACCATGGCTGCACTGTACCCGACTGCAGACGAGTTAATAAAAGATTCACCACCCCCAGAGTTGTCATGTTGGTAAACTAGACACATTAAAACTAAAATGTTTTTGAACCAGGCTGTAAGCATGTTTATTCCTGCTCTGAGGTTGGCATTTTTAACATGAAAGTCAATGGGAACTTGCTCCTTTCTGGATCCAGCCCCTAGTGGACGCAGGGGGAACTGCAATTTTTCTCTCTTCCGTTTTGCCTTCGCTTCAGGCAGGTGGAGTTTGCCCATTGGTTGGTTTGTATATTAGGGCTGTAGCGAAGCCTCGATGACGTCGACGGCTCGATTCTAAAAATTTGTCGACGTCAGATCCGGAAGTCGACGCACCGCGCCCACTTGTTGCATCACCAGGAGTTTGTAAATAGAGGAGGAATCTGCCCATTTTTCCTCTAGTTCGCCCTCTTCTCCGCCTTCACTAACATCTCCGCCAAATACCGAAGACCCGGAACAATGTCTGTCCTCTACTAGATTATTTTCCTGTGTTGCCCGCCTTCGTCTCCCGGCAACGGACAACAACTTCCGGGGTCAGATGCGCTACTCCGTCTCTATCTCAGATGTAGAAAATCACCGGGAGCGTTTCTCCCTTCATAAAGGAGCTTCTTTCAGACATTAGGAGAGCTGTTTTGGTGGTAGCAGTCTCTCCTCCGTGCTGCTCTGTTTGCTACTGGGTGGTTTTGGTTTATTTAAACTTGGTAACTTGAACTTAATGTTGGTAAAGCTACTGTTATCATTTTCGCTAACAGCTTCTTGCGTTGGGATAAGCTGTTACGTTTTGGTTTAGAGTTCATCTTTTTGTGGTGCAGATCTCCCTTTTATCACATTTAGAGTGTTGTGGGTTTTCGGTTTAGTTTAAAACATATCACCTTGAGTTTGGTTTAACCGCCCAGTTTAGAGTTTGGACCTTTGGAGATCCTTATTTTGGTCCAGAACCCTGTAATCTTTGCCCAGTGGGACATCCCTACTTATTTGTACTTTTGTTTTAATTCCCCACAGGCCGAATTAGATTTATTATTCCCAACCTGTGGATGGAAAGATTTATGTTTTTTTGTAGTTGTAAATAAACCTGATCACCATTTTCACTTTTAAATCCCGTTATTGTCCCTTCCTTTTTGCACACGAGCCAAACTCCCCAGGAAGAGTCGTAACATCACTTGCCTCACGCACATAAGTGACCAAAACAAAGCAGCATGGAGACACTCCGTCTCCAACCACCTCTCAGGCAGCAGCCTGCACTCCCAAGTTCTACACGTCACCAGAACATAACCAACCAACACAATAAAAGCAGTGTTATACAAAATGGAAGGCCTGTAGTGTTTATTCTCCTACAGTAACAATTTATCAATTTTTTTGAGGAATTTATTAGATTTTTTGGTTTTTATTAACTGTGCAATAGAAAAATAATCATTAGATTAACTGTCTAAATAGTCATTAGAATAGTCGACTATTCGATAAAATAATCGTCAGAATAATTGTTTTAAAAATAATCGTTTACCCCCAGCCCTATTATAATTTATATATATATATATATATATATAAACACACAGGTAAGATAGGATTACTCATTCGTCTCTGTAATGCTTGAAGATGTCAAAAGTCATACATTCTTCTCTGCTGTTGTCTTGTAAAAACACGGAAAAGTAATAAAAATGTTCTTTTTCATTTCAAGACAAAAAGGAATCTCCTAAATAAAAATGTAGGACTAAAACTTTATGTAATGTGGTGAAAAATGGTCCCAAACCTCCACATGCCACTGTTTGCCCATGGCATTAACCACACGGCCCTCGATGGGTCTCCTGCAGGCACCGCAGATCGGGACGCCCATTTTGTCGTGGCACGGCAAACAGAAGAGTTCTCCTTTCAGCTCCCTTGCATCCGCTGTCAACTCCTTCCTAGAAGTGGTGAAAAAAATGTCAAGGACACTTTGAATACCGATTTTAAATAATGCATTTTTATGAATCCACACAACGCCGTTCTGTGAAATTTTTTACAAAAACATGCAAATAAGTAGTGCTATAAAGTGTTTAGACTGACCCACAGTTGCTGCAGTTGAAGTGATCTGGGTGATACGGGTCATTCTTAAAGATCAGCGGCTGTTCTTCGATGATGGCGTGGCACTTCTGGCAGATATACTTGCCTAGACCACGAGCTTTCTCACGGTTATGACATGGGCGACACAGGTGCCTGAAACAGAAGAGGGTGGAAAACAAAGGCTTGTCAGGGAATTTTAGGCTGAAATTTTGTTTCTACACACTTGATTACAGCTGCTTAAAATTCCTATTTGTTAAAATGCAGACAGAAGCACCAGCTCTGAACCACCAGTTCTGCAGGCTGCCGTGCTGTTACTTCAAGGCTATAATGAAATGGAATTACATACCTGCCAGCATTTTTGACAAATCCCACATCTGCAAGCACTGCCTGGCAAATGTCACAGCAGAAGCACTCAGGGTGCCAACTATTGTTCATGGCCTTAATCACGCGCCCTATGATGAACTCCCCTGGAAGAAAGGATTTGACATCAGTGTCACTAGATTCTGACTTCAGTTGGTCAACTCTAGGTGCATTCCTCAAACATGCTACACTTTACAGATTTACTAGGATTCTATTTGGTATTATTTTAGTGACATTTTATTAAAGCATGCTAATCTCTCAACTGGAACAGATAAATACTTGCTAGTGGACCCTTTTCACATCTGCTGTAACTTGTTTTGTTTCTCACTCTGAGGTGAGCATGCTGAGATAAAGTGTCTCAAACAAAAAGCAGAGAAGATGCCTTGGGGAGTCTGTATATCAATGACACGTTCAAAACAAAACTATAAAGTGTTGTGATGATAGGCTGAAATCTGATCCATCAAACAGGTAGAGTTACATTCCTGCAGAAAGGGTCACACAAGAAAAGTACTGGGGAAAGATGATTTTTTTAATTTTCTTTTTGTACAAGAAAAATCAAGTTTTCCACATTTGCCAAAAATGAGTTAAGAGCATTTTTGCACACAAAAGAATACAAATCAATATGTTGCCTTAATTTTTTTTATTATACAAATTTGACACTTCACTAAAACATCCGCCAAATAAATGCAGCTCTCTTCAAAATTAGGAATGCACAATATAATCGACATCAGTGTTGGTATCAGCCGAGGTTTTAACATATCGGAATTGTCCTGAGAAGTAAAACTAGGCCGATATTACCAACCGATATTATTTCAGTCCTGCGTCTGTCTGCGTATTTGTTTCAGAGAGTGAGGGGGTGATGTGTAATTGTTTAGTCATGTGACAGTGATGGTAACCATCTCAGAAGTGTAAATGTGTGTATATATGTGGGCGACAGTGGCACAGAAGTTAGGTGCTTGTCCTGTAATCGGAAGGTTGCAGGTTCGAGCCTCACTCAGGCTGTGGTTGTCGTTGTGTCCTTGGGCAAGACACTTAACCCACCTTGCCTGATGGTGGTGTTCAGAGGAACCAGAAGGGCAGACTCGCCTTTGTCAGTGTGCCCCAGGGCAGCTGTGGCTACAATATAGCTCATTACCACCAGGGTGTGAATGTGTGTGTGGTGGGGGAATGACTGATTGTGTTGTAAAGTGCCTTGGGGGTTCCTGAACTCTAGAAGGCACTACATCAAATACTGGCCATTTACCATTTGATAACATTTAGCAAACTGCACTTTATGGAAATAAAACCAAACTTTCAAAAATTCAGCTTGCATAGTTTTTAATTTATACAAAATTTGCTGATTTCAGAAGCATAAATGCCTGTGTGTGTGTGTGTGTGTGCGTGTGCGTGTGCGTGTGTGCGTGTGTGTGTGTGTGTGTGTGTGTGATGTTGTTTATCGGCCATACCAGTGATAGTAATCTCGGATATCAGTATCGGCCAAAAAAATTTATGTTGTGCATCCCTATTCAGACTCGAATAGACATGAATCAAATATAAATATCTTACTTTGGTTTTATTCTGAAATTCTCAGATGTTTTTCCACATTGTTGTCATCTCTTGCATCTAAATCCAAACATTCTCTTTTCTGTTTGCAGAAAGTTGAACCTTGAAAATAAGTTGTGCCCATTTATCAGTCAGCTGTACTTAATGTGTTATTTGTTTTATGAAATGCGTTTGAATTTCGGCTCACATTTGTTTCATCTCTGTAAAATGCTACCCCTAAGCAGCATGGGATAAATCTGCAGATGCAGTAACAGTGTTTCTCCAGTAGATGGCACAGAGAGACTAAGTCACTGGCTGCTTCAATACCTCCCCTAAAGATGTAGATAGAATATAATAGACTTTGTTAATCCCACAGAAACGTAGATCTCTCATAACATAATGCGAGAGATCGCCATGGAAACCAGACAGCGTCTCCTATGTGTTAAATTTATTTCCTGCTTTTTAGGTAGAAACACTTTTTTAAACAATTTAAAGTTACTTCAGGTCATAAAGTAACTATTGGGGACGATTTTTAAATATGATTTATCATTATTTTTGTTTTTTTAAACTCTATTTATGAAAGGTACATAATTATTTTACAATAATATTTACATGTTTTGCAATCTCCAAAAATCTTTCATTGTAGGATAAAATTTTCGTTACATAACCCCTTTTCCTTTTGATATACTTTTTTTTTTTTACTTTGTGAACTATAGGTGAGGGGTGCGCATTCGCGCCCAATATCAATCAGCACCGAAACCAGTCTGGAGATTACTTGTACATTACTTTATATTAAATATTATTACTTCCAATTAGCCCCAATCCTATTAAACTTCTCTGTTTGCAATCTAAGGGAGTTTTTTTTCTTCCATTGTATAAATGTTGTTCACTATGTTTTCCCATTTTTGATTCATCTTTTTGACCAGAAGCAGAAAAAAAACTCAGCTGAATCATTGAATGAACTTCAACACATGAATGTGGGGAACATTAATGGTATTTTGAGTGTAGATTGATACGTCACTAGTCTCTATGATTTTACCTTTGTCTTTCTAAACATGTTTGTTTCAGTTTAAAATGTGATTTAGTGTATAATTAAGAAATGGTTCAAATGTATGTTGATTATAAACCCAGGTTAAATGTTTGTTAGTAAAATGTGTTTTGAGAAATTTATAAATGGGTTATGGTTGTTTCAGACCCATTGAACGTGTCATAACGGGTGACTACCAACGTATTTAAAGTTTAGTAATAGCTAGAGGAAAATTGAATTTATAGGTGTACGGTTGAGAATCAATATTCATGTTTCTTGTATTTGTACACACATTAAAATATGTCAGTATCTGTTTATCTGTCTACAAACGTTCCAAATACAGTGGCTGAATTAAGAATTAAAATAAATGTATTGTTTGGATCTCCACAACACTTAGAAGCACAAGCACTACATTTACCCACATAGCAGGCATGTGATTTTGGTTTTGCTTTGCTTCATTTCTGCTTTCAGTGCAGAAGTACACATAAAGAATCACTTAAGGCTATCCAACACTCACCGCACTGGTGGCAGCAAGGAGCAAAGAGCATCTGGAAGTCGTGTTCACAATATTTTCTTCCTTCAAACTGTAAGAAAACCACAATGAAAATGTAAGCAACATTTAAGAGCGAGAAAGGCTAACCGACTTGTGCACAAAACATGGCATATTGTTGTTGCCTTGTTGAATGAAATACAGTAACTAGTATGCAGCAGGTGTGCAGAGCTACCTCATAGAAGAGTCCTTCTGGAAACTGCTGGAAACACTGGGCGCATACAAAGCAGTGCTCATGGTACAGCTCTCCATTACTGTTGACAATCTTCTCAGTTGGAGCGAAGCCACTTTTGCATCGCTCGCAGCTTGCACTTGCCAGGGCATTGGCTATGCTGTCACAAACCACAATATAAATACACCAGTCCCTTTGCTTCTAAATATTCAAGTTTATACTATAATGTTCTCACTCTCACATCACCATGAATGGAGAGACAGCTGCTGCATGAATGAAAACAAGTCACCGCACTGTTCAATTAATTACTGAGGTCTGTCATACACAGGCTTAAAGCACAGCTACAAATCAAAGAATGAACAGATTTGTAATTTTATCTTTTGAACAGTGTTTCACGTTTCTATGATCACTGATTTAGGTTTTGCCTGCAAATATGCTAATTTATGGTACACAACTTACAAAATATATTTTATGATTAAAAATGTTTGTCACATCTAAATTTTTCCGTGTCTTGTATTTGAGTGACTTAAATGCATAAATATACCTGAAAGATAAGTGGTACTAAAACAAAACTAAAAGGGTTATTATGAATAAGTTAGCAGATGATGAGATTTAAGCTAATATAATGCTAGCATAACATTTTCGGATTAAACACTTCTCGAGGACACAACTAAATCTTTCAAGCATAGTATGAGACGAGTAAAAACATTTTATGCACTTTTTTATTTTTGGATACATTTTAGAAAAGCTGTTAGCCAAATTAACCTTGCTACGTTGGCATGCTAATGTCATGTTAGCCTTTAGCTCACTGGGTTCAACGCTAACTTACGCGTTACTGGTTTGAAAGTTGTGCTCCAAACACCTACTATCTAAAGTCTTACCTGCCCGGCATCCCTGCTACCCCCAGCATCACCTCTCAGCACCACAGCCTGAGAAAGGCAGACAGTATTGGGATGTTTATTCCTTACGGAAGTTTGTCGAGATGAACTATCGTTGGTCCGTACGGCAAACCGTTGTGGCACATAATCAAATCTCGTGCTAATGTTAAATGTCAATAAAGCGCTCCTACTAGTGAACAAGAATTCACCCCGCCACTCTAAATTGAAACCAATGATAATGAAGGTAGTTTATTTCAATTTGAGGTTTTTCACAACTGAGATAGCATTTAAATTTGTTTGAAATAATTTCTTTAAGAGTTTGATGGAATATTTTAATATTGGATTTAATTAAAACTCACTTCAAAGAGACTAGGTTATCCTGAGTTATCTCTTTAGTTATTCTGCTATAGGCTTAGACTGCTGGAGGACCTGACCTCCTGCTACTTTCTCCGACCTTCCAATTGCATTATTTCCTGTTATTTCAGCTTTTAATTTTATGTTTTCTCTCCCCAGAAGAAGCTACACTGGTGTTCAGCTGAGCTGTGGTGGCCTAATGAGGGAGCCATCAGCTGGCACACTGCTGCCAACCACTAGACAATCTCCCTCTCCTGATAAAAACTTTACTTTCTTTAACATAGAAGGTGCTACTAGTTAACCTGTTGCATTACTTAAAAATGTACTCAGTTTTATTTTGTGAAGAAATAGAATCTCTATTAAGAAACCGCAACGTATGCAGCTATAGAAACGCTACTTGGTGTGTATGTTGTATGTGTGTGCATGTGTCTGCTGTTTTCTTAAAGCTCCAGTGAGTTGTGATAGATGGCTGCTCATACTGACCCAGGTTCTGCTGGAGGTTTCTTCTTGTTAAAAGGGAGTTTGCATCTCCACCATCGCTACATGCTTGCTTAGTATGGGGATTACTGTAAAGTCTCGGAAACAAGACAGTGGCACGATGCAATCTGCTGGGTTTCTTTTAAGGAAACTTTTAACTATCTGGCATAATAAACTGAGGTCAACTTTGTGATGTACATTGAGATGACGTTTGTTGTGATTCAGCTCCAGATACCTACAAGTGAAGTTTCACATCTAGAATGAAAAATGTTTTAACCTGATAACAGGATTTTTCCAACAGTTGGTGAAGTTTCTCTTATATATCAGATAGGCTTGCCACACAGGGAATCTGGCAGGCCTCCACTCCCTCAGATAGCACGTCCACAACAAGCTGCCATCTGTTCTGGTGAAAACTTTAAATCAGCTTTACATATTCTGGTTAAGTGCTGGACATGCTCAAGTACCACAGTATTCTCGGTAACTAGTAGGAACCTTTATTTGAATGCACGTTATTCGAATAAAGCTACACCCACTTTAAACACATATTTATATACACAAGATCACCCATGTACCCACTAAAAAACGTAATTTTACACAAATAAGCGGGCTTTACATTTTTAATTACAAATTGAAAATACAAACACCAACTGTTAACATTCCAAAATAAATCCACACAAAATATGCTTTCACTAAAAAATTAATTTACTTTGGGGAAAAAATACAAGTGACTTCTCAACAAATCTCATTATGCAGCTTTTTAAAATAAAAATATATAATTACAGTATGTATGCGCTTAGTGCAGATGCAGTTCTCCAAACTAACCAGCAGGGGGCGTGCATTTACAAATGATGAGTGTTAGCAATGAACGAAATCCTGTTGCCATTAATAATAATATATATTCAATGAATATGTATGAGCAAATATTAAAGCAATGCATTAGCTTCATATAGAAATAATTAGAATATACAAAAAGGGATAAAGAGCATGTTATTCATTCTTAACTGCTCATGATGATTAACTACAGCCCCATTGCACAAGCCCAACATCCTCGTACATTCCACCTTGTGACATCCTTAAAGTCAAATTACACATCAGAACATTTCAGGAAACATTCGGCGACACAAACAGGAACCGCACAACTTCCATCCACCACAACACGGGGACATACACACACCTTACACTGAAACTTACTTCTGAGTTAAAAAGGCTCATGAAACACGTATGTGGAGTAACCAGGTAGGTAGGTTTTAACGTTGCAAATCTGCAGCACCTGCCTCCAGAGGGTTAAAAACTAACAGAAGCTCAGTGGTGTGGCTCTTTGTTTTTAATGCAAGAATCAAATACAATCTAAAGACTCACATCTCCTTGTTTATATTTAATAATTTTAAAGAACTGCATAAAAAGAAGGAAACTGAATAAAACGACAATTATTTTACCTAATTCTATCATGTGTCTGTAGATCAGTCTGCAGTAAATGATGCTCTCGTGTTAACCGATTGTCTTGATGAGCATGTTTACCATGGCAGGATGATGTTTACATCATACATGTTTACATCATACAACATAATTAAAGAATTACACATTTTGATCCAAAGCCTTTGTTAGACGCGATCATTTCAGAAAACCGATCAACACCAAAGAAAGTGGCGACTTCTCGCTAATGTCGGACCCTTCCTTAGAAGAAAAGTGCATTGAAAATGAATCTATTATGTACAAATAACTATATTTGCTCCCAACTCTTAAAATATATATTATTTACAATTTAAACAAAAAGGTGGGTCAAGCAATGTTTCAATTGCCTGTAATTTCAACAAAAATGTTAATTACTTAGAGATATTTACATGTACTTTAGGGTTAAGAAGACAGAAAAGCTGCACTAGCCGTCTACTCATCAAACAGAGACGGCTTTACTTTTCTAAACGAGACTTGAAAAAGTGCCAAGCTGGAATAAAGGAGACCGAAACCAAACTGATTCCACCATTATCTACCCGTTTGTAGTCCCACACACACCACCCAGTCTAGAACAACGCTTAACACACACACACACACACACACACACACACAACGAAATGTTTGAATATAATCAACACATGGAGCCATAAAAAAATGAATAAATTTAGCTTATCACTCCAACTAAATGCATGTATAATTCTAAAACGTCCTAATCACCACATCTGGATTAAACATTTAAATTTAAGACGACACTTTAAACAAGATTTCATATTTTAGAAAAAGTAGCGATATTAACGTGATTCTTGTAAAGTTTATTGCTTTAAAATATATTTAATCATGATAAAGCTAAAATGCATTTACACCGTCTTTCTGAGTGTCACAAATACAGACGTGGTACAACTCGGTGAGTCAAGTAAATCCCAAAGTTCATCATCTATTCCCCATTCTTTCCAGACGAGCTTCTAAATTTCCAGCAGAAATAACAGTCTCGGGAGGAAAAGGTGAAAATTAAGTGTTTAAAAAGATTTTGATGAAGTTTAAAAAAAAACAAACATGATTTACCAGTGAGACAGTTTTATAACAAATGCTACATTATTTTAAGCTAATACGTTTTATCAGATAGACGACAGATGACATTTCTGTCATACACACACTCACACACACACACACCTCTGCAAACCTACAGCAGAGCTTCACCATGTAGGCATCATGTCTGGGAACCAGACCCGGCCCAGGTGCTTTGACACCTCCCAGTGGATATCATCCAGCTCGTAACGGTGATCTGGAACCAGCACCTCCTCCATGATGGACAGCTGCGTCAGCCTGTCTCCACACATCTTAACAAACTCCACGAAGGCGCTGCAGGACACCTCGCACTCCCCCAGGCCAATAGCGGAAAGCTGCGTGCAGCGCTGGGCGATGCGGATCAACTCTTCATCCAGCGGCCGTAGCCCGTTGGCGCAGACCACCAGCTCGACTAGACGCGGACAAGTGAGCCCCACGCGGCCCAACACGTCTTTGCTGACGGAGCGCCCAAAGTAAAGATGCGTAACGGGGATTTCGTCGCGGAAAAAAATGTCAAACTCCTCCTCGTACAGGAAGAAGTACATGACCAGGCTGAATTTGGGAGAGTGGCGTACCATGGCGTCCCAGCTGCTCTTCTTGATGGTGTGGAACTGCTGGCCAGGATTTTCGCTGACCACGTCGATGCGCAGGTGCTCAAGGTGAACGTGCTTCTCTGAGGAGAGAGCGATGAGCAGCTCATCACTCAGCAGGTGATAGTTGAGAGCCAGCTCTCTGAGGCCGTGGCACTGGTCGGCCACACACATGATGCCTGGAAACAAACGCAGGAACGTCAGATTTGAGTTGAATCAGATGATCCTGCAAACCTCGCCAAAATAATAACAGATCGGATGAGAACTTAACAAAAATCAAAATGAAATAAAAATAAAAAGACTGATCAACGACGCTTCCAAGCAATCAAAATGAATTATTCATGATTATCAGGAACAAAGTCAATCATTTCTTTAATTGATCAGTACCTGCAGGTGAGACATGAGGACAGCTGCTCATCTTCAGCAGTTTGAGTGTGTCACTGTTGTTGGCCACCAGGACTTTAAGGGAGGGGTCGTCCACTGGGGTGTCATCGATCTTTAGGGAGGACAGGGATTTGGAGTTGACAAAAACCACCGTCAGCGCAGAGATGAAGTGAGACTGTTGAGCAGAAACAGGAGAGAAACATTTAAAAGCAACCGCCAAGATGGCGCAGATACAGGCAAGCACTGATTCCTGCATCATTTGAACTCCTAAACAATGTGTAAAGAGCCTTGAGACGACCCTTGACCCTTCCACCGGCATTAGATGTTCGTCAGAACAGAAGAATTTCAGACGCTGGTCACTGATCAGATCCTGTAACGGGCGACTCATCACATCCCTTCGGGCTTACCTTGGGCATCTCCATGAAACTGGGCCGGGCCGTAGAGATGAGGCCAAGAGTTTTCAAAGAACAATTCACGAGCTGAGAGAGGATGTCACAGGCCGCCTCGGCAGACTCTCTGCTGCTGTCCACCTGCACACAGGAAGGATGGCAGTTCAAACCCCTCCCCTTTCAACAGAAGACAGGAATCCACCTGAAAACTCCGTCGTACCTTGAAGCTGACATACTGGAGGTGGTTGGAGTGCTTCTTGATGATCTGTTTGATGAGGTCTGGGTGTGTGGCCTTCAGGTAGGAGCTGGCTGGTTGGTTCAACTCAAACTCAAAACAGCGCCACAGCTCCGGCATGTGGAAGGCCTGATTCCATCCCCGACACACCTGCAGGAGTAACATGGTTGACTGTACTACTCTATATGTTTTACCAACACAAATTGATTTAAAGAGGCTTATTATAGTAATAAATGTACCATGAACCTTGAAATAAAAAGCTTAAAACCTCTCCAACTCCAATGTAAAGGTAATATTTAGACGTCTATGTGTGTGTGTACATTGATTGGGGCAGCAGTAGCTCAGGTTGCAGAGCGGGTTGCCTCATGATCGGAGGGTCATGGGTTCGATTCCAGCTCCCGCCAGGGGTATCCTGCTGTTGTGTCCTTGGGCAAGACACTTCACCCAACTTGCCTGTGTTAGTGGTGATCAGAGGGGCCGACGGCGCCAAATGGCAGCCTCGCCTCTGTCAGACCTCCCCAGGGCGGCTGTGGCTACAAGTAGCTTACCATCACTAGCAGTGTGTGAATGTGAGAGTGTGAAAGTGTCTTTGGGGGTCTAGAAAAGCGCTATATAAGTTCAATGCATTATTATTATTATTATTATTATAAAATCTAATACTTAATCCATCCTAGAGGGCCTCTGATGCTTGTAATGAATAACTGAAGGAAACATTACGCTGCCATTTACCTAAATCCCCAAATGAGGTCTTACTGCTTGACTACTTTTTCTATTCACCTTTAAATTACATAATATTTAGATTTACCTAAATATTTCTTCTGTGATTTCTTCACTGCATTTCCTTTCAAGTAGACATATTATGCAAAACTCACCTTTTGCATCTTTTTGCTGCCATGTGGATCTCTACTGCCTCTATAAACACTCAAAGTGTGAAAAAAATCCATCTATCCGGTTTCTGTCAGTGTTTGGTTTTAGGAATGATCTGCCTAAAAAAAGTGGTTTTTCAAACTCCCAGTTTGTGATGTCACAAACAGGGAAATGAGCATAGTACCACCTCTCACGTGCACAAGAGTGCTACAGCTAGAGGAGCAGCTACTCTACTCTGAGCCCCTCCCAGATATTGGAGCCTACAGCAGCCTGAGTGGGGATGGGTGGGCGTGGCCAGCTCCAGCTTGTTTTCTTAAAGGGACAGAGCCCTTAAACAGCTCATTCTGGAAGGTACTGAATATGATGAGAAGAAAAGTGCTGAAATTGCTAAGAGGAATTTTCTGCAAAGAACTTCATGAACATATTTTGTTTTGAATATAGAACTATTATAACTTAGGAAAAAAGTCAGGTGTCCCCTTTAAATATCATTTAGAGTTTAAATCATTTCAGATTAAATATGAAAACAGAATGCACTGAGCTCCTATTTCAGTACGGTGAGAGAGATTACTGCACGAGGCATTTCACTCAGTGCTGCCACTAAAATAATCTAAGTCTACCTTGTTCAGACTCAATGGGTTAATGACTTGAGATAGTTGTGGTGGTTTTCTGCTGCAGTCACCGGGGAGTTCTTCAAAAGAATGAAGACTATTCAGAATGACATGTTAGCTACTCTCAGGCAAATACTGAGAGCAGCAGTAAAAGTATTACTACATGTGTACCTGAGAGGCATAGGCCCTGTCCAGCAGAGGTAGGTACTGGAAAATGTGAAATAGGATCTCCTGTGGCAAACACTCCCAGCTGGGTCCCTCTTCTACCACTTCATTCTCTCTCCTCTGCTTATGGGACCATTTCAGGGTCTTCCCACTCCCACTGCTGGGGCCTCCTCCATCCTCCCGTTCGTTCTCTTGGAAACCTCGCTTCATCCTTGGAAAACATAGAAGGGTTTCATTGAAATCCTGATCTGTTTGTAGCTATACTGCATAACCTCTGACATTATCAGATAATATCTTGTTCAGATGAGTAAAGGAAAATCTAGTTGTGTAGGAGAAAGCTGGTTTTAGGAAGCTGACCTTATTTGGAAATGTATCTGAACCTTGACCTGAAAACCCAAAGCAACTCCAGAGGTTCAAACTGACCTGACAGGTTTATTACTCGCATTTAGTTTCCTATCTCAAAGCTCCAGTCACTCTGGAACTGTAAATATAAACTCATCAGACCACATGACCCCTAGCATTAAGTTCCCCAGCAAACTAAAACATTTTTGTCTCTTACAGCCACAGATAGGTGCTTTTCTCGAGGCCAGACAACAGTTTAATCCCAAAAACTTGAGTTGTTTCTGCACTTTTCATTTAAAAGTGCTTTTCCTTCCATGACTAAACATTGCCTTGAGTTTATTTACCTCAATCAGAAGTTTAATCGTGATTTTTCTAAGACATGTTAACAACACAGAGACTATTAATATTTCAACTATATCTTTGGATTGCTCTTCCCAAACAGTGTAAAATTTGGTTAGCAAAAACAGGATTTGCTGTCCGACATGTTTATTTATAACGCATGTTCCAAATGTTAGGGTCAGGACCCATGAAACACCAAGTGTGGGGTGCTGAAAATTAGAGGTGCTGAAGAAAATCAATTCAAGTCTGAATCAGGATTCTTATTTATAAAGATTCAGAATTGATTCCAAGAACTCAAATATTTGGCATGTTACAGGTTTGAGATGCACTTTTTTGATCTTTGTTAGGAGAGTCAGTACTGCGTTTACTTTTGTGGTCCCATGGATTGAGATGATTTATGTTTGAACCTGCTGATAAGAGGGCACTTGAATGTAATTTTTTCATACTCAGAATTTTGAGATATTCTCATATTTATTTTCTAAGTTGATAAATGAGTACTCAGGATTACTCATGTAACTTGTTTCTACACATACTTGAAAAGTATTACTTTCAAAGCTACTGTTGGGTAACTACAGATTTGTTATAGTTTACAAGGTAAGCAAAAATAAATGTTGCCTTTTGGTCAAAAGATTGCTTCTGTTTACAGTTTTAGAATCACTTTATTTTACGTTGTAAATTTGCATTTTTTGGAGCATGATCAGTTTAAAGTCAAATAAAAATGTCCCATAGCTTTAACTGACTTGTACAACAAAGTAGTTAATCCTGGAGCTGACACTCTTTGTTAATACTGATTGTGAATCGATTTAAATTGAGAATCGAGAATCAATTCTGAATTGAATCGGCACCCCAAGAATCAGAATCGAATCAAATCGTGAGTTGCTCTAAGACTCACATCCCTACTGAAAATGCTCTCCAGAAATCTAATGAACTGTTAAAAAATAGTAATACGTTTATTCCAGAATTATAGTAAGAAGTAATGACATTTGGAAATTGTATCACTTTTTTCTGTTAATCTAATTCTACTTTGAGATCATTATGATTTTATGACTTTGTTTTATTTTGTTTTGATCTCTGTGAAGCACTTTCTGATTTTATGTCTGTGATAAATGCTATATAAATAAAATGTACTTACTTAAGTAACCACATATATTTTGTGTATTGATTATCCTCCTGTTTAATTGGATGACAAATATTTGTTCATCACAAATAGCATTAGCAGGAGTCACGTGTCTCTGCCAAGGTTATTTAGGAGTCAGAAACTGAAGTCTGACAACAGCTGAGAATTAAGAGGCTGTTCACTGCTTCACCTACATTATTTGTTATCAGCTGAAACATAAAACAACTTTTTTTCCAGTACGAAGTTTAAAACCATTTGATGTATTGAATCCAGAAAGCTGTTTTACTGGTAATTTATTCTTAACTCGTTTAAAATATAACCAATCCTCATTATAAAAGCAAAGATGTGACTGGATTTTTGATGGAGCTAGCTCCGTTTTGTTTTGGAGCGCAGGTCACGCCTCCTTCTGTTTCTAACCGTGCACGCACACACACACACACACACACGCACACACACACACACACACACACACACATGCGCACGAACACAAGTGTACCTGGTGGTAAACTCACCTGTTAAAAGGGCCTAATGTCCTCTGAAAATACTTAATTGCCCAAATACGTACCTCCGTGTAAAGATGTTGACGTCGTTTACAAAATACGCTAAAACATTTAGCTTAGCTCAAACCAACTGCATTGCTCTTAGCTATCTGCAGCTAACAGTAGCCACGTGATATAAATTACATTAAAATATAGCAAGTAATTTACTTTAAGTTGTTACTTTTAGTCGACCCACTCGCCCCCTCACCTGGTTTTCAGCTCCTCTGTTGGCTGTTTATCCAGAGGCTAACGCTCTACGTCAACCGGGACCGACACAAGAAGAAAACTGCGTTGGAGCTGGCCGACCGATCAAGCACATTGGACCATACGACAGCACGGTGGGACCGGGTGTTAGCAATCACTGGCTGGAAGCTTTCAAAGTGAAATTTCCGCGAGTGTTTGGGTTTCCCAGACGGCTGACCTAGTTCTAGTGCACAACTCTGCCTCAGTGGTACTTCAGCTAAAGATGGCGTTTGTGTGGCTGTGCGGATCAGCGGGCTGCCATTTTAGTGAACGGTTGCTAGGGGGAGCTGTTTCGCTCAGAGACGTGTTTAACAGCTCAAACAAAATAAATTGTAATTTTAAGCTAATAAGTAAATCAAGAGAGGGGGTGTTTTATTATTTTTTTTCTTTAGGGATTAGTCTGTGTTTCGTGAAACACAGTATGTACAGTCTATGCACCAGACCAATGAGACAGCAGTTTTATAACATTTCACAAGATCCAATCCCAATAAGTTTTGACAATGGCTCCAAGGTAAATCAGTCAAAAAACTCGAAACCATTTCTCAATTGTTACTAAGCCAGACCAATGAAACACAGCAGTTGTTTTCACATTTCACAAGCTCTGATCCTTTTTATTAGAATTTTTATTTAAAAATAAGTGATTTATTTCAATAGCTCTTAAGCTAATTGCTGTAAATACTCAAAACCATTTCTCATTGCTCAGCAACACAGCTTCAGGCCATTGCAATTAATCTTTGACCTCAATCAAACCTCTCCTCCCACAAATTCTTAAGTGGTATGCTCTTCTTCCTCCTGTCTTGGAGTGGGGATCTCGTCGATGGTAACCTTTCTCAATCAGAACGTCCCTCGTCGCCACCTGGCTTGATATGAAGATGTAGTCAATTGCAATGGTAAGCAGTCCATTTAATTTCAATTGGCCTCATGTTTCAGGTGAACATTTTCATCAGTAAGTGACAAGGCCAAATTCTCTCTAATCTAGTCATGTGCCATGATGGGGTTTATGTTTTAGTATTTCACAAAGACAATCATCACAGCCACCAAGGCTCTGGTCAGCACACATGGGCGAGGTGAGTTTTGGGTCCTTGCAGTTCTTGAGCAGCATCTGGCCTCTGGTGGTCTTTTTAGTGTTCAAGGGCTAGGCCCATGGTATTTGTCTTTCTTTCTAGCTGAAAGGGCGATCGTGTATTTCCTTTATGTCCTCCAGAAGCGAAGAAAAAAAGAAGAAAAAAAAGAAGACTTTTGAGTTATTTTTACTTACAGCAATCAGCTGAGCAAAGTAAGTGGCTCTGGAATTTTTCACCATCTCATTCAGATATTAACAGTTCTTTAAAATGCAGCCTGTGACTTTCTAATCTAGTTGACTTCCAACGTCTCGGCTCTGCGCGGCATATCCCTCTGAGACTGTAAATGTTTTGATTAATCCAATTAATTAATAAACTGTCCCTCACTCAGACTACACCCAGCTAAATTCTGGCTGTCTGAGAAGTCCTATTTCCAAGCTGAAGCTTCTGGTGACATTTAGAAATGAGATTCGGGGTTCTTTGTTAGAAAACAGCTTACCTTCATATCTTTCTGTTTTTTTAGCACCAAGCCATGATGAACCCTTTGATGCATGAATTATGAAATCTTCAACCATGATTTTTTTAACAATTTTTTTCATCCATCTTTAAGTGTGAATGAAACAAATTTCAACAAATATTTTTTGTAAAATTTTATAATTTACAAATAATTTATTACATGTCCACCTCAGTGGACAGCGTGCATTCTGAGCATGAAATATGTTGGCTTGGCTTACTGAAGTCCAAATGGAGGGGCTCAAATGCAATTAAGTCTTCAACAGCTGTGCTTAATAGCAAAAACAAATAAATAACAATTTTGAGTACCTGTCCACTGTAGTGACCATTATGCATCAAAGGGTTAAAAGTTTAGAGTCATAACTCCATAGTAGAGGAAGTATGAACAGCTAAGATGGATTAAGCCAAAATAAATGTGGTTTCTGGCCCATCAGCAGCCATGTATGATAGTTTTTTTTTTTAAATCAAAAAGCAAACAGTGTTTAGAAAGGTGAGCGTGATGTGAGGCAATGTTTGTTTTATTACATTAAGATCAATGACAGATGCATGTTAAAACATCAAGATGATCCAGAATAAAACATTTATGATCTGTAAAATTAAAGGGAGCAGGTGAGCTGGATTAGTAAAGAAGATCCAAATCCATGATAATATTTAAGTGAACTAATCCAGACCGTCTACTCATCCATGTCTTTTGCAGCTCACTACTGCCATCGTGTGGTCAGTGCTCACAGCACTGCAGTTACATTTTACATTAAAACCCAGTATTAGGCTGCTAAAGGGACTTATTCACTTATGAAAATGATCCATAAAGTGTCATTAGAAGCCAAAATGTATCCTTGATGCCAGCATCAATCATAAACCTCCTCAGTGGTGTGCAGGATACCTTGCTTAGTTTTAATCTGAAGAAAGTTGAAGGAAAGTTTTTTTCCTTTAAATGTGTGCTAAAATGTTCAGATCTCGGTGTAAAAATTTCCTTCCATGCCAGGATTTGAACTGGGAGCTGGTGGGTGGAACTATTTGCGATGAAACGTGGCTCATCTTTTATTTTGTTACCATGTTATTTGTTGAGCACCTTTGTTCTAGATCTTTCTATGGTAAGTTAGAAGACCTCTGGAACATTTAAAGAGCAAGTCACCCCCTACCAGAGTCTTACTCCACTCCCACTTCATGTTTGAAAAAAGCAACAAATGATGTTGCATGGCAGACAGAGAGGGCGGAGCCGTTAACAAATACACACGCAGGCTCACAACATTGTGACATCACAATGTACCATCTAACGTCATTGTGTACTTCTTAGCCAATAGCCATGGCAGATTTAAATTCAAATGCAGTGGAGTTTTTACCTGACCATGGCACATTGTTGAGTTTTAGGCAGAATATTTAAATTTTAACTAAAATGCACTTAAGTACCAAATTATTGACTACACATGTCTACAGCACAATTAGACATTCATTTGTATAGTTTATCAGCAATAAATACTTGGTTTGGGGGTGACTTGCTCTTTAAGGACAACAACAGCTAAAACTGGACATTCTACATGTTGCAGCCAAGCTGTTTAATCACTTTTAGTGTTTGTTTTTTCCAATTACGAAGTCGCATTGTCTTCTCTTTATTTTTGAAGTGCTTTTGTCATTAAGCCTCGACGCATTAGTAAGGCCAGGGCTGAGAAACTGCTGGTTTGCACTGTACACCAAATTTAAAAAGTAACACCTTAAGAAAAAAACTCATTCTGATCATGGTCGGCTCACTTTGGTAGTCCTCTAGCCCAGAGTAACACCAAAGCCACACCACATTGTTTGGTTTCACATCCATGCATGGACGTAATTTTCACTTTAGAAGTGTGTGTGTGTGTGTGTGTGTGTGTGTGTGGGGGGGGGAGATACCTTTACAGTATGTTCAGGAAACAGGCTTCAACACGAACGGTTGTTTTCCGCTTGGTCCTAGAGCTCAACCACTGTCAATTTAATATAGCGTAATATTGTTTTTGGATGGTAAAAAGTGCAGGGGTCAAAACTTGATTTTGGAAAAGGGGGGGGGGGGGGGGGGAGACATGCCCCCCCCCCCCCCCCCAATTACGTCCATGCATCCATGTTTTACGTATTTAAAACTTATTTGTGCCAGTCCTAACTGGTCCAGGTTTCAGCACATTCAGTGTTTAAATGTACTTCCTGTAAAACTTCACTGAGGAGATTTTGATTAAACTCGAATAGTTGCTGGGATGAGACTCAGCAGAGGACCGATACAAAAACATTAAAGCTTATAGCCGACGGGGAATGCAGCAGCGAGGCCAGAGTGTGAAAGACAAACACAAAACTCTGTTGTTTTAGTATTTCACTTTAAAACCTAACAGGCATGGTGTACGTTAGGTCAGATTTAATACAACACAAGCAGACAAGACAAGGACCGTAAGAGTTTTGGCATTTTTCATGCTTTAGAATCAGAAATATTAGTAACAGGATTCAAAAAATGATTCTGTAATGAAAACAGTGACTCAGATTGAAAGGTTTTATAACCGAGTGAAGATGGGACGGGCACAGAATTAAACCGTTTGAAAAGGTGGTTCATTTTGTCCTCATGGATAAATACTAAGCTGTCCCTCTTCAGACACATTTACTGAAGGCCCGCTCTCGTCAAGGTGGTGCTCCGTGTGTCTGGTTCCTCCATCGGGCCACAGGCGTCCAAACCCTCAAGAACGTCCAGCTGTAGTTCAGTGTCTCTGCTCGCTAACGGGACGGGAGGAACGTCTAGTCTCACGTGTGGTTACTGCTGTTAGTCAACCGCTTTTTTGTGGGAGAGTCTCTTACTCTCTGTGCGACACAGTGTGTATGGACAGGCACTCCTCCCGGCAGACAAACCACATTCGGTTCACTGAAAGTGTTGTGGCACAAGTGGCATCCCTTCTTTTCCGACACAAAAATGGGCTTCCTCACCTCTTTTAACTGCAGAAACATCAGAACACAACACTTACAAACTTCAGATTATCAAAAGAACAGATAAAAAGATCTAGTTTAGCCTTAGTAGGAAATAGAAGATTTATTTTGTGCAGCTCACCCGGTCATGCAGCAACTGTAGGTTCTCAGAGTGAGCGAGCCCCAGTGCAATCTGGGAGGTGCGGCAGGCGTGCATGCTGGCCCTGACGGCTCGGTTTAAAAAGGGTCGCAGCAGCTGGAGTGACCAGCCATCGGGGAGCATTCGTAGGACACAAACCGCATCGAACACCTCGCCATGCCGGTTTAAAAGATCCACAGCTGCCATTTGCAGCTCACTGCTGCCAGCGCCTGCTGCAGGAGGACTCCCGTCCAGATACACGCCCAGGAGGAGGTGAAATAGCTGCCGCTGATAGGCAGAATCTCGACTGGATGAGGCCCACATGCAGAAGGCCTCAGCTGAAGAGAAGTCTCGGAGCTTGTGCACCAGGATGTGCAGGGCTGTGTCGTGCTCCTCTAGTTTTCCGTGTAGTGTTGCTCGCTCTAGTAGCAGTTTTTCACAATTGTCTATTTTACCTGATAAGAAAAATAAAAAAAAATCAATCCCCTCCTCCGTGGAAACTAAAGAACTGAGTTGTATGCATCCTCAGATATTCGGTTTACCTAAAATGAACCGTGCAAGATATAAGCTGGACTCCCTGAGAAATGCTTGGAGCTTCTCTCTGGCTCTGGTCAGCTGCTCTTCGTCTGTTGGCGACTTGGACAGCAAAGATAAAACCCTTTCCAAATACAACACAGCTAAATTTGTGTGAATCATTTCTTTCTGTGTAGACAAGAAAAAAATATGCAAGTTGATTACATATCAGTGAAACCAAACACAGTTACATTTTATTCTCTAAAAGAGAAAAAACAAACAAAGAAACCATTTCTTCCTTCGTCACACGTCCCTAAAACAGCTGAGTGAGAACATCCGTTTTCACAAGCTCCTTTTTATGTCCCACATCACATGTGAGGATTGTAGGAGGAAGTCTCTGAAAGTGCTGACCAGAGCTGCCGTTTGTCATGTGACCTGCTTCCCGAACCCTACTCAGGATGTGGTTTGATGAGACCGTTGATGAGTCTCCCTGAACTTTTCCACAGTGACAACAAATTTCAGTAAATCAGTGAAAAGCTCACAAGGCCAACTACTCTGCAGAGGAGCGTCTAGATCAGATGAGCAGCAGGTTACATCCAGCTAGAAGATTAAGTCTAAGACACACAAAACACATTTAAGCATTTTGTCCATTTTATTTTTCTCCATTGTTCTGCAACCAACAATTTATATCGTGATTCGATATCTGTGTTTTATTGTGATACAGAAAACCAACTGCATGTTGCCGGTGTTACAGCTGAAGGCTGACATCATGGTTTTCTGTCATATGTCACATTCATCATTAACCTAAGGTGCTTTGTTTTCTGTACCTGTATCCTTTTCTCCAGGACAAGGTGTTCTACATAGAGAAGGAGCGCCTGCTGGTTTTTTCCCAGGTAGGAGATGACATCGTCTGGACTCAGGTCTGACTGATCTGTGAAAGCCGGCCTTTTGGTGAAGATGTGGACACCTTTCTGTAAAGGAATCCAAAGTGAGGTTTGGTATGAAAACAGCAGGTTTACCACTTAGTGCACATTAGCAAATGATGTTAATCATCTGATGTGATGGGTAACGTTTATAAAAATAGTGTAAAAGTTTGAACAAACGCTGTTCCGAGCAAAATTGCTCGAAGCAGAAATAATTTTACATCCAACAGCACCATCTAGAGGCTGAAACAGGTATCGCACCTCATCTCATTCTTCTTTTTAGCCCGATAGACGCCTCTCGTTTGTGAATACACCTCTTTAGCTAGCCAACAGTGGAAAAGCATATGTTGCTTTACATTTATTATCAGGTTATATTGATTTAATCATATTCACAAATACTTTCTTGTGAACTTTCATGTCCATAAGAAATGTCACCAACTCTGCATCAGACTAGGTACGTCCTCCAACCCTCGTGCACACTCTGTGATTGACATCTGTGCGTATGAAGATGTCTCACCCAATCTCTAATGGGGCTCGATGGGTCGGGCATAGCTAAAACCAAAATAATTTGACGCATTGCCTACATTTTATCGCTTTTATGGATTTCTTAAAAAAAAAAAAATCATACATACTTCCTGAAAGCAGGAAAACTTCGGATTGCTGCTTTAAGGGATTCAATATTAATGTTTACGAACAGAAAACTGAACAAATATCTCTTTAGTGTGGAACAGGACCACTTATGTTAAAATAAATGAGCTCAAGTTGCACTAAGAATAAGACAGCAGAGTTACATTTTTGTTAACCTACGCTGGGATCCTTCCGAAGGGCCCAGTCTGCATACTTCCACACGAGGTCCAGATTGGAGGTGCAGCAGAGAAAGTCCACGATGTACTCGTACAGATCAGACCTCGTACAGTCCTGCAGTTCTCCATCCACAACTCGAATCCATAACTACAAGAATAAAAAGAATGTTTTAAATGCTTACCCATAGCCTGATGCAGAATGTTATGTGACAACGATAAACCAGGTGCACAAACCTGCAGCGCCGCCGAATCCTGACCATTGCAGTGATAAAGCAGCCCGAGTGCAAAATATCTGAGACAGAAGAAAACGGAATGATGCAAATCTTCTCCTCTGTGATCGTGTTCATTTGTAAAAAGTTATACAAACAGCTCGATTAAACTGGACACAAATGAAAGCTCTTTTAGGATTTTAATGAACAATTTGAGACAATTAAAAGTATTTAAATCCAGTCCCAGGTAATCTGTCTGGGAACCGAGTAATAATAAAACAAGGATTAATAATAAATTGTACTGATTTCTACAGTAATCCTAAATTATTAGAATAACTAGAGTAAAAATGGACATTTTTATATTTTATACAACAAAATTCATTTTAAGTATAATTAACATGGAAACCTTCTCCACAATGATGCCTTTTACAAATAAATATCTGCTATAATTTTAACCTGAAGGGTATAAAAATCCTAAAAGCATACACACTTGTGGTATTTTTCCAGCCACGGGATGCAGTCTGCCAGCACGCAGGCGTTGTCTGAAGCCAGCAGGTCCAACAGGCTGTTGTGATTTTGTTCTGCGTAAAGCTTCAGCAGCGCCGTGTCCACATCCTCTCTGCAGCCGTTCGCCACCTCTGTGCTTCGCACCTGTGTGCACCGAGGAGAAAATTAGAGTTACAAAAACCTAAACCTAAAACAAAATCAGGTGAATTGTGTTTTTTATACCAGTTACCTCTCCTAAATAGGTGATAAGGAATTTCTTGCATTGCAGCACTTTTTCCTGGTCACCTTGAGCCAGATGGTTGAGATCTGCAAACTCATGGAGAGGAGGGTGGCAGCGCGTGAACGTGGAGGAGACCGGTAGCAGTAGCGGGTAGAGGGATATCAGCTCCCTCACATCTAGCTGACCCTTTCTGGAAGTAAAAAAAAAATAAAACTTTTCATAAGTGAAAGGAAACAAGATCAAAAGGCCAGGAGACTGGAGGAAGCATGGCACACTATGCAACACCTCAAAACTGTCCAATATTCAGATTGTAGCCTCGTGGTTTAGGGTTATGGTTAAACAGATAACACACCGAGACGACGACAACCACAGCTTGGTTGCTACAAACAATTGTTCAAACAGGGGAGATCAGCTTCGATGTAAAGGCATCCATTAAAATACAAACCGGAGTATAAAAATAGAAGGAATTGACGACCTTTACTACTTTAGAGTGTAATTAGTCCAGGAAATTAAAAGATAATGTTTGTTATTTGATGAAAATCATCTAGTTGGTAAAATATGAAACAGTTCCCTAAATTTTAATAAACGTTTGATGGTGTTTGTGCCTAAACGCCAATAACGCTGGTTGAGTTTACTGATGTAAAAAATTCATACCGATTTTTAAAAGAGTAAATACAGACTATTGCTGTGAGATAATCAAGCTGATCTCTTACCTGAAGTGTTCTTGTGCCTCCAGAAACTGAAGCTGGCCAAACTTTATGAAACCTGCCTGCTGAAGGATTCTTCTGTGCAAAATCTGGAAAACATGTGGTGTGTATTCAGCCAGCATTCGCTCACTTTTGATGGTTTTAAATAATGAACATGTTTGCTTTTGTTGTCCATTTGTATGGTTTCAACACTAAAAGCTTATTGGCAGACGCTAGTGATGCAACGGGTCAAAAAAAAAAAACCCTCCCGGATCGGATCACGGTTTTCAGTCACGGTTCGGATTATTCTTCGGACCAGCAGAACCAACAGAGCAAATAGTTTTGCTCTCTTTATGTTGTAGAACACTTTGAGCAAGATTTTTCTGCTTAAATTGCAAATTTACATAACAGTAAGAATAACAGAAAGGTCAGATTGTTGATTAAATGAAAACACGGCTTGCCATAACTACGCTCACTCTGCACGTCCTGCTTTCACCAATTTCCTCAAATTTCTGAAATGTTGTTTAGTTTTCCGTCATCGTTGTATTTTCAGGAAAGCAAAAACGCTACCATACTCGGTACTTAAGCCATTCAGATGGGTTTTCCAAGCTCATGGCCTTCTCTGACATGACCTCCGCTGTGCTTTTCTCATTTGGATTGAACAGGTGGCGCCGCAGGCCTCCACGTGACCAATCCGGTCCGCGCACATGTCGAATTGTAGAGACAGATCCACGTAGATCTCGGATCAGTGGTGATCCGCTGCACCCCTAGTAGATACCAGCTTTACTGGTAATTACCTGGAACTTATCTTTGGGAATATTTCTCTGTGCTCCCTCTGTGAGGATGAGTGCTTCCTCCACTCTGTGATTGGCCAATAAGTCTTGGATCTGCCTCTCCATCGGCAGAGGTACCAGGACGTAAACAGCCTTGGTGGAAGCCAGCATGACTTTCCCTAAAACACAAAACTCACAGCTCTCAGCGGCACATACAACTGATGTTATGACCCTCGTTTTACAGATGTATAGGAATATGATACATTCACATGGGAATACCTTCAAAGTCTTGCAGAACCTGTCCATCCCTGAAGGAGAGGGTCTGTTTGAGCTGTTGGTCCAGCATGCTGTGGATGGTGATGAAGTTCTCGTCTAAAGCCACCACGTATGGAAAACACACAGCAGCAGCAATCACACTCTCCGACCAGCTGACCGGCGCTCGCTGGGATACCCCCTCCGCATTGGCAAACATTCCTATATGAGGGAGAAAATTTTGGAGGGAAAAAAAAATCATCGTCAAGCAAAATGGGAGATTTTGTAAATTCAAATATTTACATTCAACATGTTTTAAAGAAACGGATCAAGAAACAATCTTAGCAGACATCTTTTAAAATGAATTATACATCAATATTTACAAAAGTGTGGGTAAATGTCCACCAATTCTCCAGACGTGTAAACTAAAGCCTGACGGAGATCTTCTAAACGTACCCAGACCGCCAGGTGCTGCCAGGAGAAACTCCTCCCTGCTGATCCTCTTCACAATGGGTCTCTTCTCCTCGCTGTCGTAAGGAAACAGGTCTTGTGCCGCTCCCGTGTTGTAGTTCAGGATCATATACTGTGTGGTGAGGGCTAAACACAAGAAGTATCCGTCAAGACTGACGGCGCAGGGCTGCTCGGGCGTGTTCACCTCTTTGACCAGCTGCACTCGGTCCTCAAACACCATGTAAACCTGTACCGTCCTCCTCTTGGACGACAGTACGCCCATTTCCACACAGAACGGATCCCCGTTCACCGGGTTCTCGTTTATACAGAACGCAGTCACACCTCTGATCCGGACCCCACCGCCTGCAGCCGACGGCACAGACTCTAGTGTCACCATGTCGACAAGGAACACTATTCCATCGCAAAGCACTATCAGACGCTCCAAAGCCGAAGCAGCACGTAGCTCAGCTACTGGTTTCTTGAGTCCAAGATATTTGTGGAGCAGCTTCTGGGCCGAGTAAGTCAGTTTCCCTTTAGAAGAAGTGACCTCGTCCAGGAGGAAATGGTGAATGAAGCAGTCATTGGTGCCCACGTATAAGTGCTTTCCACAGCATTCAATGCACTCGATGTTTATGCGAGCTTTGTCGCCCATGAGGAGGTCTCGCTCCACAGCGGGGACAAGCTCAAAAGCCTTCACACTCATCTCAGACAAGGCATCTAGACTGAATGAGAAAAGACGGACATCAACAACACAATTCATGCTTTTATTAAATAATTTTAACACTGCTACAGGACGCCACAGGTCTTCCTTCTCTCAGATAACTTTAAGACTTGTGCTACTTTAAGGTTACTCAAGACATTTTAATGTAAATTTAAGTTCCTGAAAAATATTTCAGAATGACATTTCTCAGTGTGGACCCTCACAAGTTTGGTTACGATTTATAGAAGCAATTTTATCCAGTCAGTTCCAGAAATTAAACACGATTTGTCTACTCAAGGTTCAGTCACACAAGGGAGTTCATTTTGAGCCACTCAATTGCACCCACATTTGTTAATTCATGCTACTGTTTATATTTTTAAATGAAAAAGACAATATACGAAACACACTCGTTGGAACAAAGAGTGCAGGGATATATGTCATTTGGTTTGGTGTGATGTTTGTTTTATTAACATTTTGGTTGCCACAGTGTTAGGTCTAGCAGAACACAGTTGGTTCACCTGTTCAGCAGCTCATCAGGCTCTGCAGATGCCTGTTAATCACCTGCTGATTAAAATCAGTGGTGTCGAAGAAGTAAACCTCTAAAACTTGCTGGATAATGGCTCTCCAGGTCCAAGGTTCCCTACTTACCCCTGCCATATAGTTTCAACGTGTGAACACAGAACCATATTTCAACATTTACACATTGCTCCTACGGGTCATTTGTGTGAGTAACTTGTTGTAATCCGACCACATGTAATCTGCTCAAATTAAACTGATTTAGATGCATTTGCCTTCCAGATAAACACTTCCTGAAACGATCCCAGCGATACCTGATACCCGCATGCCGTCACAATACGACAGCAGGTGTACACGGGTGCATTTGAGACATGTTACTTAGCACCTATATTATTTAAACTGTTAGTTTATATATTTACAACCTAGTTTCAACTACACTTCACACCTAATGTTTCAAAACAAGCACCAGATGGGTTCCCACATCAAACTGCTGAAAAACAAAACGGAAACAAGTTATCTGGTAAAATAATTTTCCTCAAACGCTGCTTTTAAACATAACTCCTAACAGTGCGGGGAAGTCGCAGTCATTTACATTCAAGGCTAGTTAGCTTCAGTGAAGCAACCATTAGCTTGCGTTCACCGAAGCTAATGCTGGGAAGCTACATTTGGCAATTCTAGCCGAGCAAGAATTACTACAAGTTATTTTGTGTTCAAACGAAACGTGTTTTGTGGCTGAAGCTGAGAAAATAGTGCAGTTTCGATTTGCCCTCCTTTCCCGTAAAACGATGCTGTGAGGACCAACTCCCCACCGAGTTGTCCATGGAGCTGTCGGTGTAAGCAGCCAGTATTACCTACCGCTGCAGCTGGGGAAGGCAGGCTGGGGGCCGGACCACCACCAACAGGCGATCGTTACTGCTCGGGTGATAGCTACCACGAGATGCTTTTAAATCTTAACATAAACGTAGCCATGGTGCTCAAGCAGGCGCCGAAACACACTCAGGTAAGATGACTTACGTCTTCCTTATCCTGGCGTGAAAACACCGCCCATTTGCGCTGAACCCTGGCGAGGTGCGTTCAAGGGCGACCAGCGAAGGCGGAAATGTGTTCAGATCCATCCATCCAAAAAATACGACGGCTGAGAAAAATATGGGAGGCCATTGGGTGAAACAAGAACACATTTACAAAATAAACAATAAAAAAACGCACATATAAGAAACACATTCTATACTACTGAATGCATTATGTGAAACACCCCTTCATTGTTTATTAGTTCTTCTGTTGAGTAAACTGAAAGTTCCAAATCTATGAATAGTACATATTAACATTACCTTTCATTTTTTTAACTCATTGAGACATAAGATAAAATAAACAACAAAAACGTGACTAATTCTACAAATCCCGACTGTCTCTGAACACAACTCGACTGCTTTTCACCCAAGATGCACCTGTCCAGCTGAACTGGCTGAGAAAAGCCATTTTGTTATGCTAGCTTGCTAAGTGGTAAAGACAGCATCCAGTAATAACGTGACTGTTTTAAATCAACGCTAACAATGTCGCTTTTACGCTCCCGTGTACTTTCGCATGATACGGTAACAAAGCGGGGTAAAACCTGCAATTAGCCCGCATCGGCATGGATAGTCTGCATCGCTAAAGTATTGCTAATGAGACGAGAACTGTTTGCTGAAGTGTGTTGCAGTTGTAGATAACACACTGTTAGCACGCTCTCTGTTTACTTAGCGTTCGGTAGTTTTTTTCCTGATTAGCTCGGCCACTGCACGCCTGTTATTGAGTTTTAAATGGACTTTTAACTTTCTGCGCTTTTAACCAAAGACGTCTCGCTCAGCTGAGAGACGGTGAAAACAGAACAATCCAGCAGTAATTTAGAAAATCAGTTGAACCATACAGCGTTAAGCCTAATCTGATAATGGCAGAGGACACCCGACAGGACAAGCGGGCCAGCTTCTCCGCGCTAACGGAGCACGGCACCAACGGGATGACCAGGACGTCCAGCAAAACTGGTGCTTCAAAGAAACTAGTGATCAAAAACTTTAAAGGTACTGTCCCTGAGTGTTTCTCTTTTTGCCGTAAAGCAGCATCGTTACTGGAACCATGGAGATCAAAAAGGTTGTTCTCATTTGATAAAATAACACCCTGAAAGGCTTTTCTGTATGACACATCTCTTGGGAGGGAGTGCAATGTATTTGATCTACTTGATGCACTGTTAAAGTTTTATTTTTGTGCCATAAACAGATTTGTATTGTAGTACCAAATACCTGCATTTTTATAACAATTCCAACAAATGTTACTTTATTGCCAAAATTCTGTCAAAACAAGGCATTTTAATGACTTTTCGATACTAAAATCATTTTAGACCTTTCATTGTTTTGTTACTGATCTAATTAATTTGACATGTACTTCTGCAGTGTAGTTGAAAAGCTATCATCCATCCATCCATCCATCCATTTTTGTCTGCTTATCCCGGGGTCAGGTCACGGGGGCAGCAGCCTAAACAGAGAGGCCCAGACTTCCCTCTCTCCAGCCACTTGGGCCTAGCCTGGCAAGCCAGACTAAATAAATGTATTATTTGCAAACTTTGCAAAGCAAGAATTTGGTCTAGTTCACTAGGCTAACTTGGGCCAGCTTTTCTAAGGAAATCTCAAGGCATTCCCTGACCAGATGGGAAATGTAGTCCCTTCAGCATGTCCTGGGTCTTCCTTTAGGTGTTCTCATTGTTGGACATGCCGGAAAACCTCACCAGGGAGGCGTACAGGAGATGTCCTAACCAGATGCCCGAGCCACCACAACTGGCTCCTCTCGATGTAGAGGAGCAGCAAATTTACTCCGAGTTCCTCTTGGATGACCGAGCTTCTCATCCTATCTCTAAGGGAGAGCCCAGACACCCTGCGGAGAAAACAAATTTTGGCCGCTAGTATCCGCAATCTCGTTTTTTTGGTTGCTACAAGGGATATAAAAAATATCGATATGGCAGTATATCAGGATATTTTTTCCAGCGATGTTATATCAATACTTAAAAGCCGTGTATAGAAAATATTGATATCACAATATATCGTGATATTTTTCCTGCAATATTGTATTGATTTTCAAAAGCTGTGTCTCTAATTTTTGGAAGAATTTACACGCAAACATTTGCGTATTTACTTTTCTTTTGGTGCAATTCAAACGCCGACCACTAGTTGGCAGCAGTGTGCAAAGGGTTTGTTTCCACCATTGAAATGTAAATCCCTCTATTATGGTTCAGATAACTCATGTTAAACATGTTCAGTATCAGTTTGGACTGTTTAATGAATTTTCTTACAATAAATTCAGTCTAAAAATATCACTAATATCGTCTGACTGAATGTATCGTGAGATATTATATCGCCTCCCCTGTATCGTGATAAGTATCGTATTGCTATAATTTCACCAATACACATCCCTAGTTACTACCCAAAGCTTGTGGCCATAGGTGAGGGTAGGAGCGTAGATCGACTGCTAGATTGATCAAAGCTATCATACATGTTTTCAAATCAGATGGAGCATAGATTAGTTAAATGTTTACAAAACAACATTTGTTTTGAAGAGTTTTAACTCTGATCATTTTAAAGTTAATTTTATTTTATAAAATCTTCCACCTGGTGTTTCATGACCCACACCAACAGGATGAAAACACTTAGTTTATATGAGGTCAGTGCTAAAATGACATGAAAGAAGGGAAGTGACAGTTTACTGAAGCTGAAAATAATGTTTCAGATAGTAGAAATTATTGTTATTTTAAGCGTGATTCATTCAAACCTTTGAGTATTTATGTTTAGGTTTATGTATTTAGCAGACGCTTTTGTCCAAAGCGACTTACAAGTGATAAGTATTTGATTATTGAACGCCAAGTGAAAGATTATTTTTTAAGTATACTGCAATTTATAATTTGCACTGAACTATTCATTGATTTATAATAAGTATTTTTAAGGCTACAATTTATAGTCTCACATTTTTATCTTGCGGGTTGCCAAGCAAAGGGATTTTTTTGTCAAAATTACAGTGTGGGTTTTTTGTGCAATGACAATAAAGCAAATCAATCAAATCAATCAGTCAATCGATTAGTGGTAAACACACGCCTTATCTTGTCATTTCATGATGTTCTCTTTATAAATTGTGCAACATTTGCTTTGCTTTGGTTACAGATAGGCCCAAGCTATCAGAGAACTACACAGAAGACACGTGGCTGAAGCTTCGAGACGCAGTAGGAGCCATCCAGAACAGCACCTCCATTAAGTACAACCTGGAAGAGCTCTACCAGGTTTGTCTGTTAAAACAAACAAGCTCAGTTTTGGGTTAGACATGTGACATCGTGTCAGCTGCTAACATGTCTATTATTTTTTCTTCTTGTCTGTGATGAAATATGTCACTGAAAGGCGGTGGAGAACCTGTGCTCCTATAAAGTTTCCCCCACACTCTACAAACAGCTGCGTCAAGTCTGTGAAGATCACGTTCAGGCCCAGATCCATCAGTTCAGAGAATATCCTTTTGACTTGTGCTCAGTCGTGTCAGACTAACCCCAAGTGTGGCTCAGATGTTTACAGCTTAAGACATATTTGACTATTTCTACCATCAGATGACCATAAACTCGACTCAGACTTATGATAAATTTGACGTTTTTTCCTCAACTTGGAGCTCACAGAGTCTCTGGACAACCTTTCCTTCCTAAAGCGAATGAATCGATGCTGGCAGGACCACTGCAGGCAAACTGTAAGTGTAACGTCTGATAGATTTCCATATAAAAACTGTAGAATAAATGTCAGTAAAGCATAAATGAACCAACCTGTGTCCCTGTTTGTAGATAATGATCCGAAGTATCTTTCTCTTCCTGGATCGTACCTATGTGCTTCAGAACTCTCTGCTCCCCTCCATTTGGTAAACTCGGCTCGTTTGAGCTTTTCCCGGTCTGTCAGGATGCTCTCAGGAAGCTGATGCTGTTCATGTGCTGCAGGGACACCGGGCTGGAACTGTTCCGCACCCACATCGTGAGCGATGTTGCTGTTCAGAAGCGAACAGTGGAGGGACTTTTGGAGCAGATAGAGCTGGAGCGCAACGGCGAGACCATTGATCGCAGCCTTCTCCGGAGTTTACTGGGCATGTTGTCAGACCTGCAGGTACACCATCTCCAGTTTATCACATCTGTAAATGCACAGGAAGATTATTTTCCAACAAATCATCTAACCTAACAAAAACATTTTAGGTTTATAGAGACTCGTTTGAGGAGAGATTTTTGACTGAGACAAATCGTCTCTATGCAGCTGAGGGACAACGGCTGATGCAGGAGAGAGACGTGAGTGAGATGATAAATTCGTCTGTTTATCATGCGGTTAAAGTAAATTGTGAATTAGCAGTGTGTGCGTGCGTGTGTGTGTGTGCGTGTGTGTGTGTGCGTGCGTGCGTGCTCGCGCAGGTACCAGAATACTTGCACCATGTGGCTCGACGTTTAGAGGAGGAGAATGACCGAATCATGAGCTACCTCGACCAGAGCACTCAGTAAGATCTGGAACTGTCACAGCAGGATTTATTCACCCTTTAGCAAGGCTTAGACCCTGGAGCAAATATTTTCTGATAATTCTAGCTCTTTGAGATTAATCAGAACTGACCAAAATTCACAGAAGAAACCAGAGTCGACACACATCAATATGGAAGCAAACATATTTTTACAGTCTTTAAACACGGTTAAATAAATAATAATACAGGTTGGATATTTTTCCGATTTGATAGACTAAATTAGTTCATTCTGATGTTCTTGTATACAAAACCTTGGATCACAGATGTCTGCTGTAGACGATCCTTTTCTCCAAACTGTACAGTATTGTGTGTGTATCTGTTGTTTCCTGTTACACACACTTAGTTTTCCTTCTTTCTTGTGTTTTCTTTTTGCTCAATTCACAGGAAACCTCTCATTAACTGCATTGAGAAACAGCTTTTAGGAGAACATATGACTGCAATCCTGCAAAAAGGTACATCTGTTATTGTCAGAAGATAAGCGATGGTGTGAAGCCGTGTGAGATTCTTCAGAAGTGGTGCTGATGTGGATGTATCGCCTATAACTGGTCCAGCTGGGTTGAATTTATGTAATATAATGTCCTCCTTGTGAAACACAGCAGTCAAATTCCCAAAACTCTGTTTACAGCCAATCATTTTTAAAGAAAGCTCTGTCTGTTTGCATAAATCTCGCTCTAGTTAATTGTTTTACACGTTTTATGAACCTCATAAATCAGAAACCATAACAAATTGACTAAACAAACTTTCTATTGAGCTCCGTTGTTTAGGGTTTGTTTCTTTTGGCCTTCTGGGTTTGTTTGTTTTAGCTTTTTCCTAATGAGTTAATTTGATCTGGCGGTAAAGCTCAACCATTGAAGGTTTGCTGCTATGTCCGTGCCAGTCTGTAAAATCCAATTACACATGCAGTCATATGCCTTCATGGCTGTTTTCATTCCAGGTCTAAGTAATCTTCTAGATGAGAATCGTGTTACCGAGCTGACTCTCCTCTACCAGCTCTTCAGCAAAGGGAAGGGAGGACTTCCTACTCTGCTGCAGTTTTGGAGGGATTACATCAAGGTAGATGTAATAAACTAGACTAACGTAGCTTAGTCTCGTTATGTCTGAGAAATGTGAATACATGCGTTTTCTGGTTGCAGTCATTTGGTGGAGAGATCGTATGCACACCAGAGAAAGACAAGGACATGGTCCAGGACCTGCTGGACTTTAAGGACAAGATGGACAATGTAGTGCAGAGCTGCTTTGCACGAAATGAGGCTTTCATCAACGCCATGAAGGAGGCGTTTGAAACGTTTATCAACAAAAGGCCCAACAAGCCAGCTGAACTCATTGGTACATGAGGCCAGTCTGCTCTCCAAACTCAAAGAACAGTTGTTTTTTTCTTTGAGTGACATTCCCCAAACGGATTTGTATTGGTTTTTAGTGGTTCCTCTTTCTAATGACATCTTTTACAACTTGTCCTTCGTCCAGCTAAATATGTGGATTCTAAGCTGAGAGCTGGGAACAAGGAGGCGACTGAAGAGGAGCTGGAAAGAATCCTGGACAAGATCATGATCATCTTCCGCTTCATACATGGTCGGTCATCCTTCTGTTTGGATAGTATATGAATGTGTGTGTGATAAGTCTGAAAGACTTGTTGACTTTTTTCCCCTCCAAACAGGCAAAGATGTGTTTGAAGCTTTTTATAAGAAGGATTTGGCCAAACGTTTACTAGTTGGTAAGAGCGCCTCTGTTGATGCCGAGAAGTCCATGCTCTCCAAACTCAAACATGGTGAGTTTCTCGCCTTCGGTCCTGTTTTTTGTTTTCTTTATTTACAGTCATCGTTCCACGTTACAATTTGGACGCAGACTTCACTGCATTTATAGAATGAACGAGGAGCTGAAGGGTTTAGATGGGGCTGAGGAAGTAGTCCAGTAATCCGAGGGTGTGCTGTCGAGTCTCAGCGTGATATTGTGTGGTGTGACAGCGAGGTATTGTGAGAACATGTTAGCTGTGACATTCGTGGTTTTGACTTCCTGCAGAATGTGGAGCAGCGTTTACTAGCAAGCTTGAGGGGATGTTTAAGGACATGGAGCTGTCTAAAGACATCATGATCCAGTTTAAACAGGTAGCTGAAATCTCTGAGGACACAAAAGTGTTGCTACTGTGGTTATAGCTCATTTATAATAGTAAGTTTTATTTTTATCTTAGTATATGCAGAACCAGAGTGAGCCAAGCAACATAGAACTCACTGTCAACATCCTCACTATGGGTTATTGGCCTTCATACACTCCTATGGAGGTCCACCTGCCCTCAGAGGTAAGCATCACTGTGTTTGCATGCTGGTCTTATCATTCTTCACACACCTGCAGCTAAAACACATCTGAAGTCATGGGAACAGGTGCTTTTTTTTCCTTAGCCATTTTTACTTTTTATTCTGTGCAAACGTAGTACTTACAACCTACCAGGCTGATGAGCTCATGGCTAGTGGTTACCTCATCAGCCTGTTATAAACACCAGGTCCCCAACCCGAGGACATTCAGGAAGCTGTCTACAATGGTTAAGATGGTAATTGCAACTGACACAGAAACACCTCAAAATGACTCAAATATCCCTTCAAAGGCATACTACGCAACTTTTAAATACTTTAAAATCATTTTCTTGTGCCAGTATGTGTTGAAATCACAGTTTACAGAGTTAATGAAATAACACTCAGACCCCCACCAGTCTCTGCATTTGCAACTTCAGAATGCCAGGCTAGTCAGTTGGACTTTTTTTTGGGGGGGGGGGGGGGGGGGTCTGGGCTGACATACCCGGCCACTGCAGTCAGTTTCCTGCATGTTTTGGACATCGACATATAAATATTGGACAATGGGTTTCCACAGGCTCCAATAAGTTTTTGTGCTAAAATGGGAGGTGGCCACCACCGCCATTTTGACCGTGTCACAGGTTCTGTCAAGCCCAGACAATTCCACAAAAGGGAAGAGAGGAGGAGCTGAGGGTGGGACTGTAAGGCTGGGATCAACTGACGAGACCCGGTCGAACTAGCTACAAGCTAACCTGAAGCTAACCCAAAGCTAACGCGGAGGTGGAAGCTAGGCTAACGGAGGTAGCAACCTAGCTACAACCGGGGTTAACTGTGCACAACACCAGAGCTTCTCAGTCAGAGATACGCCGGGCTGACCGCTGGGTAAAACCGGGTGGAACACAGAGGTCTCCCGAGACCTCCACAAGACGATAGTCGGAACCCAGCTCCACAAACATGTTATATTTCAACCCATTTTCTAAAGTGCAGCATTATGTTAAATGCACTGGGGTTTACCCTATTACATTTGAATTTCATGGTTAAACAGTACATGTTAAAATCTAAGCTCAGCTCGGCAGTGACCTAAAATACATAAATATAATTTTACTTACCGAAAAAAATGAAGGGGAGACTCCTTGGACGCTCTATTAGTGCAATTAATGCCACAGCAAGTCATTTTGTCCACACATAATATTTTGTCCGCACAAATAATATCCAAAAAAGAATACACAAACACAGAGACTCAAAATGCCGGAGCAGTTCCAAGCCCGACCGAGGCTCTACTGAGGCCTTTCCACGGAGCTAGCTCTGGTCACGTGGGTCTGAGGCGGCGGCTCGTGGGTCAGATGCTCATTAATTATACAGAATTTTAGGCTTTTAATACACTTAAACAGAAGAGTGAGAAAAAATTCACCCCCCTCAGAGTTGTCATGAGTGTAAACTAGATAATTTAAACAAAAAACATGTTTTGGTACCAGGCTGTAAACATGTTTATTTCTGCTGTGAAATTGGTATTTTTAACATGGGAGTCATGAGGATTTGCTCGCTTCTGACACCAGCCCCTAGTGGATGAGGGTGGAACTGCAATTTTTGGTACTTCCGGGTTGAGACCAATTTTAGAGCCGCATTGTGGGGGCCTGGTTTTGGATCATCAACACAGCTGATTTGTTTAATTTAGTGATGAAATGCTCCCGTAGAAATTAATGAAGGCTGGGGAGACATTTCAGCACTTAGCTTAAGGTGTCAATAAGACAAACGCACATAGAGGAGATACGCGGGGGAGGGAGGGCGGCGACGTCCTCTGCTGCCCGCCGGTGAACCGGGGGGGGGGGGGGGGGTTGGGGGTGGCGCCGCCATTGGCGTCAGCCTGGGGAGGTTTGCAGCCGCAAACGAAACATAGCAGGAAAACAGGTCAACAGCACTGCTCTGTGTTTTAAAAAAGAACTACAGCATGGAAATGGAGGAGATATGTTTTGCTTTTGGTTCCACTAAACGGACACTAGACTAGAGGGTGCTAAAAGCAAGCCAAAACTGCCTAGTCTCCCTTTAAGTAGAACCCAATCTTTGAAATTATAATATTATTGAGGAAAACAAAAAAATAACCTTTAGTTTCACTGTGTTTACATAGATAAAATCATGCTTTTTAACAGGCTGTCTTTGGGGGAAATGCCAGCAAACAGTAAACATCTGTCTCTTTCTGTTAGATGGTGAAACTCCAGGAGGTGTTCAAGCTATTCTACCTCAGTAAGCACAGTGGGAGGAAGCTGCAGTGGCAGCCCACACTGGGCCACTCTGTGCTAAAGGCAGAGTTTAAAGAGGTAAGGCTGCCCAGCTGGACGTAGACCAGCCTCTGATCTGCATTTGTAAACACTGCTGTGTCCTGCAGGGCAAGAAGGAGCTGCAGGTTTCCTTGTTTCAGACGTTGGTGCTGCTCATGTTTAACGAGGGGGAGGATTTTGGCATGGAGGAGATCCGCACAGCCACTGGAATAGGTTACATACGTCTTTAGACATGCAGCTATCCAGTTGTGGATAAGTATCTGCTGCTTCACGCTGTCCTTCTCTGCTGTCCTGCACAGAGGAAATGGAGCTCAAGCGCACACTGCAGTCTCTGGCTTGTGGGAAAGCCCGCGTTCTCAACAAGAACCCTCGAGGGAAAGACGTGGAAGACGGAGATCGTTTCAACTTCAACAACGATTTTAAACACAAACTGTTCCGCATCAAGATCAACCAGATTCAAATGAAGGAAACGGTAAAATAAAAACTTTGTTTTCTTCCCTCTTAACTTGGCTTTCTTCTTTCTTACTAACCGTTTAATGACAAACAAGAATGATTGGAGTTTATTGTACTTTTACAGGTAGAGGAGCAGGTAAGCACTACGGAGCGTGTGTTTCAGGACAGGCAGTATCAGATTGATGCAGCTGTTGTGCGCATCATGAAGATGAGGAAGATCCTGAGTCACAACTTGCTGGTATCAGAGCTCTACAACCAGCTGAAGTTCCCTGTCAAGGTGAATTATTAAACATTAGAGCTCCCTACTCTTTACTTCTCTAAAACTGATTACCACCTCTCTCACTAACCTCTGGACAGCCCGGGGATCTGAAGAAGCGGATCGAGTCGCTCATAGACAGAGACTACATGGAGCGTGACAAGGAGACTCCTAACCAGTATCACTATGTTGCCTGAGGGAACGCTGCTGCTGCCACTGCCGTGCTTTACACACTGCAAGCGCACAGCTGACCACCCTCTCTCCCCCCACACCACAGGATTACAGCCCACTCAGCCATGCGCCTCTCCTCTGTTGCCCATCTTTCTCTTCATTCACAGTCCTGGACAGGGCGTCCAGATGACAGACGAGAGACTCAGCCGTGCTGTTCCCATGCTGAGAAATCTATAGGACTCTTGAGAGTGGGCTGCAGAGGAGATCGGGGTTGCCATTGGTTGGTTTTATGACTTACAGATTTGCAAATGCAAAACTCTACTAAAATTAACTAGCACTTTTCTGTTTGTTCATTTTATGTTGTTTTGGATTTGGTTTCCTTCCTCTTGTCGTTCTAAATCACAAATTGTCCACCATCACTTATTTTCATGAGTTTTATGAGTGTGAGTTTTATTTTTGTTTGAAATCTTCTGACTTTGAATGTCTGTCCAAACTTGTGAGCTGACTGGAGTGGTTGCCTGGCTAGAGAAGCAGCTGAAGAGAGGCTTGAGATTGTAACACCGATGCCAGCTGCTCTGGGTTTTACTTTGGCTATCCTGTAAGTTTTGACCAAACTGTTCAATGTCTCGTGCTGATGTTATTTTGTAGATCGGATTGTATTCTGCGTCAGAGTGCAGAAAGTGATTTTGAATAAAGTGGATATTTGATGACTGTATGAATGATTTGCATTTGACCAGCTGTTTGACTTATCTTGTCTTCCGCTCCACACCACCACACAACACTACTAATGGTGAATTTTCTGTTCAAATTTCTTCTTTAAGGAAAGATGGAAGTGAAACTGAAATGGCTTGTGTCTAGACTCACTATTAACAGCAGGGAATTTACAGCTTTTGGGAAGAAGGATGCAAAAGTTAGTTAAAAAAAACAGTAAATCTGCAGATAAAAATCTGTCGAACTGTGTAGTAAGAATGTAGTAGAGCCCTGCTAATACTTGGGACTGTGGCATTAAAGCAGCCTCTGCGTTCCTTTTGGGGTTTTGCACAGCCTCGTGAATTGATGAGGGTGTCAGCTGACTGGCCACAACACATGCTCTTTGCAGCCTGCACTGCACAGACTACTGCAAATTAAAGTCGACATTTGTTTCTCTAATAAATCCAGTAACATATGTTTTAAATCAATTCATATTTATCCTGAAGTAAACAAGAGGGTCTAAAACATGCATGTTGGTTGTTTTAGATCTAAATTAAAAAGCCCTATGTGTGAGAAGTTGTCGTTTTGATTGTGATATTTATTCTGAGGCACAATTTTTTTTATTAGTTTTTTTCCCACCCAGTAACAGATGTCCCACAAGTTGTGTTAACGTGTCACATCACTAACATATTTTCTGGAACAACAAACGGAACAAAATAATTACCGTAATGCTGCAGCACACATTTGCGACAATTGTGTCGTTTTACTTCATATTTTGGAGGCATGTCCCAGTGTTGACTGGGGGGTAGCTCACGTGACCATGTTGCTCTAAAGCCAGCCCGTTCACGTGACCGAGACGGGGTTTTATTCACACAGCTCGGCTGAGTGAGATCCACACCAAACCACAGTTTCTAGTAATTTCCACTCACAGGACGAGCCTGAACGACTCCCATCTTCTTCAGCTTAACGCAGCAGAGGAAGATAAAAGACGACTACCGGAAGCTGTCTCTTAACTTGAGCTAACGGTCCGCGAAGTCAAGTGCAATTAAGGACCCACCTGTTCCTGCAACGACGACATCTCTGGGCATTTTTTTTATTTCGACGAAGTTGGAACCTTGACTTTAAGTATGAAGGGCTGCCAGTGCTTCTCCGCACTCTTCATAGTCTGCTTTGCGGTTCTAGGTGAGTGTTTCGGCGGTTAAAGGCGACGTTGTGTTGGACCGACCGTGGGTCAGCTGTGACGTCAACTAGCTGATGTTGGGACCAGAAGCCCCATGACCCAACATCCACTTTGACACATTTTTTAAATATTCAAATACCATTTGCACCATTTACCAAGTATAAGTGTTTCAACATGTGGCCTAGCTCTAGTTTTGATAAAAGTGTATTATAACATATATGTTTAATTCATTGAAATTAGTTCAATGGTTACATCTTAAAACGGAAGTACATAAAGGGTGTCAGATGAATAACACTTTCCTGTATTACTGGTCAATTATGACTACGTATCTGTGTTTTTTATTTTGATAAGGTGTTATATATTATTAACACATCACTAAAGTCTATGAGAACCTGTTAATTGTTTGAAAAGCCGATTTAGCTGTTAATCGAGCAAATCTATTGTTTGGAGTGTAAAGGGGATCATATGGAAGTATTTGATTCAGGAACATTTAATTGAACACGTTTTTATCTGGCTGCTATTAAGGTGTGTGTGTGTGTGTGTGTGTGTGTGTGTGTGTGTGTGTGTGTGTGTAATCTAATTTGGGGACAGTCTACATAAATACGGATTTAACCTATTTGTAATATTGTTTGTAAATCCATTCACCATTTATAAAACCAGTAGGCATTTAGCCTTAATAATCTATTTGTATAACTGTATTTTCATTTCATGTTCACAATTTACATATTGCTTGTTCGAGTCCTACATAATTGAATATTTTGAAATGTATTAATCTGAAAATGCAAAACAGATGTTGGAAGGGTAAATAATTCAGTGGTGTAGTCTGAAGGTGGCCACCTGGGGTCTCCTGGTTGGAATGTAGGATCATTTTTACATTTATTATGTAATGTAATTTTTACCAAAAAAAAAAAAAAAGACCACAGTGAGTGTTAGACGTTCCCCATGAGTTACCTGAAATGCCCCAGGACTTAATTCAAATTTCCTTCTGTTCAAACGTTGTTTTGTTAATGTTGTGGAGCGTCGGATTGCCCTCATTGTCGTGTCATTTGAGAGCTTCACATGACTTCCATGATGCCTTTGAACTCAGCTCTGGAGGTGTCCACTGACAGCATTACGTTATGACTAGATGAATTCAGTTGCACACACACACACACACACACACACACACACACACACACACACACACACACACACACACACACACACACACACACACACACACACGCTCTTGTTGCTGATGCAAAAACCCAAGCCAGCACATTTGCAGCATGAATAATTTTACAGTTTACCTCAGACATGAACACTGTGGTCTCTAACTATTTTCACTTTTGTTTTCTACACTATAGCCTTAGAGAACTTGTGAATTTCTGCCTCCTTGCACCAGCACGTCCTCGCCACCCAAGTGAGCGATGCAGTTTTATCTGATAATTGCTTGGTTTGCTGTTTACAGCTTCATACTTTGTACACATAAGAGCTTTCTCCCATGTCTAGATCTCAGTGTTGTGTAAACTGAAAAGAGAAGTGATCTGACAGTCGAACATGGAAAGGGTGTGTGAAAGCTTGAAACTCAAGCTGCTTAATAGAAGCAGAAATAGAAATCAAAGCTCATCAACTCCACTGACTTAATCAGATTTTGTTGTTTGCAGTAAAGTTTGATTCTTCCTGTTTCTAACAGTTTTTTTCTACTAACAAATGTTTTTTAGACATTCTGGAAAGTGGCGCAATGCTGTTGTGACCATGTTATGAAATGTGGGATAATTTTGTACGGATGTAAGCTACAGAACTGAAAGTTTTACAGATCTTGACTACTGTATACTTCCTACGTATTTCAAAGAATGTGCTAGATAGTTACAGCCATTATCACTGATTGTCACTGTTATGCACGCTGATTTAAGTTTTCTGAGTGTATAGCAGCTTTAATTAGCCTGCTGTGTGTGAACATTGCCAGGTTAGTAACAAAAATGCCTCGTTGCTCAGTTTTTAGCAGTAGCACATGTTCCTGTGTGAAGCAGAGCAGCACCTTTCTCCTCAAAAAGTGAAGAGTTATCAGTTATCACCAAGTTGGGTTGTTTTAGCTTTTGCTGACCTCTAGTGGTGGCTTGTGTGAACGGAACCTTGTTTTTGTTTACAGGACTTGGTGTCATGTTACAGTGGCCCCCTGCTGTCATCTATACATTCTGTCTAGCTAGATATTTTGGTCTGGCACATAATTGCACTGGACAGTTAATTTTGTCACCGGTTCTTTATCACTCTTAAATGTAGCTGCAGCGTATCTAATTGTTTAAATGGCAATAATAAAAAGGGGAAAAAGCTAAAGAAGACTATATAGATTTCACAACAATTGGTTGGTTTGCCTTTGGCTGAGATCATGTCAACAAGAGCTATACTAACAAAGTTACTTGTTTTTGAGAACCAAGCGAAACATGTAAGGACTTTCTAGCTTCTTTTAATGTCCGAGGGTTTTCCTTTTGGGGTCAAAGATTTTCAATCTGTTGATTAAATGAAGGAAACCCAGATCATAAAACTGCTTCATACACATGAAATCACTAAGATGTCCAACATAAAGATGTGTCTAAATTTGCACTGTGATTTTGTAAATATTTCAAGTATTGTAATTCAGTTTTATTGACACTTTGATAAAATTGCTTTTAAATATTTCTCATCACTTAATGACAGGTTGTGTCCAGGCTGTTACTCTTGAAGTGAAAGATGGGAACTCCACCTGCATTAAAGCAGAGTTGTCTGCATCCCTCTCCGTCACATACAACACCTCTAACGGCACAGTAAGGACACAACATTCGCATTTTATTTAAAAGTTTCATCACTTCTTTTAAATTAATCATTTTCTTACTCATCTTTCCTTCAGAGGACAGTTATGGTCTCTCTGCCCAACTCAACCTTAGTGGACACAGCTAAGAGCTCCTGCGGCGGAAGCGGCAGCACTCCGTGGCTGGTGGCTGCATTTGGATCCGGCCATGCCATTGGACTGAGCTTCTCAACCAATGGGAGCGTTTATAGCATCTCTAACCTGACGCTGCAGTACAATCTGAGTGACTTTTCATTATTTCCTGAAGCAAACAGCTCAGGTGAGGACACACATTCAGCAACACTCTACCTGTATTGATTCAAAATATGAAGCATGTACCAAGTAGTACATTTTCATCGTGTGTCCCAGGTGTGGTCTCTGTGACGAATGCTTCTGTTGGGATCTGGGCACCGATCAACACCACCTACCGCTGCGTGAGTCCCACCACCATCAGAGCACTTGAAGTTGCTGTCACTTTCTCTGATATGAGACTGGAGGCTTACATGCCAGGGAACGATCTGAGTCCAGCTGGTAAAAACTGCTCTTGTTCTATTTGAGCAGCGTTTAAAGATCGATCTGTTGCTTTAAAGCTGATCATGCTCTGGTTTATCACACGTCTCACAGAAAGTGTGTGCACAGCTGATCAAACTCCAACAGCTCCCCCTACAACCACCACTGCTGCTACCACTACAACAGCAGCTCCTCCACGCCCTCCACCAGGAACTCCTGAACGTGGCACCTACTCTGTGAGGAATATCAACGGCACAGAGTGCCTCCTGGCCCAAATGGGACTGCAGCTCAATGTCTCTTACTTCTCTCAGTCTGAAAATAAGGTAACATGTAGAAAGAACCACTCACATGCAGATTTTAATGATAATCTTAAATATTTTAATTTAAAGAGTCGTTTACATTTTCCAGACGGTGCAAGAGTTATTTAACTTGACTCCAAATCTAACGAGCTCATCAGGATCATGTGGAGCCAGTAGAGCGACTTTGGTTCTGACACAAGATCAAAACACCACACTCAGCTTCATCTTCACTATGGTAGCTTTGAATATTTGGTTTATTTGTTGTGGAGCAAACAATTCCTGAGTGTAACCAAACCTCCTTCCAATCTACAGAACTCCACATCCAACAAGTACCACCTGAGTGGGATTGTTCTGCTGGCCAACTGGTCTGATATGAGTGGTGAGTCACCTGCTGTGAGCCGTTTGGCCTGTTTTACTTATGAATGTAAAAACTCTGATCTTTTCTCTCCTCAGCTCCATTATCAGCCAGTAACACCAGTCTGGACTATCTGCGAAGCACACTGGGACGCTCCTTTATGTGCAACGCAGAGCAAACTCTCCGAGTGGTTCCAGCTTTTTCTCTCAACACGTTCAGACTGCAGGTGCAGCCGTTCGGGGTCACAACAAAGCAGTTTGCTGCAGGTATGAACAATTCTCATTCAACTAGGCTAAACTCTAGAGATCCGTCTAAAATAGGACGAGTTTGTTTGATCAGTTAAACCTTTAAAGATCTGATGTATGCTTTGACTTGTCCTCCCGTGTGCGCAGCGGAGGAATGTCAGATGGACCAGGACCAGATGCTGATCCCCATCATTGTTGGAGCCGCTCTAGCGGGCCTGGTTCTCATCGTCCTGATTGCATATCTAATAGGAAGGAAGAGAAGCCACGCTGGATACCAGACCATCTGAGAGGGCCCTTCCTTTACCGTCATTCTAACTGACTGGTGGAGAAACAATCCTGAGCTTAGGACTGGGATGAGCCGACAAACTTGAGTGAATGGAAGCTGTTCTTTATGGTGGGTGCATGCGTGTTTGTGACTTCTAGCAGTTTTATTTTTTTCTGTGAAGAATAAAAAGCAAAAGAGCTGCGCTTAGATACTTATCCTGGTGAGAGGACTGAGGATGCTCATGTTCAAAGATGTGGGAGAGTTGGACTGTGCTGTGGTTCAGCCTCTGCTGTTCAAGCTCTAGATTACATCATTCAGCTGTTTGTTTTAAGTTAATTTATGCTGTTCAGTCTCAAAGGAACCAACTCTGAGACATGTCAACAATTGTTACACATTTTAAAGTAGGCAGTATTACTCCGAGCATTGTTTTTTTTTTTTACTTCTGTGCTTATAATGATCCTCAGTGAAAAGGGAAACCTCTGAATGTGTCTTCTCTAAAAACAATCACCTACCGCAAAGACTATCAGAGGGAAAATTCTGAGATTTTTTGGTATGGCCAAGCTTTCTCCTCTTTTTTTGGGGTGTAAAGTGCTGACGGGTGCCATGGTGACAGCTTTAATACAACAAAAGTAAAGCCTTACACACTGTTGGGCTTTAATTATGGAAAAGATGCCTTGTGGGGTTGAAATTATGGTTTACATTCTGCTTCTTTGGCCTCAAACCATCCGTTTAATTTCAATCCAACATAAGGGGAGATTTGGAAAAATCTTGGAATTTTCCCAATTTCAACAAATTAAGTCGAGTCTATTGTAAACCCAGTGGTGGTGAGACTGATCCACTTTTCATCTTCCTCTTAAAAAGAAGAAAATATATGAAATATAATGATTTGAGCTTATTTTTTATAGAAAATAATTGATCATTTTTCTTTTATGCATCTTACTGCAAGTTAATAAAAATGTCCTAAATCCAGCTTTAGAGTTTTTTGGGGGCGGGTCTGATGTGATGTCATGACTGTGACAACACCGCTGAGGTCTGTAAAACAAAAATACTAAAAAATAAAAACAGAATTCAGAGTTGATCGCATCAAAGTGAAAATATTAAAGACCACAAACTGGATACATAACTTTGATATTTGATTGTATTCATTCACCTTGGTGCACTAAAATCTACATGAGTCTAACATTGATAAAAATCTAGTTCACAACAAATCAAGCTGCACCAGCATCTAATAACCTCAGTTATCTCTTCATTTACCACAAAAGAACAGTTTGTTTTTGTCATTTTCATAACTCAGCCAAAAGGTGTGGAAAGTTACTTCTCGGCTGTGTTCACAACATGCAACATCATTTTGTTTTTCTTCATCACATAATTAGTGACTGGGCCTGGTCTCTCTAGCGTATGCAGCTCTGGGTTAAAGTGCATTAATCCACATTTTAGCGAAAATGTTTTCACTCACGACAAACTTCAAGGTAACGTGCATCATACAGCTGAGAATATCAGTCAAGAATATGAGTGTTTTGTTTAAGAAGGTTAACAGTGCGCAGGACTCACAGGTACTCAGAGGAATTAGAATAAAAAAGTGCAAACTAGCTGCTGAGTGATCATCCTGTCTGGAATGTGTTTCTACTTTCAGCGTGAACTTAAGTCTGTCAGGATTCCTGTGCAGCGATTCGAGCTCGGCACGTTTCCCGCAGCTTAGTCAGCGTTGCCATGGAAAGGCTTCCTGGTTCTGTGAAGATTTTCTAAGAAAGCAGGAAACGATGGGATTATAAGATTACAGGGATCAAATAAAAAAGGACATTAATTTTTAACTGACTAATCTTTTTCTGTTGAAAGATGTTTTTAAGGAGTTGATTATATTTTTCCACTCTTACCTGCATAAAAGTGTGACACTCTTCCACAAATGGTCCCTGGGCCATTTGTTTGAAGGCTTCACAGATGTCAGGGAGGGATTGGGACTGTTCTATCAAAGCCTGGTGGTGATGGATCAGTGTCAGAGCTACTCGGAACAAGATCTTTGAGCCCTCATAGAAGAGGCAATCCCATATTCTCAGAACAGTCTGCAAATTAGGAGAAAAAGCAGCTCTCAATAGGCATGTTTTTATTACCAGAACTCCAGGGAAGTTCCTGGGATGAGGAACTTGACCAGGAGATGGGACGTCCCAGTGCTCTCAGCTGTGGTGTCTCCATTCAAATTCAGCCCTTTCAGATCTTGCACAGACATCAGCATATCACGACTGCTTTGGCAGTGAGTGATGTCACTGGTCAGCCCCAAAAAGAGCCCAAAGTAACATTAATAATACTAAAAGCATTTATTTTATAGAAGTTCATCATAATTTAATCCATTCAGAGGACAAGAGCAGCTCTGAGTTTTGTGAGACAAGCCTAATTAAGTATGTGGGGGGATTTCCTCGGTTTTTCCAACAGCTGCTTCCACCGAGTTTTCCGGTGTCGGGAGTTAGATTTTAAATGCAATCGGTGCTTTTTTATTTATTTATTTTTTTGCTTCCATTCTGCTTCACCAGCTACTCTTCCAATTTTATTGCTGCCGGTCGACGTCTGCTGATGTCATTTCCTACTGAGTTACAACCAATCAGTGTAACCTGAGGTTCTGCTCAGCTACTCCACTGGGCCGTTCTGGGTACCTACTCCAGAGCAGTTACTCAGGTTTCTGAAAAATGGAAGTTTGGACGGCCCGGTCAGGTGGACACGCGCATGTCTGGAGGTTCCTGTAAATCCACCCTGAAGTTCTTGTAGTGGAAACACACCTAATGCAACCAATAAAGACAATCTGTCCACATCTTAAAAGGTGCAATGTGTAAGAATGACATCCTGTGGTCACATTTGGGTACTGCAGTCCATGTTTCTAAACAAAAAGTTACTCTTGCATCTCCGTTCCATAAGTGTCATGGCTGTTGCCAGTTACAGATCAGTGTCAGAAGATTCTAGGTGACGAGCAAAGACGAGTCATACTCCGTAAGTTCATAAGAACATTGGCCCAATCCCAATATTCGCACTGCGCCCTACGGTCTTTGTGAGGTGCATTTAGAGGAAGTCCACAGTAACGCAATGCCAGGATGCTGGTGGCTGTGATACTTTTTTTTTTTAATCTTTTAACAACTTTCAAACAACTTAACAATTTAACAAAATTTACATTATTGCTCTCCACATTAAATCTTTGTCTAAAACACTCAGAGCATCAATTAATTAAGGTTAAGTTAAAGTCCTGTTAGTTGTCACACTCACTGATGTGTGTGCGAAATTAGTTTTCCGCATCTGACCCATCCCCTGGAGAAGCGGTGAGCTGCAGACACGGTTGCACTCGGGAACCATTTGGTGGTTTAACCCCCAATCCAACCCTTTAAAGCAGTGTCAAACAGGGAGGTCTATTATGTCAAGTCTTTGGCACGACCCGACCAGTATTTGAACCCTGATCTCCCAGTTTCAGGGCAGACACTACCACTAGGCCACTGAGCTGGTTCCTAAATTGTCCTAAAATTAACTACTTTCAGGTGAAAACACATATGTTCAGTGTTCCAGCTGTTGCCGTTTGTCCCAGAAACCTGAAAATGCAGATAACAATCTGTGCTTTTCCTCCTCCTCCTACCTGCACAGCTGCACTCACTGGGACTGATCACCTCCTGAGCAACATAAAAGGGAGAGCTGCCAGGAGGGAGAGAGAGGCTGGATCTGTGCCAGTTCTCTCACATGCTCCATTTGTTTGTTTTAATGGCTTTTACATGGGGTTTAGTTGTTTGAGCTTAAGAGCTTTTAGAGGATTTTAACAGAAACCAGTGAGCATTTGGATGTCTGTTTTAAACATAAACCCATGACCATTTTAACAATGTGTTTAAATACGTTTAGATTAGGAGCGTTGTGTCTTTTAAAACCCTAAAATAAAATCCTTGTTCACAATTTTAACACATGAAGCACATGCCTCTGTGTTACTCCCTGTCCTTTTTTCCCTCTTTAGAGGACGTAACATTCAGCAAAGACATTTAAGTCCCAGAAGTTTAAGTTTTTGCTGCCGTAGTAATGGATTGTGGGCAATACCCTTTTCTGAAGTCTGCATTGCAGACTTTGGCGAAGTGCGAATCAAGGGTACAAAAGGGGCGTGGTCAAATTCCGTGCGCATGAGAATTGAGACACCCTACTCAAACGCACCCCTGGAAAGGATTGTGCAATTAAAAGGCGCAAGTGTGGAAGTGTGAGTATTGGGATTGGGCCATTGTCATATCTGGCACAGTTGGGTTTTTTAGGGCAGGGAGTTACTCGGCTGGCCAGGGAACATCTTGGGATTCGTGTGGGGGAGCTGGCCCACGTGGCTGGGGAGAAGGAAGCCTGGGGCTCTGCTTACGTTGCTGCCCTCGTGACTCAACCCCAGATAAGCGGACGATAATGGATGGATGAACACCCCAGCCATGTAAGGAAAAATTCTGTTTCAATGTAATCTTCCTTCCAACATGAATGAAACAGACCATTTTCTGATTATTTCACTGTAGAATTCTTACATGTTTAAAGCTGCATTTAAGGCCAAATTCAACTTTTCTCTTTGACATCTTGCCTGGAAATCTGAATTTAAAGTTCCCATTCTTGGATAGCTGCAATGTTTTACAGATGTAATCCACAGGGAACAGCATGGACATCTGCACAGGGAACAGCCTTGGAGAAACGTTCTGTGTATTTGCTTAACAAACATTAAAGCCCACACCCTGTCCAGATCAACACGAGGAGAGTGCAACAAGAAATTTGTGAAACGGGGAAAATTTTGAATTAAAAGCTGAATCCACCTCTGAATAAATCACACATTTTGAAGTTTAAATAAAACATTAGCATTTGAGAGGTCAGGAGCATATTTTAAGTTTTAAAAAACAAAATAGGACGCCCTTGCTTGCTTCTTTTTCTCATAAACTCACCTCTACTGGCAGGATATCAATGTAGAGACAGATAAACCACCGAGAAACCACCAGAGTCCACATGACGTTATGCTCCTCCATCACCTGCCCCACTCGGGGGATTTTAAGTTTGACCAGTTCCCCCAACACCTCCTGGTCTGTCTTCAGTCCCAGCATGGCTGGCGTGTAGTAGTCTGTAACACAACAGGCATTCATTTACTTTGTGTGGTACAGATGAACACTTAAATAAACCTGCCCAAAACATAAAACACTCAAGTGTTACTACAGCCATCATTGATGTAGACACACACCTGGTAAGATTCTACCGAGCAGAGCGTCCATCAGCCAGAAGGACTTTTCTTCATCTTTTGTGACAATCAGCAGATATCCAGCAACAAAGTTCATACCCTGAAGACAGATACACTCTATGGTTATGCGGGATTCCTGAATTATGCACGTTTCATTAGGCAGAAAATCTCTTTAACCCATTCAGACCTAAAGCAATATTTAAAAAAGGGGAAGTCCTCAAAATTTGGCATGTTCTGCAACTGGAGAGGTTTTTACTAATCTTGTTAATATTCACAAAAATAACCTCAGAAATATATTAAATGTTTTTAAATATTTGAACAGTGTTGATCATTCCACATAACCACTAATGTCTTCCTGTTTGTTCCATTATAAGGCAGTAATGTGTCCTGAAAACGGTGGATGCCTGTATTTGTACTAGAGGTGTTACAGAAAAACATTCATGTTTGATTTGTGATCCAAACCGTGAACTAGCCAACACCTGGTTGTGTGAGCTGTCAAGACTGGCAGTTTTAACTGGTTTTAATCCTTTTTAAAAAATACTGGTTTTTTACTGTTTTTCACACTGTGAACTTTTTATTTTATTTTCTACTTTTTAAATAACTTTTTTGGAGCTCGACTGCTGTCTGTTTTTACCGTCTGTCTACTTCCACCTGCATCACGCCTTTCACCTGCAGCCCTGGGTGTGTCGGCTGTGTGAGGCTGAGACAGAAAGTTGTAGAGTTGGAGAAGAGGATCTCCACGCTCCACCAAATCCAGGACCATGAGCGCGACGTGGACACCATTTTCTCCCGGACCTTCGCCACCACTGATGGGGCTCAACTGGCGGATGCCGTCTCGTGCCAGCCCGGTGTAATTGCGGGGCAAATTCCATCTCCGGTTCTCCAAGCGGGCTCACAGTGCCGGGGGCCTGCACGGCATTCGCGGCGGAGGAGGAACGCTGGTTCCAGCTGGGGGTAAAGCCAAAAGCCCCCCTCAGCTCCACTCCCATGCTCCAGGGTGCATGGGTCAAGGTCGGGTCCGGCCAAGGTGGAGGTGCGCGGGGCGGCGGCCGCTGATCCCCTCCACCTAGCCTGCCCATGTCCAACCGTTTCGGCGCCTTGGAGTTGGATTTTCCTCCTCTGCCAGCCCCTGGCCGTGACTTCGCAGGACCCTCTCAGCCGCTGCGGGACCAGCTGAATGCCAGCGGCCCTCCATGCCACGCCACCACAGACTGTAGCTGGGACCCGCCGAAGAGCGCCGACTTCTCGTCGCTGCAGTCCCGGGTGAGCTCAGCCCATCACTCAGCAGGTCCTGGAAAGGTCATCTGCCCAGCTTCAACCAGCGGACACACCACCACCATCATCTCCTCCACCAACCACTCTCATCGTCGGGGACTCCATCATCCATAATATCAGGATGAGAGGAGCCTTGACCTTCTGTTGCCCTGGAGCTACAGTGATGGACATTGCAGGACACATTCCAGACCTCATCCAGAAACACACAACAGTGAGTAGAATCATCATCCACGCCGGTACCAATGACATCCGTAAGCAGCAGTCAGAGCTCCTCAAGCATGATTTTATTCACCTTTTTAATCTTTTAAGAACCATGCACATGTCGGTTTTTATTATCTCTGGCCCCACTCCCACCATGGGCAGAGGAATCAGCCGTTTTAGCAGACTTTTATCATTAAACACCTGGCTTTCCTCTTGCCACCGTGACCCGTAATGTTGGTTTTATAGACAATTTTAACATTTTCTGGGGCAGTAGACACCTGTTTGGAGTGGATGGGCTTCACCTAAATAGACAGGGGACCCGTACTCTAACAATGAGCCTGGCCTGCCCACGACCCCCCCCCCCCCCCCCCCGGCCTCATCTGCTCCTACATCCTGATGTGTAGCTGGTCCCTGCTCCTACCAACCCTGCCCTGATTTTAACAGTAAATCACATATCGGACTTGGACCTTGCCGTACCTCATTCATACCTGTTATTAGCAGAGTGCGGACAAACAACCATAAACCAAACAAAAGCAACCCCAATAATCTAAAACAGTTACCAAAAGTCCCACCTTCAGTTAATACAGTCACTTTGTCACCAGTTACTATTAATATGGGTCTTTTAAATGTTTGCTTTCTGCTGATCAAAACGTTTTTAATAAATGAACTGATTTTAGATCTTAATCTTCACTGTCTGCTTTCATCAGAAACATGGCTGAGTTCAGATGCACCTGTTGTTCTCAGAGGCCTCTCCACCAGATTTTAATTTTTCAACGAGGAGTAGCAAAAGGGGAGGCGGTACTGCTTTTATTAGTTCATCAATACTTTCTGCCAAACCAGTTTTATTTGATAATTTTACCACTTTTGAATATACAGCAGCAGTTTTTAGCTCTCCTCAGATTGTGTCCCAGTTTATCGGCCCCCTAAACAGAGTGCCATTTTTATTCAAGAATTTTCAGAGTTTTCATCAATCCTGCACAACTCCTTCGAAAGGATCATTTTAGCCGGTGATTTTAATCTACATATAGATAATCCTTCTGATCCTTTTTCAAATGAGTTTTTAAATATTCTGAGTTACATGGATTTTAGACAACATGTCATGCAGCCGACTCACAACAGAGGACACATCTTGGACTTGGTCATCACCCATGGCATGTCCACTAGTGTGTCCTCTGTTGTTGACTTGGCTGTTTCTGACCACTACTGTGTGTTTTTTAGCATCACCAGTTTTATCCAGCTGGAACCCTCTGTGAGAACTGCAAGGAAACGTCATCACACCCCTGAAGTGGCTGCTGGTTTTCCTGAAGTTTTTAGAAAGATCCCTCCCACTCCGTTAACTGAATTAAAAAAATGTTATGGATCTTTTAGTGATGAGATTTTAACCCTAATGAATTGCTCCCTTCAGACGGGGGTCTTTCCTGCTGCCTTTAAAGGGTCGGTGGTGAGGCCCCTGTTGAAGAAGAGCAATTTAGATTTGAATGATTTAAACATTTATCGACCGGTATCTAACTTAACATTTCTTAGCAAAATTTTAGAAAAGTTGGTTTTAAATCAACTAAATGATTTTATAAACACTCATAATGTCCTAGAGAAATTTCAGTTTGGTTTTAGGGTGAACCACAGCACAGAGACGAATGATTTTAGACTGAATTATGATAAACGGTAGGTGACTGTGTTGGTTCTACTGGATCTAAGTGCTGCCTTTGACACAGTAGACCACCTTTTTGGTGCTGTCCACAGATGGTTCACATCCTACCTCACAGACGGGACTTTTATGGTGAGTTTAGGTACCTGTTCCTCGAGGGTCCACGGGATTACATGTGGTGTGCCCCAGGGTTCAATTTTAGGCCCAGTGCCTTTTAATCTTTATATGCTCCCTCTTGGCGGGGTCATCAGGAGACATGGGGTCAACTTTCACAGTTATGCTGATGATACACAGTTATACATCTCCGTGTCTCCTGATGACTCTCGGCCAATGGATGCATTTTTAAACTGCATTTTAGACATCAAATTCTGGATGACAGAACTTTCTCCAGTTCAACCAGGCATAAACTGAAGTTTTAGTTATTGGTCCTGAGGCCCAGAGAGAGAAACTTTTACAGAAACTACAATCTCTCTTTTAATCCTTCTGAACAAGTGAAGAACCTGGGCGTTATTTTTGACTCTGAGCTGACTTTTATCCCACACATTAAAAATATCACAAAAATAGGTTTTCATCATCTAAAGAACATCGCCAGAGTCCGCCCTATTCTCTTTCGGGCCAATACGGAGATGCTGATGCATGCTTTTATCACCATTAGGATAGACTACTGCAATGCCCTGCTTTCTGGTCTTCCCAAAAAGAGCATCTCAGGCTTACAACTTCTACAAAATTCGGCAGCACGTGTCCTGATGAAGATCAGGAGGCGGGAGCTCATTACACCAGTTTTAGAATCATTGCATCGGCTCCCTGTATGTTTCAGGATCAATTTTAAGGTTCTTCTAATGGTTTTCAAGTGTCTTAATGGTATTGGGCCTTCTTATCTCTCAGAACTGCTTTTACCATATGAACCCTTACGGCCGAATATACATTTTTACTGGTGTGTGTGCCTGTGTGTGTATTTGCATATGTCTGTTAAGGTTTTTAAACTGTTATGGGAATTTGGGGTCTTTTTGTAAAGCACCTTGAGTAGCACTTTGCTTGAAAAGCGCTTTATAAATAAAATCTGACTGACTGATCGATAAAAGCACACAGAGAATTATAAAAACTAAAATCTCTTGTCTAGTTTTCGCTCCATTTCTTTAGAAACTACAATCTAACAGCCAAAGTCTCTAATAAACCCTGTGTGTACACTTGCCTTAACAAGTGGTTGGCATTTTGCATATTTACTTCTCCTGATCACATTTTTATTAAGTTTTATGATCTATGTGCTCATTGGGGACTTTTGCCAACTGGGGTGCACTAAAAACAGTTCATCAGGTGCTCTCCTCACTAGAACAGAATCGATCTCCGACTACACACAAGACAAGGAAACATCATGTCCATACAGATGAAACTGCTACCAGAATGGGATTACATCTCTCACTGGACAACAACGCCTTGTTTGAATACTCAGGTGAATGAAATTTGCTTTTCAAATCTGACAGAAAGAGACTGAACAACCTAGTTAAAGCTAGCTCGGTTCTGGGCTGCCCACTGGATTCAGTTGAGGAAATGTGTGAAAGGAGGAAGCTGAAGATAAGCTCCATTCTGAAAAAAAAAAACCTTCCACCCACTGCGTTCCACCATGGAGACCATGGATAGCTCCATCAGAGGCAGACTGAGACATCCCAGATGTAAAACAGAACGCTACCGTAGGTCATTCATCCACCCCCCGCAGTAAGAGTGTATAACTCCTCAGTTTAACTGGTACTGGCATTATCCTGGTACACAATAACATCAATGCAATATTCAGTATGTCTTCAATACATGTGCAATACCAGATTAACATAGTATGTCTGTGTCTCTTACAGTATGCTGCTAAGTTCTGGAGCACAACTTTTTCATATTTATTTGTGGTTTTTAGTGGTTAGAGGTTACAATAATAGCTTACCGCCTATGTGTATGTACATGTATCTTTGTTGTTTTATGTTTGTGATGTGATGCTGTCACAAGTGAATTTCCCCACTATGGGATCAATAGTCTGTTCTAACTTATGTAAATAGTTCAAGACATTAGCTAGAGGTTTGAATAATCCAAATGAATGATCCAAATTAACGAGGCAAAAATAAGGACCCTGCTTAATTTAAAATACAATTAGAATTGATTTTTAAGTATTCTCAAAAAGTTGTAATACTAAGGGTTGGATGTACATGAAGCTGGTATTACCTGGCAGTAGCCCACAGCTGGATCGTGGTGGCCGTAAGCCAGCAGCACATTGTACAGGGCTTTCTGTAGACACTGATCGGATGTCTTACGGAACTGAATGTTGTCTGGAAAAGTTCTGTTCAAGTCTGGAAGAAAAGCGATCACGCCGACATTAATCACCATTTGCCTTTTTGAGTGTAAGCAAAGAAATTGGCATCAGAAGAGCAGTAAAATGCTAGCCTGGCAAACCATCCTATATGTGTGAGTATGTGGTCTGGTCACGACCCATAGACAGATCTCAGTAGTGGGGCGGGATCTACGGTTATCTTTCAAATCGCCTCCACATGCTATTGGATAAACAACTCGACATACTCACTGCTACGAATGTCAGTCAACGAGGCAGTCTGCCATACTCAAGTCACAGAAGAAGAAAATACATCCTTTATTTAAGTAAACAAATACCTCTCTACCCGCTCTTGGCTCAAAGAAAAGCCCAAGTCTATATAGTCTAATGTTGATGCCAAAGCAATTTCAAACGAGCCGTCGCCATCTTTGTTTTATCAGTAACATCCCACCCACCAGCAGAGTGCTGTTATTGGACCACTATAGATGTCAGTCAACAGGGCAGTCCGCCATTACATAGGAGAAGAACTACATAGAACATAATACATTGTTTTTCTAAATTAATGCGCAGTGATTGGTCAGCCACAACACAGGCCAGGGCTGAGAGGTTCCAATGGAGCGTTGCTACACCGTCAATCTTGCCTTGGCAAATGATGGTCGGCCTTCTAGGCTAGCAAAAGGCATCAGTCACATGTCAAATTTAACTCAACTCTTGGGTTCAAGGGCGTTATTTGGTTCTAAAGGACCATAACTGAACTGTAGTCTGGTGAACACCTGGCACTTTAGTTATCTAGTTAATACAATCGTTTGGTAAATGGTTGTAGCATCATTGTGCCGGGGTGGAGAGTGCGTTTCAAAAGCAGACAGATGATCTGAGTCTGGGTGGACTGTTCACATCATAATAATGACCAAGAACATTCAGAAAGACTGTTCTGCTGCTGCTGATGCTTTGGGACACATCTGAAACGTGTGACTCTGCTTAAAGTCCGATGTGGAAAGTTTGTAGAGACATGAAGATGACAAAGCAAAGCTGCAATTACTCCTCCTGATTCCTGGTCTTCAGGTAGGATTCATTCATCAACTCTATGTTTGTGTCAGAGCTGCTCAAAGTGAATGATGTTACAACAGCTAGACCTGTTCTGATGGTCTCCACAAGTTTTGGGTCATGCTGGCCAACCAGCAGCGATTGGTAGAATCCCGGGTTCTTCTCTAGCTGGTTCTGAGCCCCACTGGCTGCCATCCAGATCAAGGCCCGGTGCTCATTGGGAATCCCCTTGCGTACATAACGCTTTACTGAATAAAAGTAACATTGAAGTGAGTTTTGGCACATGAACTTGCATTCTTGTAGATTTTTTAGTTGCCACACTCACATTTGAAATTCTTCTGCACCTTGCTTTTTCTCTTCAGTAGTTTGGACCATTTGATGGATCGTCGGGTGAGCACCACCAGATACTCAGACATGAGCTCCTCGTATGACTCGAAATCAAAGTCCTCAGAGCGCTCGAAGCCATACGGATCCACTCTGAGCCAAAAATAATAATAATAATAATAAAACCACACATAGCTGCAATGACATGATATGAACATAAATCAACAATTTATTAGAAAGTTGGAAAATCATATTTGGGAGCTAGACTAGGCAAATCTTAGTGTTTAAAAAGAATGTTCTATTTATAACGTGAACCTGTGTTTGCTGGTTATAATAAGGTGTGGGTGGAGGTGGCTTAACTTAATGCCTTAGGTAACATTTTAATCCATCTGCAGCTTAACCTTTCCACTCCAGCAAAGTCATTCCCAAGGAATGAATGCAGCTTCACAGCATCAGGTTTGTGGTGAACTACATTTGCACTGCACATGTTCAAACATAATCACGTTTGTGGCCTAAAATGCATCACATGATGCAAATTTCAAAACCTGCGCTTCACACACAGAAATCATTTACATAATTTTATATCAGAGTGTCAAAGCGAACAAAACAAGAGCATCAACTTATTAAAAATATTTACAGCCAGTGAGTGCTTTTGTATTAGGATCCAACTAAGATTTAGTCCGATTCCAATCCAATTAAAATAAATATAATTAAAAGAATCAAGTATTTTTCATTTCTTATCAACTTTAAATTCATTCATTTCGAAGTAAAACACACATAGAAAACAAGTTCATAGTGGGAATTGGCTCTCAGCAATGTTCACAGGCTGAGAAAAAAGTAGGATTTTAAACTGCTGCTTGGATATGTTACAGTCCGAGTTAAAAATGAAAAATCCGATGTTTGAGGTTTAGATGACCTATTCTTGAATATATGCTAGCCAAGCTGTTTACTGGTAGATTACAATCAGCTGACCTCTGATTCTTATGGTTTTAGAAGATAAATTAAGACTTCTTATCAGTTTGCCCATTGTTTGTGTTCAGATTTTGTCCAAAGGTTCATTTCAAACATTAAGAAAAACTGGGACAAGAAACTGAAAAGTTCCAAATTGCTAACGACAATAATACAAATTTGTATTAAACAGGAAGTAAAATACACCGTCATTAAGAACACTCAATAACTAACGAAACAACTATGCATGTGAAAAGTTAAACCCAGTGTACTTTTAAAAGCTTGCAGTAAAAACACAGATTTGACATTCTGAGCAACAGTTTCTAGAAATAATCCTGAACGAGGTTCCTGAATGACCCTGGCTGGTAGCATTTCTAAAAATAACACTGTAAAAATAAAGGTCTTTTAAAAAGACATAATTTATATGAAATATCAATAACTCCAATTAAAACCTATGACAAACTCACAACAATTAGTCTTATTAACGTAAAGGTCACGTTTAGCAGTTCTCGCGATTAAATAAAACAGCACGTGACGGTTTTACTGACGCTAATTAAAGCTAGTTAGTTAACCCAATCAACGGATAAAACTAAATCATTTATTGCTAAAACTGTTTCCACACGGACTTAATTGATATGTATTATTTCAATTTTATTTTCAGGTTGGTATAGCTGCTAATAGACATGTTAGTGTTACCTGTCCACTCGGTCTTTAGCTGCGTTGTAGGTGAGGGTCCCGTTCAATGACTTTTTCTCTTTGTTCATGTCTTCTGCTCAAGTGAAACCATTTAAAAACTGTTCAGCATGTAAACTTTTCCGCCAAAGGTCAAAAGTTTACAACATGCGGGACACAAACGTTAGTTTGAAGTCCTCCTGAAAGCTCGCTTGTCTCCATGTTTGCGTGGACACCGCTGGGACGGGACACAGCTGTTGTTTTCCTGTGGGATTAACTTGTTATCACCGCAAAGATAAAGCCGATAATTTTATGTTTTTTCGTTCCTTTAATGTTTTATGGATCGAACTATGGTCATGAGGCAGCCCTCATGTGGAGATTGCGTCGACTTTTATCGCTATCAAGCACCTGCTGCGGCTCCACAGCTTCACGAACTCTACGTAGTTTTTCTGTAGAGCGAAGTAAAGTCCAAACAACGAGCAGGACCGCGATTTCCTCGATAGCTATTCGGTTACTTTCCTCCTGTGTTGTTCGTGGTGCCCCATGTAGGATTAGTGACGTTTGTCCCGGGGAGAAACGCCGCCGCTCTATCAGATCCAATGCTGCTTTCACGGGACTCCTGCAGCCTCGAACGTTAGAGGTTTGAGGAGTCATAACCTGACCTATGGTGCGTTCACATGGCTTTGTGAGAAAAATAACAGTACTGTTAAAAATGACAGCTGGTTAAGTTTTCTTATTAACTGAATTTCGTTTTAGTATACATATAGATGAACTCTTGTTCCTTGATCAGTTTTGTTAATCAACAAAGAATTACAAGTTATATTTAAAAAGCACATTTTAATTACAACCACTGTTACGTTTCCCACTGGCACAACAGAACGATTATGTGCCCAACAACACGTAAATGCATCCAAAAGGCGGTCACGCCCTTCCCAACTTGGCACAGGTAAATACAGATGAAGGTGACGCCTGCCCAAGCAGAATGCGTCAGATAAAACACTTTAACGCGTCATAGCTATCTTTGCTTGTTGCAAAACTAATTTGAAAATGTCTTCATATGTCAAAAGGGAATTAGTGTTGACACAGAACAAAACAATTTATGAACAAATAATAATAATAACGATTTCATCTGTGGTTTAATAAAAAAGCTTGAGCTTTTGTGCTTATGAAGACATTGACATCTGTAGCCCTCAGTCAATTTCAGTTATTTCAAATAGGCCCATTAGAATAAACTGAGTGGAGACTAATGTGGGTCTATAAGCAGGAGAGGAATCCTTCAGTAGCTTGGATCAGTAGCTTGGATGGGCTTCAAGCTACCGACACATTTGGCACTGCTGTGTGTCTATTCACCTATGCTGAACAAACCTCACTTTGTCCACTTTTAAGCCTAGTTGTGTGTGCGTGTGTGTGTGTGGCATTGGGGGGGCGGGGGCATGAAACTGAGCTGAGCATAAAACGAAATGGAGTTTGAGTGAATGAATGGTACAACGTAACATACTTGTTAAGCTGAGGCATGACAGCATTAAGAGTGAGATGTTTTTATTTTCACTTAATCGTTTCAAAGGTTTGACAAACTGAACATCAAAAACTTACCATTTGATTATAAATAAGTTATCAAACCACATTTTTTTTCAAGTCAAATAAACAAATAATTTCATTTATTTTGGAAAAATTCACATACATCACAACTGTATTTTCAGGGGCAATTTCTGGTATAAGTTCAGATAGCCTCATGTTATACAGTAGATGCTATTCGGTGTAAATAATTGTTAATTTTGTACACCCTCTTTGAAAATGGTATACAGAAAGTTAGGTGTGTGAATATATTTCTGCAAAACACTTATAAAATAACTCCAGCTGTTATTTGTAACTTTGAAATGCTCCTGCTTTTGAAACTAACCTTGATTTTCTTGGTTTTACATGGATGTTATCTGTGTTTTAATGGTTCGCTATAAACATTCAGTAGCTGATTCTGAATAGTCTACAAAACATTTTCTTCTAAAAAAAACAGGATTTTAGCACAAACTTAAAAATTAAATGTGTCAGTAAATCTGATTATTTTGGGTTTGTATGCTTGCTTAACAGACAGCTCGCAGTAGCTGATGGTTGTGTACTTTGGTCTTTGTTTTTCATCGTCTGAAGGCGTCTCAGAGGCCCTGCTGTCTCCCCGTGCATCCTTGGTGCCAACAAAAGGCTGAAATCTTTGTGACATTCCAGTCCCAACATTCTTTTCAAACTGTTGTTCCTCGTCTTTTCCTCTCTCCAAGTCCTCCATCATTGTTTCTCTGGTGGTTGCAGATTTGCTAATGTGCTGAGGACTGTACACACCACTGTCTTGACAGTTTTTTGTTATTTTTAATTCACTCCCAATGTAAGATGTAGGATTAGAGTGGGATTTGGGATTTTCAGTACAAGTTTTTGGTGCTGATTGGCAAGCAGGCTTAATCTGATCTGAACCAGGATGATCGCCAATGCTGTCAGTGCATGGGGGCATGCACGTGCACAAACCTCTCTGAGCAGAAATGGACTGAGGGAGATTTATGTCCCTAGTGGCCATTACTTCATGACACGTGTCCTTGGAAAACACCTCAATTTTTGCTTCTGTGTTGCCTTCAGCTGTTATTGTACAAAGTTCTCTTGCAGCTGATTCACTGGAGGAAACTGTCATGTCCTCACGAGGAGCTTCTGCAGGTTTTCCTGTAAATGTGTCCTGCCCCGAGCTTCTGGAAACCTCAGGTTCTGTTTCCTTGAAGTGTTGTTCTGGAGAAGAATCAGCACCCATGGACCAGACAGAAGGGCATGTTACAATGGTGGCCATGTGCCAGTTCAGTTTCAGCTCTTCCTGCAGAAGAACTCTGCAGGGTTGTGGAAGTGACCACTCAGCCACATAAGCTAATGAAATTAGCTCCGGACACACAGACTTAACCCTACTTGTCATGAATTCAGCTTCATCTGATGTAATCTGATTTTTACTGACTCGCGCTGACCCCCAGTCAACATCTGCCTCAATAACTTGACATTTCATTTGTGTTAACAAATTGTAAAGTGATTGATCTGCAGGCTGGTTTCTCATTTGTTTATCTTCTTTGCATGAGCTAATTTGTAGCACATCTGCTGCACAATCCAGAACTGGTTTATGATCACTCGTAGCGTGATTTCCTTGCACTGTTTCTGCTGGTTTACATGTTGATATTGTGGGTGGAATTTGCAGGACATGCTGAGCCAGCACCTGCTGGGTCGCTCTTTCAAGACAAGCTACTCTTTCTTTTATTTTATATGGAACGTTGATTCCTTCAGAAGGCTTTTCATGTGAACTGTTTACCTTTCCTTTATTAAACACAGAAGCCATGATCTCAAATCTTCCCATTAGGGAATTTAAGAGGATCCCTCTTCTGGTGAGTTTTGGTTGGATGGGCTGCTCCTTCCGTGTTTTCAGTCCTTGTTCTTTCTGTGCAGCCTTGGCAAACTTAGCTACTATCTCCTTCACACTGCCCCGTCTTTTCAGTCTCTGCTCTCTCTTTACTTGGTCTCTCGTGTCCGTGTCATGTCTCCTGTCTTTACGGTGGCAGTCCTGACGCGGACCACCCCTGCTAGAGGACAGTGTTCCCACCTCTCTTTGTTTGGTGGTGTAGGGCTTTGGTGAGGTTCTCAGGAATTTCGACAGGAGGAGCTGAAATGTGGTGAGACGCTGAGACTTTTGGTCCCTTTCTCTTTGATCTCCTCTGCACCTCCTTGGTATTCTGTCTTCATATGAATCAGAAATGTTCTCAGCAGTTTCCATAACAGATGGATGACCCGCTTTGAGGCTTTTCTGCAACTGAGTCTGTCCAGCAAAAGTTTCCCTCTGCAGACCAGAACCATTGCTGTTCGTTGTAATAATTTGTTTAGCAAGGCCACACCCTGGTGCCTCCAGGTTTGTGTTTGCAGCTGTCCTCCTGGGCAGATCCTCTGTTAGGTAATGGAGAAGACTCTCCAGAATCCCTCGCAGCACCGGTCTACATTTGGGGTCTTTAATGAGTTTCTTCAACAAACAGACATCAGGGCTGAGTCCAGTTTTCAGTGAATCTGGTCTACAGAGAATAAAGGACAAAACAAACTTAGTCCCTGCAGTCGTTTCTCTATTCAGTCTGATAGTAATGGCAAAAGCAGGAACTTGGGTATGACTTGAAACAAAGCAAGTTTTTTTAAACACACAGTGTTTCCATCATTCTAATAAATGATTTATTTGTCTGAGTTCAGCCACATTTTACCTCTGTTGTATCTGTAATAATAATAATAATAATTAAAAAACTTAAGATGGTTAGAACTGAATATTTACTCATGTTGTACAGCGCTTTGTGATTTATGTCTGTGAAAGGTGCTATATATATAAACTTTACTTACTTACTTACTTACTATCCCATTAGTCATTTCATCTAAGCAGCAAAAATGAAGGTCTTAGATGTTCAGAATGTTATTATAGGTAATTAGTACAAGAGATAGCAGAAGGAAAGGGCACAAAATAAATATAATTATTAAAATTAAGAATACTGCAGTTAAGATAAAATATTTAATGCAAAACAGCTCAATATATTTTAAAGAGGAACTATGAAGTTTTGGCTTGCTTTTAGCACACCCTAGTGTCCATTTGCAGAACCAAAAGCTACATGTAATTCCTCCCTGTGTGTTAATCTTTTTAACATCTTTATCTAACAGCTGAAATGTCTCCCCAGCCTTCATTAGTGTCTACAGGAGTTAGTCATCACTAAGTTAAAAAAATAAGCTGTGTTCATGATCTAAAACAGGGGTCCCCAATCCTGGTCCTGGAGGGCTGGTATCCAGCAGGTTTTGTGGTTTTTCTGCTCCAACAGACTTGATTCAGTGGTTGAAACACCTGTGCAGCAGCTCATCAGGCTCTGCAGAAGCCTGTTAATTAGCTGCTGATTGATTGAAACAGAGTTCAAACTAAAACATGCAGGATACCGGCCCTCCAGGACCAGGACTGGGGACCCCTGATCTAAAACATGCAGGAAATGTGCTGGAAGCAGACTGCAGCACCAGGAATGTCAGCTCCATTTTTCCAAGTCCCAGCAGAGCGGCTGCCAGTCTGAAGTTGCAAGTGTAATATTCTGTCCACAGGGGGGCAGTAGGGGCCGGGTGACCTTTCGTTAACCCAGTAAAGGGTCATTCAATCTCACACTGGCTCAAGAAACTTATTTTAAAATATGAATTTATAAATTTGTTTTCCCATATGTGGTTCAGCCACACTAAAGCATCACAGTGCAAATACGTGTTTAAAATGAAAACACAACCAAACTATTTTGCATGAAGACATTCAGTTTCATTGTTTCATGATTTGTGTTGGCTGAATTTAGACTTGAAATTTTTTGGATCTACTTTTCTTTTGTTTTTAATTTGAGAAAAAATGACACAACTGAAGCTGAGACCCGATATTCATTCAGTTTTTTTCTCAGCTTTCACAAACAGCTGGAATAAATAAAAACAAGCAGATTTTAAGTCATTAGATTTCCCGTGTGCTCAAAGTTAATAGAGGTTAGCTTTAGAAAAGGCAATGGTCAGACAGCACAGTTATCTTCAGAATATTTATTAATACAACTGTTCAAGTTACCAAATGTTATAAAGGTAACAGTTTTTTTTTTCCTCTCCACAGTTCTGTCAATCAAAAGTCAGGAAAACAAAGGTTTGGGACACTTTTCATACTGTGTAGATGGATTACAGATGAAAGATGATCTGTTTCTTCACTGCACAGCTACACTGGCAGGTATTTTTATATGATTTTTAAATTCATGACAGATTTGTGGATGAAAAAAACAATCTAAGACAGCGAAGCGAGAGAGGTGAGAAGAAGACAGAAGGCCACTTGAAACTGTTCAAGGACAGCGAGGGAAAGGATTTGGGTCCTATTCAGCTCCCCTGACAGCCTCAGTGAAGACCAGGATTACTTCTCTATGCATTTTTCTGCAGACGCTGCCTTAAACAGTGCTTCTCCCAGCTCTTCCAGTCGTTCCCTTTTGTCCACATCCTGATATAGGTTTGGGGGAACCTGGCTTAGGCCGTGCATGAGGCCGTAGAGACACCCCGCGATCAGGCCTGTGGCTTCACCCTCACCTATAAGAACATTTGCACAGAGTCACAAAGGGCATGGAAAGTTTTTTAAAGACAACTTTTGCAGGCCCCACCTCCATGAAACATGGCCCGTTTGCACAGTTCAGCCCAGTCACTCCCTGCAGCCAGTAAGGCGTCATAAGCAATCATTGGAGCATCATGGCCTCTACGGCCTGCACGGCCCTCAGAGCTCCAACGCTTGTACATCTGTGTAGAGAAAAATAAAACATGTCCCATGTCTTTTAGAGGCTGTGGTGTTTTACCATAAAAGGAGAAGGGAACTTACCTTATCCGTCTCCTCTGCATCATAGTGATCAGGGAATAACGGCTGGTTTTGTCCCTCTTGGTCGATCCCTCGCTCTTCAAGATAAAACTGCCACTTAGCCTCAAAGTAAAACCAGTTTTCCTGGTACTCTGCAAAAGATGAAATAATCACACATTTATTGCATCCACTGGGTGGTTTTCCTATAGACACAAGTCAAATTCACAGGGAAGTTTCAGACATTTTTGAGTGGTTTCTATATGAAATACAATTACTCTGTCCCATTGTTGATGGCACGTCCATATCCAGCGCCCAAAGCCAAGTAAATGTATTAATATCTCTGCTAAAAATTAATAGGAAATTAAAATAATGTTGTGTCTATATTCAGTACTACCTGCCATGTGTCTTATGGTCTTCCTGCAATACTCCTCTGCGCGAGGAATGACCTCCATGAGCTCACGGCCCCAAGTCACAAGAGGCTTCCCCTGGATTGCATAGGAGGCAAACAGTGCTGTTGTCAGGGAGCCGAGGAAGCCTGAAGCCAGGAATCACAACACATATCACTTCCACACTGTTCACAGCTGGTAGAGCTGCACATTTCGGGTAGTTTTAAGTCAATCTGCAACACAAAGACTAACCTATAATGTTAGAATTTTGTTATAGTTAAAGAAAAACTAAGCAACTCCTTGTATGTGCTAAAATGACCCTTTACAGGGTTACTGAAAGTCGCTCAGACCCCACTGCCTTCTGTGGCCAGATTACTGCATTTGCAACTTCAGAGTTGCCGTGCCAGTCCCTGTTGGACTTAGCAAAGTGGAGCTGACATGCCTGGTGCTGGAGTCTGCTCAGCTTCCAGCAGGTTTCCTGCATGTTTTAGATTGTGAACACAGCAAATTTGTCTGATTTAGTGATGAACTGCTCCTGTAGAAATGAATGAAGGCTGAGGAGACATTTCAGCTGTAAAGCCTAGTTCATGCTTCTGTGTTGGTATGGAGACATACAACGCCATCATTGCGAGGGCTCTCCAAAAGGCTCGCAAGGACGGAAAGAGTCAAGCCCACTTTTCTAAACATCCATCAAACGAGACGGAGAGCAAGGATTGTGATTGGCCAGGATGCAGCTTCCTATAAATTTGTCAACAGCGCCACCATTGCCAAAATAAAGAGAGCTGAAGAAATCGAGCGGCAGACACGGGGCAGCTGGAAGAAAAACTTGTGGACAAACTCTAAAAATATGAATGTTTTATTTACTTGTGACTGGAGGAGTTTAAAGATACACATCAAGCCTTTTATTCGTGCACAGAAATGACAGGAAACGTAGAGGTGGCCACTGCATGAAGATGTGGAGGAGAATAAGGAACAAATGTGTCTGTGTTAAAAAGTAGCTGAAATAAAAAAATCACAAAATAAACACAATAGTAAATGCACTAGCTTGCACCGGACACATGACAGGATATCCCAGAAAAGTGCTACGCCCTCTGTTGTCCTGGCAGGGAACTGCTTTGCAACACTCCCCGGAAAACGGAGAAGTCCGAAGGCAAAACGTCTCTGTCCATGCGCGTGCGTCTCTCCTAACTGGAGCTGACGCAGAAGCATAAAATAGGCTGTAGATTAAGGTGTTAAAAAGACAAACGCACAGCGAGGAGAACGAAACACTAGGGGCGCTAAAAGCAAGCCAAAACTGCCTAGTATCCCTTTAAAAACAGCCTGCATTATTACCTGTTGGGTGGTTATGGGTCATTCTGCCAGTCTCAGTGCTGACCTCCACCAGGTTTTCTAGCCGGTCAGGCTGCCAGTACCTCATACCCACACACATGGCTTTGGCTGCTGCCCCAAACCCAGATCCTAGAAACAAGCACACTACTTTACTCCAATCATTGCAAAGAATGGTGATTTTTCCTAAAAAAAAAAAAAGCATTTTTACCTTTTTCATTGAAAGGTGTATGCCACGCAAGCAGGAAGTTGTGTGGTTTGAGGTGCACACAGGCCTCCACTGTGGCAGGATCGGGGGCTCTTCCTTGAAGGGATACTATGGCTTCAACATAGAGACGCACCAGCTCCCTATACAGGTCCTCTAGACACCAGTAATCTGAATACACACAGTACTCAAGAGTCATTTGTGACTGACATGCACAGGAAGTTAAGAAGTACTAGTCTCACTACCATACCACAGATTAGAACCAGAGTGGTTTACAAGTGTTTTATATGTATGACATATGAGTAAAAATGTCTGTGCAGACAAACATCAACACATCTCTTCTAGTCTTCTCTCTTTGCTACCAGATATGCATCAAGTCTGCCCGTGGGGTAATGAAGACACCTTACATAGCTATACGTTGGAGTCTGGCTCGCTTGTTTACGTTGATGTCTAGGGAATGGCATGCATCGCTGTAGCTAAATAGAGCTTTCTAATCTCAAAAGATGTCATCACCATTTTTTCTTAGAACCACTGTTGTTGGCTCGGAGCCGCAGCTGCATCTAAACATGATACCGGTAGCTTACAGAGGGCTCTGACCCCCTATTGTTCCGAGGATCAGCTTTTCTCAACGGGTCTATTTCAGACTCTTTGGCCGTGGTAACATGCTACAGGGGCTTCAGATGGCATTTGGATGAGGACATTCAAAACTGCATTAATATTTCTCTGAAGACGGAATGAATGATGTATTTAGGTAGGTTTAGTCTTTCAACTCGAATTTTCCACTGGCTTTATATATATAAAAAAATGCTATATTTATATATCATAAAATAAAGTCTTTAGCAAACATTTACATTTTTTATTTTATATAAATTTGTCACAATCCTACTTTGTTTTTGTATCAGTGCTACACATACCTGTCACGAGTGCTTCAGCTGTGGTCATGTGCATGAGCACTGCGTCACTCAGTGGCCAGTTTTCAGGGTCCAGCGTTAGGGCTCCCAGTCCCCCTAGAGAGGCCAGTTCCTCTTGGATCTTCTTTCCTGATGTGCAGCTTTCCCATCGACCCTTTTTATAGCCCAAAGCATCACCAACAGCACCCAGAACCATGGCTGCTTTGAATTTCTCCATGATGCTGAGCGTTCTTGTTGCTGGATCACCTAAAGCGTCTCTCCTGAATTAAGCTTGCACACTTGAGTTGTTTTCTAGACTCGTGAAACTCTGATAGGTCTTCTTTGTCTTCTTTCCCGTGCAGCAATGAAGACGAGGATACAATTGCTGTTACATCGTATCTCTGACAGCCTCCCATCCTCAAAGCTCTCCTCTAATGTTTTAGCAAAGGCATCCACGTACCAAGCCTGGGAGAGCACACACCACCATGAAAGCATTTCATTATCAGCCACAGCCTCTTTTGTGTTGGGCGGTGGTGAGTGGTGCTGCAATCAGGTGTCTCCTAAAAAGGAATTCCTCATGGTCCCAAAGCCTAAGAGCTGGATGACGACAGGAGTGATAATCAGGGCTGGACGCAGTCTAGAGATGCTAATGTGCTGCTGGGCATGAGTACATGCACGTCCAGCAGCTGCTGCTGGAGCTTAATGTCACATCCCACCTTCCCTTTGGGACGAGGACAAAAACTGAGCATCACTAATGCAAAGCCCCCCTCTATCAATCTTTCCAGATTTACCCAATCCCTTTGTTGATTTGCCTAGTTCCTCTTGTGTGGAGTTGAAAAAGCATGACTGAAGATCTGTTGGTGGTGATTATATGCACCATGAATGCAGACTGATGAGGGACAACTGTTACCAAGCTGGACATCCTAACATGCTGAGACATTTGGGTGCTTTTAACATTCACTGCTAGCATCTGATTCACAATTTGAGTTAACCAAACACCTGCTGGCCTCCAGGTGATACTACTATTGCAATAACACAATTCAATTCGAGCTCATTAAACCGAATATTGTGTTATTTACAGGGATGCTCAGCATTAGCTTGTTTACCAATATTGTCTGACTCTTAATTTCCTATAAACCGATACCGATACATGCCGTGCCCCCATTTTCTGTACAAAATGTCAACTACTTTTATTTAACCCATTCATGAATAATGGTCACGACAGTGGACAGCTACTCAAAATATATATTTTTTGCTATTAAGCACAACTGTTGAAAATTTAGTTTTATTTCAGCCCCCCGTCCATTGGACTCTAGTGAGTCAAGCCAACTTACTTCATGTTCAGATGCATGCCGTCCAATGCAGTGGACATGTAATAAATTATTTGTAAATTAAATGTTGAAAATATTCAGTTGAATTTAGTTTCATTCGTGCCTAAAGATGAATAGGAAAAATCCTGGTTGAAGATTTCATAATTCATCCATGAAAGGGCTGAGTTAGTAATAGAAGTGCCACACTTATTTTGTCTCCAACAGCAGCTGAACCTCATTCTCCCCAAGCGTGACCCTAAGATGTGTGTATTAGTTAGTAATGCATTTTTCTGCTTCTGTATGTTGCAGCTATGGTGATAAAACATGTATAAAGATCTTCTATAACTGTAAGCACAAGTTGTGCCAAATAAGCTAAAAAAAATCCCAAAACTAAACCTCAGATCTCTCATATTTAGACATTTTGAGAGAGAAGAATAGCTGATGTGTAACATGTGTCTGGTATGTAAAGGCTGGGTCATTAGACTGAAAACCGATGCAGGTATTACATTTTAATGTTGATAGAGACCCATAATATCAAACATCCCTACTTATTTATACTGGTAAAATATACTTGTAAAGCAGGTTTGTCCAGTTTCCTGTGGTGCTATACCAACAAATGCATTTCAACACAACCATTTACAACAACATGCTTTATTCTTTTAAACATGAAAACAATGTTCTTCACATTCTGACTCATAAAAAGCTTCTGCTGTGAATAATACTGTTTCAGTAAGAATGAACCAAAACTGTACCGTGCACCAGTGTAGTCGACTTTAAAGTGAAGATTGTATCGTTTCCTCGCAAGAAGCTGTCGATTTCGCAGCTCAGTGTTTTGATCTTTAAAAAGGAAAGTTCCAACAAAACCAGAAGCATGTCAAAAGATTTTTGTTGAGTTGAAACGAATCAGATAATGTTAGGCTCCTGGTATGATTACCCCCTCAATAATTCTGATTCATAATCAGATTAAACTTGACTTGTTTCAGGTTTGCATTCATTAAAACTAATGTAGTTTGACTAACTTTACACTGTGCAAAGGTTTTAAGCCACCTCTCGCTTTGATTCCAAAGGGCCAAGCTTTCTCGTCATCTTTTAACGTTGTCTGGGTCAACGGTTCTGCAGACTCTGGGTTCCTGCCAGAGATTTTCTTTAAACTGATTCTCTGACCAGTTCCTGCTCATCCAGAGCAAAGGTAAGTTAACGTTGACCTAAACATCGCTCATAAATAAAAAGCAGTAGGATGAACACGTAACAGATGACTTGGAGCACAATTTCAAATAGGAACTTTGGACTATTTTTCAAATATTTTTAGTTTATCTGTTTGCTCCTGATCCGGTGTACAGTGTGCCAGTCCTTTGCTGAAATATATTTAAATTGTGTTCATCTGCTCCAGTTGTTTATTTTTCTAATATCTTCTTTTGTTCTCTGTGTGTCCACTGTCCAAATGACTGAACTGGGCACGTATCCTAACCCTAACACAGCTAAATAGCAAACAAAAACCTCTAAAGACCTTCAGAACCAGGATTTGATCAGAACTGCATTAAAAGTTTGCAAAAATATATATATATATAAAGGTGTGGCTCCTTGGAAATCAAATGAATAAATAAGAAGACGCTTAAAACGTTGACACAAATGGAATAAACACAAGTTTATAGACATAATAAAAGGCAGCGCTTTAACCCGAAGTACCCTTCAGTTCTGTGAAATTACTTATAATCCTTCTTTATTTTACAACATATGGCAAAAGGTTATGTTATGGTAACAACGAGCTGCAGAACAAGATCCTTGTTGCTGTTTAGGCAAGAAAACATGGAGGGAAAATATGTAAATACAACCCAAGATGCTCCAGTACCTGAGCTCTACCGGTCACGCTGCATTTGGCTCACACAGGGTTGTTTAGCGTCAATAAATATGCTCCATGACACTAAATCATATCAAAAGCCTCGCCTTGCCAACTGCCATGATTAAATGGCTCCATGCAGCGCCGGTAACCAATAAAAACCACTGTAACCCTCATCCAGCACTAGATGGCAGCAGCAGGTAACCTCTCACAACAATGTAAACAAACGTCCAAGATGCTCCTGGCTGAATGAAGTAGTCTTAAAACTGTAGTTTGAACTGAAAAGCTCCGTAACTTTAAATCCTGCAACAAAACCGTGCAAATCAAAGCAGCTTGTAGAGGTGACACATCTCCACCTGTAGAACGGAAAAAGTGGGATTATGTTTGAGATTAGGCTGCAAAACCAGAAAGGATTAGGCTACATTTCTGTAAGAAAAACAATACTAAGGCTTTTTGTGTGTGTGGATCAGTTATAAAAGGGCATAAATGAAATTTAAAGTCATTTCTACAAGTATCATAATAAGATTCTGCTGGTGCTGAGCTTTAAAAAGCCAGCCTGCCAAAACAGTGTTGTTTTTTCACACCGTAAATTCTAATTTCCTTGCATTGTAAAACAAAAACCAGCTTTTATTTTGTGCAGGAGGAAATATGTTTCACTCCTACCAAACACATTCACACTAAATAACACCATGAAGTCTCTGCTCCTGCTGCGATGGAGACAAACTGATGCTCTGCTTCTGTTTATCCCAGCTTATTTGGCGCTGCTTTACACAGATCCAACATGCAGCTTTTGACATACTTTGATCCGGTCCATGTGCCAAAGCTCGCTCACACTTGGCCTAAGGTATTTTTGATGTGTTGACAGAAGCAAAGCCACGTCCATATTTTCACATTGCAACTGCAACGTTTGTCCACACCTGCAAAGCAAATCACTCCTTCCTGATGACCCTCTCCCTGCTTTATTTCCCAAAACATTATGACACTATGTCACGGTGCGTTTGTTTCCCTCCACGATTGGCCGAGCGAACTCCACAAAGTCATCGATGAGGACTGGCCAGGCCCCTGAGGAGAGGGCGAAAGGCACAATCAGAAGTAAATCCAAAACCGACAGACTAAAAAGTGAAGTTATAAGTAGTAGAACAACAAAAACGAGATTTTCCCCCAACAAAGAACCTAAGTGAAAATATTCACAGCTTGTTTTCCTTTTCCACGCTGCAGTTGTCTTTGGTGTGTTCCACTTAACGGTGTGGAACCCTGAAAAAACGTTTTTTAATGATAATTTCTGATTATAATCGGTCACTCTGAGCTTTTCATGCAGACAGTACATGAATAGTCTTCTACACCCATCTCCTGCATTAGCTTCTGACAGAAAATAGACGGATTTTAAAAACCTCACAGATTTATGTCAAGAGGTCATTTGGATTCATCCATACTGGCTTGCAACGGGGAAGGCTGTTGTTATTTTATCGCCCAGAATTAGCGGAGAACGTCTCGGCTAGCAGAAGCTAACAGTTAGCATTAGCAACTCAACCACACAGCAGAAGCACCTCCAGGCTTGTGTTACTTGTTGAGTTAAAACATCCTCGTCATAGAGCAAACGGAGTTAGCGGTAGAGTTGCGTTGCTGTTATCCAATCAGAGGCAAGATGTCCAAATACCAGGAAATAAAACTCCAAATCCTGCCGTGTTAAGCTCTCCTCTGATGTAGCAGACTTGTCCCAGCTGATGCAGGCTTTTCTGGGCTTTTCCTGCCCAGAGTACGACTTGCAAGGCATTCATTCCTACCAGAGACCACTGCAAATGTATTGATTAAACGAGTTTCCCACACCTTTAAGGAAAACCCGTCTGCCTCAGCGTGCCGTCCTATGCTTATCTTTGTCAACTCACCTTCCTCATCGTAGTTAGACATGTCATCTGCGATCATGTTGCCAAAGTCCAGAAGGAGGTTCCACGTGTCTTTGGGAATTGACCGCTTGTGATGCTCCTGAAAGTAGCACAATAACAAATCTTTACTATGTTGTTGCAAGCAAGTATCCAACTGGTGCTTCCATTTGTGTTTATTTGGTTGAACGCATGTCTTAAAGTGTAACACGGAAGGAAACGTCTTCCAAACTCACTAGGAGGAAGCGATTCCACAGATCTAGAAACTTGAATCGACCAGTAAGAACCAGATTCCAGTAGGCCACAGCCATCTCCAGGTCTGAAATACAAATATTTATCAAGACAGAGTGACTCATACGGCAACTTAAACATTTCTGTGACTGTAACAACATTTATGTTGATAGTGTGTAGTGTCAACATCACGCCCTGCTTACCTAAACTCTTCTGCCCTGGGTTCTTGGCAAAACTAAAAGTAAACTGGTAGAAGTCTTTAAACCTTCCTGCATCTTTCAGCTCCTGCTCCAACCTGGGAAGGATGGCCTTCAGCTTTTCAGGACTGTCACAGCTGTACAACAAGAAAACAGAGATGAAGACAATTTTAAATTGTTTCAGATTATTTACCAATCATCTAGCATAGTTAATAATAATACCCTAGCTCCAGCATGCCATCCAGGAACTCTTTTCGCCTAAACTCGCACTGTGTGGCCGCTCTGAACTTCCAGGCCACCACGAGTATGCTGCTGCTGGCTGGATCCAGAGTCAGATCATCGCAGAACTGCTGGATCCCATCAATACCTATCTTATTTTCATCCTGAGGGTCTGCAAAAAATCTGAGTAAGTAAGAGAAGCCAACATCCCACTGATCAGATTTCAACGTTGAGTTTGGTGGAAAAAAAGTGTCAAACCTTTGTATCTGTTGTAGAGCTGTTCCAGCTTTTTGCGGTCCACTGAGGTTTTCATGGAATCTTTGTAGTACGGGTCTGGGTTCTGGAAGCAGTTGTCTGTGGCGACTTCTAGTTTCCAGTCATTCTGCGTCAGGCGGTACACAGCTGCCTACTCCCCCGCCTGCATGAAGGACATAAACTGCCGAACCCTGCTTCTTTTGCGATGACCTCAGCTTGAGCTGTCAAGACTGTAAACACACAGGTAAATACAGTATTTCTGATGAATCTGATGGAAATATCTGCATACACAGGAGAAAATAAATACAATTTCATAAAGTAACTGATCAGGATGATGAGTTTTTGGAAACCTAAAAAAATTATGGCCCCAAAGATTGTTGCAAAATAAGATGGAGAGTGTCGATGAAACAAACAAGCGATTTGTCACTTTGTATTACTTCCATTGGTAACTAACTACCAACCAACTACCTCGTTATGGGAATTTAATTTCTAGAGTTGCAGCTCTGACCTACCTTTCTACAGCTGAATGAATACAAGACTGAGATCCTCATCTGTGCCCCAGACACCCAAAGTCAGAGACTCTTGGTCAGCTTGTTTCCCATAACAAACCTTCTGTCAGGAATCTTGGCGTGACCTTTGACCCAGCTCTCACCCTGGATTCTCATGTCAGTTCTCTTGTTCGCTCTTCCTTCTTCCATCTCAGGAACATTGCTAAGTTGAGTCCCATTCTGTCCCGATCTGAACTTGAGACAGTTCTCCACACCTTCATCTCCTCACACTTAGACTACTGTAACTCTCTTTTCACGTGTCTGAGCAGAACCTCCCTGAACCGTCTACAGGTGGATCAGAATACCTGTGCTCGGCTTCTGACCAAGTCCTCCAAACACACCCACATCACCCCGCTTCTCCTCCAGCTTCATTGGCTGCCAGTCAACTTCAGGGTTCATTTCAAGATCCTGGTTCTGGTCTATAGGGCCTTACATGGACAAGCACCATCTTACATTGGTGATCTTCTTAGTCCCTACACCCCCAGCAGGTCCCTGAGGTCCAGTGATCAAAGCCTACTGGTTGTGCAGCACCAGGCTAAAGACCAAAGTTAACAGATCATTTGCTGCTGTGGCCCCCAGACTCTGGAACTCTCTCCCCCTGAGCCTGAGATCAGTGGACTCAGTGGTCTCCTTTAAAAAGCAGCTGAAGACTCACTTGTTCTGGCTGGCTTTTGTATGACCTTCTTCACCACTCTCTCTTTATTCTGCTCTCCCCACATATTCCACCTTCCTCAGGATTCACTGATTTCCCTCTTTCCTATTCACTCTCTCTTAACATTTTTCTTTTAAATCCCAATTGCCTATTTTTGATAATTTTAAATATATTTTTAAACATTTTCTAAATGCTTTTTTATATAAAAAATTTTTTTGTTTTTGTTTTTGTGAAGCGCCTCGTGATTTTTATCTTGAGAGGCGCTATAGAAATGATATTTTCTTCTTTCTTCTTCTATCAGATGATCAAACGGCAAATTCCTAAACACAGACCAGCCAGTGTTCGGGAACTCGGTTTTCCTGTTTGATCCTGACCTGGACCAGCGGCACAGACGAGTTCCCCAAAAAAGGGAATGGTACGTAGATCAAGTGCAGGTGTCCGATGGTCCGATCCCAAAATACCAACAAATGACCTTCCCTAATATTCCGACACACACATCACACACTTAACTGGGCAGAGGACACATTGATAATGGTGCGTCGTCACCGTGGGTCACTGTCATTTCTGGTTCAGGCACTTAAATTCTCAGTTTCTCTCCTTTAAAACGCCTCTAACATTGTTTCACCCGCAGTTTCAGCAAAACTTGATATCCACGTATCCATTATGCGCATGCGTGACAAGCAAAGCAACAACAGAACCCTCTAGGCTCATGGGAAATGTAGTTCGACCATAAGCTTTAGCTCGAAGAACTTCAATACACTTTTATGCTGAGTATTTTCTTTTTTATCGGTTCAATTGCCCCTCACAGAAATATCAACCACTTTAGTATCGCCGAGTATCCATAACACAACAGAACAAAACCAGCTACTTGTATCGGTTTGAAATTGTGTTTATTCCTGAAAGAAATGTGAAACTAAAGATAAAGTGGACTAGTGACTAAATGTTAAATACAACGGCTGTTTCAAACATCGACATATTTTACATATTTTATAGTCTTCTTACATGTGGAAAACACTTGACACGGTCAAGCTAACTAGCAAAACATCTATAAAAAACTACAACTCCCAGAGCTAACGATATGTTTCGGAAGTTATCTGAGGCTGGATCAGAACAAATATTGGATTATATTCAGAAAACAGTGCAGTGGTTTTTCAGTTTAAACTACGTTTCAGACAGATACATTTAGAATAATTATTTCCAGAAAACTCGTTGTTGTCCACCAAGCTAGCGTCAGTGGACCGGTGTCAGCGGCGGTGTTATGTCACCGGAGTGTGGGACTGAGCTCCCAGGGAAGGAGCCTTGAATTTCCAAGAATCTGAACGATTCATTCAGAAACGATAGTTTTAAACTTTACACACAACAGAGGCAGCTTCGGTGGTTGTTCCGTGGAGAGTACCCGCACTTACCTGACTGCGTGCTGAGGCGCTGTCACCGAGGCTGGAGGTCAGAGTCAACATGAAGCGGGCGGCGGCGGACCGGTGAAACCGGGGAACGCCTGTGCCGACGCTGGCTCCAGCTATGTGGCAGGGGAGGGGTGTCATACAACTACATGATTGTTCCCCTCTGCTTCCTCCTCAGCCGTGGCCTTGAGAGCCAAAGGAGCGTTTCCACTTGCAGCTTCGCAGAAGAAACTGTGTTTGGGACACAGAAGGAATGTGTTTACCGACATTTCCTGGTATGTTCTTTGTGTTTGTGTTTGCGATCAGCTCGTCTAATGCCTTTTCTCCCAGCTTACTTGACACTTTCAGTTTTGGCAAAAACAGCAGATTTGTATTTACATGCACACCATGACATAATCTTTAGATTTAAATTTGCTGAGTTCAGATTATCTACATTTTTCATTGTCATGTAACTTTGGGTTTTCCATTAAATGTGGAATATTTTTGTACTGCTTATACAAGTATTAAAGGTTTAATTTACTTATGTAGTAGTATTTTAGCTTTTAACATTAAAGCTTAAACTGTGTTTTGTTCTGTTTAAGAATACTTAGAACTGCAGAAAATGATAAAGAAATGTGTGTTTGCTTTATTGTTTTCTCAGCAGTCAGGATCAGAACTGCTGATATCTACCAGCAGTCATGAAGTGGCAGTGGTCCAGTCAAACCATTGCTTGACTCATGGTGTCAAAGGTGAGCCTCCATCCATCTCCGAGTTTAAAGCATTCACACAATATACATCAAATCTGTGATGAAGTCAAATTGGAACACAATTATGTGTTGGCAGGAAATAAGGCACTGGATTTCACTGTTATGATTTCTAACGTGTCTGAGAGCTGTTGGCAAACGATAGTAACCCCCGTCTTTGTTAAAATGACAAGAATAAAGATAAATGGTCCAAACATGTCATCTTTTTAAACTGTTTTCATGGTGTTTTACTATAGAACTACATCAAGGAAGACATGTTTACTTACAGAGGAATGTGAAAACGTAGGCAACATTGTTAATCTTCATAATTTTCCTGTATAAATCATTGTTTTTTACAATAAAAAACCCTGTTAAATATATTATTTAGGAGACACACACAGTGATTTTTGTGAAGTTAAAGTGTGCAATAATTGTTTAAACAAAATTAGTCAGATGCATAAAACACTGTTGTCATTTTATTGATTCCAAAACCTTTAAAACCCTATCCATCCATTTTCTGAACCCGCTTGTCCACGTAGGGTCGCGGGGGTGGTGGTGGTGGTGGTGGTGGTGGGGGGGGGGGGTGGCTGGGGCTGGTGCCTATCTCTAGCGGTCAATGGGCAATCAGGCGAGCCAGTCCATCGCAGGGCAACACAGAGACACACAGGACAAACAATTACACACACACACACACACACACACACACACACACACACACACACACACACACACACACACACACACACACACACACACACACCTAAGGACAATTTAGACAGACCAATTAACCTAACAGTCATGTTTTTGGACTGTGGGAGGAAGCCGGAGTACCCGGAGAAAACCCACACATGCACAGGGAGAACATGCAAACTCCATGCAGAAAGATCCCAGGCTGGGAATCAAACCCAGGACCTTCTTGCTGCAAGGCAACAGCTCTAACCACTGCACAGCAACATTTAAAACTAATTACTGGAACTCAAAATTGGTTTGGTAAGCTCAGTGACCTTTCACCTCCATACGAAGATGAATCCAGTTATGAGAACGATTATTTAAGGGGGCCAATTTTAAGTTTCCTTCCGCTTTGACTTTTCACTGAAGAGTAGCAACATGGGGGTCTGAAAACAACTCTCACATGAGCTGAAAACAAAGATTGTTACTGGAAGGATACAGAAGGCTGTCTGAGAGATTTCAGCTGTCTGCTTCCACAGTTAGGAACATATGAGGAAATGGAAGACCGCAGGCACAGTTCAAATTAAGGCTCCAAGTGGCAGACCAAGAAAAATCTGGGATAAACAGAAGTGAAGATTGGTAAGAACAGTCAGAGTCAACCCACAGACCAGCAGCAAAGACCTACAACATCATCTTGCTGTAGATGGAGTCACTGCATGGTTCAACTATTCAACGCACTTTACACAAGGAGATGCTGCACGTGAGAGTGATGCAGAGGGAACCTTTTCTCCACCCACAGCACAAACAGAGCAGCGGAGGTCTGCTAAGGCACATTTGGACAAACCAGCTTCATTTTGGAATAAGGTGCTGTGGACTGATGAAACTAAAACTGAGTTACTTGGGTGTAACAAGGGGCGTTATGCATGGAGGAAAAAGAACACAGCATTCCAAGAAAAACACCTGCTACCTTCAGTAAAACATGGTGGTGGTTCCATCATGCTGTGGGACTGTGTGGCCAGTGCAGGGACTGGGAATCTTGTTAAAGTTGTGGGACACATGGATTCTACTCAGTATCAGCAGATTCTGGAGACCAATGTCCAGGAATCAGTAAAAAAGCTGGAGCTGCACCGGGGCTGGATCTTTCAACAAGACAACGACCCCAAGCACTGCTCAAGATCTACCAAGGCATTCACGCAGAGGAACAAGTAGAACGTTCTGGAATGGCCATCTCAGTCCACAGACCTGAAAATTTTAGAAAATCTGTGGTGTGGGTTAAACAGATCTGTCCACGCTCAGAAGCCATCGGATCTGAATGAACTAGAGATGTTTTGTACAGAATGGTCCAAAATACCTTCAACCAGAATCCAGACTCATTAGAAGCTATAGGAAGAGTTTAGAGGCTGTTATCGTTGCAAAAGGAGGATCTACTAAATATTGAGTTAATTTATTGTTTGTGGAGCCCAAAATGTAGGCACCTGCCTAATTTGTTGAAACAACTATTGCACACTTTCTATCAATCCTATAAACTGAATTCCACTTCTCAAATATCACTGTGTGTGTCTCCTATATGAAATATTTAACAGATTTGTTTATCATAACAACCAATAATTTACACAGACAAACCACGAAGCTTAACGAACTTTAGGCTGCTCAAACTTTTGCACCCCCACTGTAAAAGATGTGTTAACATCGGCTGCATTCCATTTCTGCAGAACTTTCTCTGAATGGACCGTAGCCCTCCTTAATGCATTTGATCTTAATACCTGTAAAGTAGAGTTTGAATTTCTACTTCGTTAACCTTTTTTTTTTTTTTTATATTCATCAAGTTCTCATATTCCTCGTCCAACCCCTCGTCCTGTTGAAGACCAAAGCAGAGGCTTTTGATGCAGGTTGTATGCTGGCTGGTGTGGCTTGGCCTTGCAGGGGCACTCGCTGCTCTGCAGAAGGACCAGGTGGCCCGGCATGCTGTCAAACTCCACCGCTTTAAAGCAGCCACACACAGTCGCAGCTGGGTGGCCAACAACTGCAAGCTGCTGGTCGGCCTCCTGCATCGGAAGAGCGTGGTTGTCAAGAAGCTGGGAGCTGCTGTCACTGCTGTTGAACAGGATGTAAACCTTTCTGAGGCAGAGAAACAATTCCAGGTAACCGAGAAACACCAGATAGTCCAGCAGACCGAGGCATGCCCTATGAGGACTTCTAACTTTTACTGCACAAAGATCTTGCACAGAAGCGTCGATGAATGAATGAAAATTTGAGACAGTTTCCAATTTAATGAGTTTAGTTGTTTTTATTCACATTCAGGTTCACACTCTGGAGGTTTTTCAGAAGGAGCTGAATGAGAGTGAACACCTGGTGTTGCAGGCTGTGCAAAGCCTGCAGAGGGCGCTGCAGGGAGACTACAGGGATGTGGTCAACATCAAGGAGAGCAGCAGGCAGAGGCTGGAAGCCCTCAGGGAGGCAGCTATAAAGGTAAACAGAACAAAATGTTGCGGTGAAATTGTTTTTCATGCAAAGTAAGTTAAATCGCTGGTAAACACACAAGAGGACGTTATTTTAAAGCTGCACTCTAAATCCTTTGGTGTTGGCTGAAACCTTTCAGGAAGAGCAGGAGTATGTGGAGCTGGTGGCTGCTGAGAAACATCAACAGGAAGCTCTTAAAATCGCGCTGGCTCAGAACAAGAGTCTGTCCATGCTGGACGAAATTCTGGAGGACGTCAGGAAGGCAGCAGACCGACTGGAGGAGGAGATAGAGGAGCACGCCTTTGACAATAACAAACAGGTCAGCGAGGGAGCACTTTTAATAACAAACACTCTGCTGGATTAAAGTGGTTCAGTGACACATCAAAGCATGTCTCCTGCACTCACAGATGAAAGGAGTGAACGTAGAAGCCGTGCTGCGGGTGGAAGATGATGAGGAGAAAGGAGGGAAGATGAAGAACAAGTCCCGCAAGGTTGAGGTGGAGGATGATTTGGGCTTGAGCATGCTCATTGACTCACAGAACAACCAGTACGTTCTGACTAAACCGCGAGACTCCACCATGCCAAGAGCTGACCATCACTTCATCAAGGTTAGGTCCTCCTATGCTCTTTTAGTTTCTATCACCCAGAGAGCAGAAGAAGCAGAACCATTGCAGTGATGTGTTGTTTTGTAGTTCATAACCGTGCTCAGACCTGGGTACTCACGTTTTTTTTTTTTTTTTTATGTGGCGGTACCTGAAGGACCTGGTGTCAGTGGTCATGCTGTCCTTGCCTTGTGGGTGGATCTGCACTCTGGTGGGCCTTCCTCCCATGTTTGGATATATCATCTGTGGGGTCCTGCTGGGCCCCTCTGGTCTCAACAGTATAAAGGTGTGTGTGCGTGCGTGCGTGCGTGCATGTGTGTGTGTGCGTGCGTGCGTTGTAACGCGTGATTTTAGTGTCTGTGCATCAGAGCAGGCTTTAAGTGTGGATGCTTGGTTTTTATGTTCTTACAGTCGATAGTTCAGGTGGAGACTCTGGGGGAGCTGGGTGTGTTCTTCACACTCTTCGTGGTGGGACTGGAGTTCTCACCTGAACGCCTTCGAAAGGTAAACGACAGATTTAAAGTATAGCTTGTCTTAGCAGATGTGAAAAACAAAGCCTATTAACTCAAGGTGGTGGACTGATAAATGTTCACTCCAGCTTAAATAATCTCAGTTAAAGTCTGGTAAACAGATGCAACTGCTCTGATTTTTCTAATCTACGATAAAACTTTATGATGACTTAAAACGTCACGTTTCTCATTAGATAACTCAAAATTCATAAGCTTTTGAGATCAAATCGTGTGTGTGTGTGTTTGTGTGTGTCTCACACAGGTGTGGAAAATCTCAGTCCAGGGGTCGTGTTACCTGAGTCTGCTGATGGTCGGGGCCGGTTTGCTGTGGGGGCGGGTTCTCCATATTCGACACACCCAGACAGTCTTCATCTCCACCTGCTTGTCTCTGTCCAGCACGCCACTAGTTTCCCGCTTCTTAGCAGGAGGAAGCAGGCTGGATAGGGAAGGTAACCAGAAACGACTGTTTTGTCACATTTTCAACATACTTATTTTAGAAATTGCTGGAAATAAAACAAAGTTATTGTACACCACGAGAACAGGGTATATATTTAAAGTGTGTATGTGTGTCAGGTGACCTGGACTACAGCAGCGTTCTCCTGGGGATGTTGGTGATGCAGGACGTCCAGCTCGGCCTCTTCATTGCCGTCATGCCGACACTCATCCAGGCTCAGAGTGGAGACCTAGACAGGTCAGCTGGTGTTTCTTTTTCCCCTCAAAATGAACACGGACGTGGATGTGAGTGTTTTTTAACCCTCCTCTGATACCCAGCTTCCTGTTGGGAAGTCTCCGAGTGCTGAAACTCCTGGCCCAGGTCCTGGTGTCCCTGGCTGTGGTACTGCTGCTGTGTTTGGTGCTCAGGTCCTTCCTAATCGGTCCTTTTTACAAGAAGCTTCACACCGAGAGTAAAGGGAACAAGGAGATCCTTGTGCTAGGGATGGCAGCATTTGTCTTTTTCATGCTAACGGTATTATCTTTACTTACAGCCTTTTAAGGATTTGTTTCACTATTTTTTTTAACTTGATGGGTTCTTTTTGTAGATCACAGAGTTGCTGGATGTTTCTATGGAGCTGGGCTGTTTCGTGGCTGGAGCTTTGCTGTCTTCGCAGGGTCACATGGTCACAACGGAGGTCATGGGGGTCATTGAGCCAATCAGAGATTTCCTTGCCATCATCTTCTTTGCTTCTATTGGTCTGACAGAGCATGATGTTGTTAATGATGTTTAACTTTTGTACCATTATCAGGGAGACTGTACTGAGTTGCCTTCTCTTCCTGTGTAATGCTGCAGGTCTCCACGTCTTCCCTACATTTGTGCTCTATGAACTTACCATCCTGGTTGTGCTGACGCTCACACTTGTCATTATGAAGGTTCAGCCTTTTGCTTTTCGTTTCACTTTTTATTATTTTTTGTTTCTGTCTCATTTTCCAGTGATTTCTCCTGTCATTCCAGTTTCTCATGGCTGTCCTGGTGCTGTCTACCATCTTGCCTCCAAGCTCCAGACAGATATGTTGGGTCGTCTCGGCTGGTCTGGCTCAGGTCAGCGAGTTCTCCTTTGTCCTGAGCAGCCGAGCGCGTCGAGCCGGCATCATCTCCAGAGAGGTCAGAGATGAGTTCATTAAATGTGTTAACTCTCCTGGAATCTGTGTTATCAGTTTTTATTTCTTAATTTTTCATCCTCTTCTGTGAACTTGCATTGCTTGGTTCTTTTAAAACACAGACAAAAAGGTTGTTCTTTACCTTGTTTTGCTAACGTTTCGGCTAATTACTATAGCCATCCTCAGAGCTGGGCCGATGTTGGTGGCGTCACTTCCTTCTCCGTTTATCTGTGAACTAATTTTACTGATGCAAGTTTTTCTTTTCATCAGTCTTTATCTCATTTTAAATTGTTAACCTGTTAAATCCTTACAGGGTTCAACTTTTAAAAGCCACAAAATGACAAAGTCTGTTTAGCCAACCAGAAGGTAAATATAGGGAAACTTTCCAGTTTAGGCTTGCTTGTAGCACCCCCTAGTGTCCGTTTGAATTCAGTCATTAAAACAAAACAAACTCCCCTCCTTGCTGTGCACTCCTGTTTTTAAAGGTGGAATATGGAACTGGAACACCAAAGCGACATCTAGTGTTTGGAGGTTGTAGTTGCAACAACAGAACAAGGTTTCCAGCCGCCAGGATACCAGGCTCGCTGCCGATGCGTGAAACGTTTTATTTGGGTCCATCTGTTGTTGGCTTCACTTAAATTTACTTTGGTTTTAGATCTTTTATGGTTGCTCCTCTTCTGAGAAGGATAATAACACCTTCTGGGCTCAGAAGCAGCTGCTTGACTTGCTGAGTCCACCGTTTTCCACATTCCGTCCTTGCTGTGCCAAGCGGACTGTTTGGCAACCAAGCCCCCACAATGTGGCTCAAAAATTGAGGCTGGTGTCAGAAGTGAGCAAATCCTCATTGACTCCCATGTTAAAAATGCCAATTTCACAGCAGAAATAAACATGTTTACAGCCTGGTACCAAAACATGTTTTTGGTTTAAATGATCTAGTTTACACATTTTCTAAATGCGTTTTTATATTTTTAGTTTTTGTTTTTGTGAAGCGCTTCGTGATTTTTATCTTGAGAGGCGCTATAGAAATGATATTTTCTTCTTCTTCTTCTTCAGAAGCTCTGGTGTTGTGCACAGTTAACTCCGGTTGTAGCTAGGTTGCTACCTCCGTTAGCTTAGCTCCCACCTCCAGGTTAGCTTTGGGTTAGCTTCAGGTTAGCTTGTAGCTAGTTCGACCGGGTGTCGTCAGTTGATCCCAGCCTTACAGCCCCACCCTCAGCTCCACCTCTCTTCCCTTTTGTGGAATTGTCTGGGCTTGACAGAACCTGTGACACGGTCAAAATGGCGGTGGTGGCCACCTCCCATTTACCTTCAAAAACGTGTTATTGGAGCCTATGGAAATGAATTGTCCAGTATATATGTCGATGTTGGCAACCCAGAATGGTGCCCTCTATTGGCTGGTAGATGTAAACATAAACCCAGTGTTGTGCCTGTCAAAATAAATATTTCATTTTTTTTTATTTTAGCTTTTAAATTAAATACTGTACCACCATTCTGCACACATCTAAATGCCCCTGGAGGTTTTATTAAAAAATACATAGCTTTTACAAAATTGTTACATATTCAACCTTTAACTCTTTAATCTAACTGTTGGAATGTCTTCTCTGCCTTTATTAGTGTCTACAGGCGCTGTTTGTCACTAAATCAAACAAACCCACTGTGTTCATGAACAAACATGCAGGAAACAGGCTGGAAGCAGGTTGCAGTGCTGGAATGTCAGCTCCACTTTACTTGTCACTTTAAGCCCAACAGGGACCGGACCGGCAACTCTGAAGTTGCAAATGTGTTATTCTGGCCACAGGGCTGTGGGGGCCTGAGTGACAGTTCATTAACCCTGTAAAGGGTCATTTTAGCACATACTGGTTCAAGAAAAAAATATAAAAAGTTGCATCGTATGCTTTTAAAATGAAACAGTTTGTTTTAGAAGTAGACTCATTTTGCCCTGGAACTCTTAGGTCCTACTGCCTGACAGGTTTCCAACTTTATAGTTCAAACAGACTCTGTACGGCACTCTTTCATAGGATGATGTCATCACCACCCTGCTGACTCTTGATAGACAACCAAACGTCACCAGGAGACGCTTCCAGTGTCGTTACAGATCTTTTTTGATGAACTTACAGGAAACAACTTGCTGCATTTTTTTCTGTAGATGCTACCACTTTAGTCTTCATTTCCCTTCTGCTCAGGTATACCTGCTGGTCCTCAGTGTCACCACTCTCAGTTTGCTGCTGGCTCCTCTGCTGTGGAGAGTCACAACTCACAGATGTGTTCCTCGAACAGATCGGAAAACAGTCACATGACCACATCGACTCCACGACCAAAACATTCCCTCGTGAAAGCTGCCAGTAAAATTTCCTGGTCTTTTATGATGGACCTAAATGTCCTTTATAATCCTGATGGACATCTCATCACAGGAGAGAAAAACAGGTCTGTTGAAGCTTCCTTGTAGTTTGTTTTCCTCGCAGTTGTAAAATCTACTCATGTTACCTAAACAGTAGGCTTAAAATGCTCTACATCCTGTTTGATACTGCAGATATTTTTCATAATTCTGCTGCTAAATATAAAGATCCAGAATCTGATGAAGAGAGACAAAACTTGATGAATCTTTGGAAATGAAAAGGACCAAACCTGATGAGAAATATGGATGAGAAAACACTTATTTTTTTCTTGACTAGGGATTTCTGTTGTTGAAAATCACAATAATATTGCCAATAATTTAATATTTATTGTGTATCTTTTCAGATCAAATACTGTATAGGCAGCACATTCCTTTTAATAATCAGCGGTACTCATAATTTATAATGACTGTGCACTACGTGTAATAATACTCAGGTTTTTCTGGAAAACTGTTGTATGTCATTATCCTGCACTAAAACAGAATTAAGTCATTGAAAAACTACTGGAGATGGAGGAACGGCAGAATGTAGTGACTGGTGTGACATCTGGAGGAAGATCCTGCACATCTCTACTGAAACGTGTGTCTGCTCAGCTCCTTTGTGCACTTGAAAGAAAAAACACCGTGAAGCATCATGTCGCACTTTTTACTACACGATAATACATCATTGTCTTATAATGTATGATGTGCAATGCAAATGCGTGTAATGCAGAGAAACATGCTGTATATCCATATATTTTCTTATATTTGTCTTTCGTATGTTACTGGGGGCTTTTTTCTGTTTTATTAAGTGCCGTTTTTTACTTGTAAATCCCTTATTTTGAAAAGGTTTAACTCCGCTCAGTTGTTTTGGTGGATTAAAAAAGAAAATGCAGAGAACTGTTTATGTGGGCCTTATTTACAAATACTAATACTACACAAGTATTTTTAGATCTAAAATTTTTTTTGTCTTGAGAAAACGCACACATGTGCATGCACGCACACACCAGATGAATAATTTGTAGAGCTAGTTTAAAGGATATAAAGGAGATTCACCATATTGGGTAATATTCACAAATGGAATAAAATGGTAAACAGCTTTTATTTGTATAGTGCCCTCTTAGGGTTCTACAACCCCCAAGGCGCTTCACAACACAACCAGTCATCCACCCTTTCACATGCTGGTGATGATGAGCTACAGGTGCTGGCCAGTAAATTAGAATATCATCAAAAGGTTGAAAATATTTCAGTAATTCCATTCAAAACGTGAAACTTGTACATTATATTCATGCAATGCACACAGACCAATGTATTTCCAATGTTCATTACATTTAAATTTGATATTCATAAGTGACAACTAATGAAAACTCCAAATTTGGTATCTCAAAAAATTAGAATATTCTGAAAAGGCTGAATATAGAAGACACCTGCTGCCACTCTAATCAGCTGATTTACTCAAAACACCTGCAAAGGCCTTTAAAAGGTCCCTCAGTCTTGTTTTGAAGGCACCACAATCATGGGGAAGACTTCTGACTTAACAGCTGTCCAAAAGACAATCATTGACACCTTGCACAAGGAGGGCAAGACACAAAAGGTGATTGCTAAAGAAGCTGGCTGTTCGCAGAGCTCTGTGTCCAAGCACATTAACAGACAGGCGAAGGGACGGAAAAAATGTGGTAGAAAAAAGTGTACAAGCTCTAGGGATAACCGCACCCTGCAGAGAATTGTGACGACAAACCCATTCAAAAATGTGGGGGAGATCCACAAAGAGTGGACTGCAGCTGGAGTCAGCGCTTCAAGAACCACCACGAGGAGACTCATGAAAGACATGGGATTCAGGTGTCGCATTCCGTGTGTCAAGCCACTCTTGAACATGAAACAGCGCAAGAAGCGTCTCGCCTGGGCCAAGGACAAAAAGGACTGGACTGATGCTGAGTGGTCCAAAGTTATGTTTTCTGATGAAAGCAAGTTCTGCATTTCCTTTGGAAATCAAGGACCCAGAGTCTGGAGGAAGAGCGGAGAAGCACAGAATCCACGTTGCATGAGGTCCAGTGTAAAGTTTCCACCGTCAGTGATGGTGTGGGGTGCCATGTCATCTGCCGGTGTTGGCCCACTCTGTTTCCTGAGGTCCAGGGTCAATGCAGCTGTCTACCAGGAAGTTTTAGAGCACTTCATGCTTCCTGCTGCTGACCAACTTTATGGGGATGCAGACTTCACCTTTCAACAGGACTTGGCACCTGCACACAGTGCCAAAACCACCAGCACCTGGTTCAAGGACCATGGTATCCCTGTCCTTGATTGGCCAGCAAACTCGCCTGACCTTAACCCCATAGAAAATCTATGGGGTATTGTGAAGCGGAGGATGCAATACGCTAGACCCAACAATGCAGAGGAGCTGAAGACGACTATCAGAGCAACCTGGGCTCTCATAACACCTGAGCAGTGCCACAGACTGATCGAGTCCATGCCACGACGCATTACTGCAGTTATTGAGGCAAAAGGAGCCCCGACTAAGTATTGAGTGCTATACATGCACATTCTTTTCATGTTCATTCTTTTCAGTTGGCCAACATTAGAGAAACAAACATTTTTTCATTGGCCTTTAGAATATTCTAATTTTCTGAGATACCAGATTTGATGTTTTCATTGGTTGTCACCTATAAATATCAAAATTAAACGTAATAAACATCGGAAATACATTGGTCTGTGTGCATTGCATGAATATAATGTACAAGTTTCACGTTTTGAATGGAATTACTGAAATATTTTCAACCTTTTGATGATATTCTAATTTACTGGCCAGCACCTGTATTATGTAGCCACAGCTACCCGGGGGCGCACTGATGGAGACAAGGCTGCTGAGCACTCCTGCCACCAGTCGCTCCGACCACCACCAGCAGGCGAGGCAGGTTAAGTGTCTGGCCCAAGGACACAACGACAGCATTCTCTGGTGGGAGCCGGGATCAAACTGTCCAATTACTGGATAGCCCACTCCACCTCCTGAGTTATTGCTGTCCCATTGAATATAAAATAAAGAATAAAAGGCTGCATAGTGAATAAGATACATACATATAAAAATACTTAGAACTGACCACATTACCAAAGAAATGTGTAAAAGACTACCAGAATATTTAGGGGGAGTGAGAACATGAATGAAAAACTGCAAATGAGATATAACTGAGTGCAAATTAAATTAAATGAGAAACGGCAAACCACAAAAAGCAATTGAGTGTTGTTGGGAGCAGTGGTGGTTATAAATAGCTGCTGGGAGGAAAGCCTTATGATGGCGTTCCTTCTTGCAGCAGTCTTCCACCGAAGAAGCTCTCCAGTCAATCATGGAGCGGGAGACATTGTCTAAACAGTGATGTTATTTTTGCTAGAGTGCTTCTGTCTCCCACCTCCTGCACAAGATCAAGGGGACATCCTAGGACAGAGCTGGCCTTTCTCACGAGCTTATCTAATCCCTTCCTCTCAATTGCTGCCCCAACAGACCACACCATAAAAGCAGAGTCAAAGAAGGTCCTGAGGAGTGCCGCCTGCACTCCGAAGGACCTGAGTTTCCCCATCAGGTAGAGTCTGCTCTGACCCTTCCTGAAAAGAGCATCAGTGTAGTGGTTCCAGTCCAGTTGTTCAGGTGAACATCCAGGTGCTTAGAAGAGTCCCCTACCTCAAAAGACTGCTCTCTAGATGTTCACCGGTACCAAATCAGAGGGCTGCTTGATTTCCCCTGCTGCTGTATTTCATATTTAGATCATTATTTATCATTATCAATAATATCTTTAAACTGTTATCATTAAAATAAATGCAAATGTTAAAAATGTTCTAGAAAATAGATTTGGGAAACAAAACATTGAGTAATTTAAAATGTCTAGCTTATGATTTTGTTTTAGTTTTTAAAAAGTCATATTTGTTTTTGCCTCTTTTGCTCTGTTTGTATTCCTCAAAGCGGGATAATTACTTGGCTCTTATTTATGATTTCATAAATATCAATATTACCATCCATCAGCCCAGTATAATAGTCTGTTTCAAAGAAACGCAGAGCCTTGAAATCAGCATGAAGTTGTGTAAGCCATGTTTAATGACTGCAACAGTCAGCTGTGGATGAGACGGTCCTACACGTGTGGTGCTGCGTGTGTGTGTGTGTGTAAGCATGCAAGCAGACCTGGTTAAGCTGATAACCCACAAACCTTCCAGTCAGCACATCTCTGGGAAACCTTCTCGCCACCATCATCCTATTAGTGGATGTAGATGGAAGAGTTTGTAGCTGAAGAAAACATTTTAGATGAAGCTACTTCAAGTTTTCTTTTTAATACTTCTAATTTAGCTTATTCTGTTTGTCCAACTAATTGTGTAAAATTGAAGTCACATTTTACTCATGGTTGTAAATGTGTCATGCTCTAACTTTGTCCATTTACGTACTTAATCTACTTGACTGAGTTGTCACAATTCATGAAAACAGGTCTTGTTTTCACATTTTATTCATAATATTTAAACTTTATCTCAAGTCTAAACGTAAAAGATCTCAGTTCAGTTCGGCATGTTTTGGGATGTGATGGAACAAGGAATCCACATCACAGATGTGGAACCAACAAATCTGCCATTGTGTGAAGCTTTAGTGCCAATTTGGATTATATTCTCTGAGGAAGGGGTGAAAAAGTTGAATGTGTTCAATGAAACAGGAAGTTCTGAGGGCCAACCTGGTACAGCTTTACCTAATAAATGTCAGTGGAAGTGCATCTGATCTCACTAAAGAAAAATGTTTTAAATCATTGTAAACAATTTAATACTTCTATTTTTTAAAAAAACTCTGTAAATTAAAAAGCACTGGTGCAAGCATAGGGCCCAGTGGAACTCCACAACTAATTGAAATGTGAAGATGATTTATTTATGAAGACAAATAAGGATCTCAGATAATTATGACTGAAAACAACCTAGTTGTTATTAATCACATTTACATTTTTTTGTTCAAAACAAAAAAACGATTTTTCATTTTTTCACCAAAGATTTTTTTTAAGTTTAAACTAAAAGATTATGAGATAAACAAATCTCTCAATTTAACTACATTCCTGTTGTTACAGGCTCATCACTCGGGTACCATTTCTGCTTCCTTCCGGTTCCTTTTGCTTTTCTATTTTTTCTCTTGTTTGTTCCATCTTTTGTTTCATTGCCTGTGCCCTACTCCTCTCTTACAGTGTACACACTCGTTAGCCCAGGATAAAGCTTTAGTGAGATACAGCGTGGATAAATCTCTTTGGGGAAAGTGATGAGTCAGGTAGATCTGCATGTGTGCCTACATGTGTCTGAGGAGAAGAAAAGGTTTAGCGATTGTCTCACTGAGGGAAGACGCTGAGTCCTCTGTGGCTATCTGTGGCGAGTAGAGGACAGATGTGTGATCGATTTTGCTTCTGAATCACAAGTAATCCACATCTGGAGAACCAGACATTTTACACATTTACACTACTTTTCAACTATTCTTTCCACTGTGTCAGCATGGATATTGGTGGCCTGACAACAGTGGTGGCCAACTCTGCCTACATCTCTGCCCGTGGGAGCTTCGATGGCACTGCTAACCCTGCTGCCAACCGGGACAAAAAGTACCGTTCTCGTCTGAAGCTGCCTCACATCACAGTTTGTGAAGGTCTGCGGGAAACGTTGGACCTCGACTTTCACACCGTCTGTGTAGATCAACCCATCGGCAAACGTCTTTTCCAGGAGTTCTTAGACTCCAACAATGAGTATAAGGGTCCCTGCCGTCTGTGGAAGGACATTGAGGAATACAACATGGCTGAGGATGAAGATCGAGCCAATAAAGCCGCCAAGATCTTATCTCGGTACATGGAGCCTAATGCCAAGTATTATTGCCCCTTTCTGCCAGAAAATGGCATCACAAAGGTGAAAGAGAAATACAAAGAGGCTGGGGATGATCTTTTCAATGAGACCATGGACAGTGTGATGGACTTTCTCAAGGAAGTGCCCTTCACCTTCTTCCTGGAGAGTATGTATCTAAAGAGGTTTCTGCAGTGGAAGTGGCTGGAGATGCAACCTGTAGGGGAGGACTGGTTCTTGGATTTTCGCGTGTTAGGTAAAGGGGGGTTTGGGGAAGTGTCTGCCTGTCAGATGAGAGCCACGGGAAAACTGTACGCCTGCAAGAAACTCAACAAGAAGAGACTGAAGAAGCGAAAAGGTTATGAGGTAAGAGCATTGATTCAAGCAGATAAAATATCAGTTCAGATGTAGCTCAAGCGGGACAAGACACAGGAACTCAACATGCTGCAGTTTGTACAGTGATCATGACCATTAATTAATATCCATGTTCATTTGTTAGTAAATATTTTTCAAACAATAGAATGTAGGAGCCTTGCTGACAATAATGGATCTCTTTGGCTTATATGATTAGTACCTTTAAATCTCCAGCATGATGATAGTCCTAAACTCACAGAACTTTTTTTGTTGAAAATTAAAGTTGACATTTTTCCATGGATTATGAATTTGCTATGGTGTCCAGTCTGTTTTAATCTAAGCAGCTTGTTTGTGGTGTAAGAACTAAAAAACACTAGGCCTGAGCACCACAACACACAACTGTAGCACATTATCAACAAAGAAGTCCATATGATGCTTATGGTAATCGGAGTGAAGGTGGCTGAGGGTCTGCTCCTTTGCTTTTATGTCTGTAGGGGGCGATGGTGGAGAAAAGGATCCTGGCTCGAGTCCACAGCAGGTTCATAGTTTCTTTGGCTTATGCCTTCCAAAGCAAAACAGAACTATGTCTGGTCATGACCATCATGAACGGAGGAGACCTCAGGTTAGATCTGACGGCATCTACATGTTGTCTTAACAATCTTTGTGTAACATCAGTTCCTAAATATCTTCATGCATCTTTACCACACTTTCCAAGGTATCACATCTATAATGTGGATGAGAACAACCCAGGCTTTGATGAGTCGCGAGCTTCTTACTACGCTGCACAGATCATCCAAGGGCTGGAGCACCTCCACCTGAAGAGGATCATCTACAGAGATCTCAAACCAGAGAATGTGCTGCTGGACAATGAAGGTCAGACACTCATGTACAAAACGTAACCATCTGATTTAATTCAGTTAGTAAAAATGACACGTTATCTTGATGGGTGCCTTTAGGCAATGTATCCCTGGAAATAGGGACTTTAAGGCCACTCCTTTGTGACTGCACATTTGTTCAAAAGCTTAACTAATTGGAGAAATCTGCATATTTATTTCTTTTATTATGTCCTTTTTAACAATTTGCATCCTGCATTTCTCATATTGTTAGAAATGAAACATTAAATAAGTGATTAATCTGAGTTGCCCCCACGACCCAACCACCAATAAGTGGATGGATCCGAGATGTCAGCTGATGTTGACCAAGTATTTACCAAATTTATTAATCTGATTATGGTCCACATTTGATTTCCTTCAGCTGAGAGCAAAGATTTCATCTGAATGTCACATCAATCTGACAACCAGCACAAAGAACCACTAACAGCACAAAACATGTTTTACTGTTTACACAGCTGACCTGACATTAACTTGTATTTGGTTAACTCAGATAAAAACTTACTGTCCCCAGACGTTCTGCTTGGTATTTCAGAGTTGTGCCTCTGATCATGTGATCTCTTGATTATTATATACCTCAAAGCATTTAAGCTATTACTCCCACATTAGTTCGCGTTGCAGATTGCATCAGTGGCATGCACCAGCATGTGACCTAGTTCTGCTGTTTGATCGAACACAGGGAATGTACGGATCTCCGACCTCGGGCTGGCTGTGGAATTGGCTGATGATCAGTTCAAGATCAAAGGCTACGCTGGAACTCCAGGTAGACATGATAAATTATAACATTAGCATTAATAACTCCAAGTCCCTTTCTCAAGACAAAATTAATGTTTGACATTTACTGTCATGTTTTGTGTAGTGATGCATTTTAAATGCTACACTGTATTTTTCAGGCCTGAAAATGAACCAGAAATACACAATAAATAATAAATCTCGCTCGTCAAGTATTATCATAAATGCGTATATTTCCATGCATAATTTCCAAAATTAAAATTAAGAAAACAGATTTCAAATAGGAATTTTATTGTTTAACATTTAATACGTAGGTTCAGGAGTTTTGGTGATGTGCTCTTTTTAAATTTGTTGGTTTGTTGTTTATTCAGCCCACTATCCTTCAGTGTATGTAACTCAAACGTGCACATCGAAGAAAGTCACTCTCTCCCAAAGCTCCTGAGCTGTTGTGTTTGATTCATCATATTAGAAGAATAAAACAGATTCTGATGCTCCTCTGATCTGCCTCTTGCAGGTTTCATGGCTCCAGAGCTTCTTAAAGGAGAGGAGTATGATTACTCTGTGGATTATTTTGCTCTGGGGGTCACGCTCTATGAGTTTCTGGCTGCCAAAGGACCCTTCAGGACCCGTGGAGAGAAAGTATAGTTGCTCTTCTATCTACTAGATTTTTTAAAGGGGTACTATAAAGGATGTTTATCTGGTGATTGTGTTATTTTCTGTAATACAGCTTTTGCCAGTGAATGCTAATGAAGAATCACTCAAATAATCCTACAGAAGAGTTAGATTTTCTTTCGTTTTACTTTAAATTGAACATTTTTTAATCTGTCAGGTGGAGAACAAGGTGATGAAGAAGCGGATTCTGAATGATCCCGTGACTTATCCTGAGAAGTTCAGTGAGGAAGCTCGGTCCATCTGTGAGGGTCTGCTGTTCAAAGAGGTCGACAGGAGGCTTGGATTCAAGGATGGGTCGTGTGATGAGCTCAGGGCGCACCCGTTTTTCCGCGAGATCAACTGGAGGAAACTGAATGCAGGTCAGTCATTACATTTGTTTCATTTATTTTTTTACTTAAAAGTTTATTATTTTATCAGCATATTTTAGTTCTGACCACATATTTTCCCAGTCTCTGACTAAAAGCCTTCACTTCTTCACAAGACACAGATGTTGTCTGAGTCTATTTGTGAAACACTAAAAGCTTTTCTGCTGATTGGAGATCAGACCCCATTAGGTCAGATAATACAGAAACACAGACTGCTTTATTAGCCCCAATGGGCTCTTCATTTAGCTCAAAACATTTAATTAGAGTTAAATAAGAAGACAGAGAGCGTCAGATCCACAGTTTTACCCAACTGTCATGAAGCTGAATGGACTGTTTTCTAAATAAGTCACACCTGTATGTGTGTGTTTGTGTGTGTGTGTGTGTGTGTGTGTGTGTGTGTGTGTGTGTGTGTTTGTGTTGTGTCTCCTCAGGCATTTTGAATCCTCCCTTCGTCCCAGACTCAAAGACGGTGTATGCCAAGGACCTTGATAATGTTGGCGCCTTCTCTACTGTGAAAGGTGTGGCGTTGGAAGACGTTGACAAAAGTTTTTTTGACGAGTTTGCCTCGGGGAACATCTCCATCCCCTGGCAGGAAGAGATGATCGATACTGGGATCTACGGAGAGATGAACATCTGGGGCCCCAGCGGCACTCTGCCCAATGACCTGCGACGTGAATCCATCCTGGAGCAGCCGCCCAAGTCCTCCACCTGCACGGTGTCATGAGAGATGGCTGCTATGAAGGAATGATTATATATGGATTTGTTGTGCACTTTTCATGCAATATATATGGGGTGCCATTTGTAAAGTCAAACGGCCATAACTAAACAACAATATTTAGGGTTATTTAGCCTATTATAAGAGAAAAATGGGAGTTCATTTTTCAAAATTATATTTTCACCATACCATAAATGTTTAGTTAGCAAGCTGAATATTTAATTTAGAGCTAAATTTTTCTTTTACAAACAAAATATTTAGGTCTTATCTAAATATTTTGTTTAGTAAAATAACTATTTAATTTACTAACTAAATATTTTATTTTGAGCAAAATATTTAGTTTACAAACTAAAGATTTTGCTCCAAAATAAATTATTACTTTGGGGCTAAACCTAAATAGTGATTTTGCAAATGTGTTTGTGTGTGTGTGTGTGTGTGTGTGTGTGTGTGTGTGTGTGTGTGTGTGTGTGTGTGTATGCGTGCGCCTCAGACAAATCTTGAAACGGAGGCATTTGGAGTCAGTCATCCATGCCTTCATTACCTCTCACCTGGACTATGCAAATGCCCTCCTCGTTGGTGCTCCGGTCTCTGCCCTGAATCGGCTGCAGGTCATCCAGAACGCTGCTGCCAGGTTCATGACAAATACGCACCGACGTAGTCATATTACCCCTGTCCAGACACATCTTCACTGGCTCCCTGTCATTTTCCGAGTACAGTTTAAGTTATTGACTTTAGTCTTTAATGCATTTAATGACCTGGTACCTCCCTATCTCTCTGACCTGCTCACTCGTATGTCATGAGCCGGGGTGAGTACGCTTCCCATCTTCACCATCTCTGAGTGTTCTGTTTGCAGGAGAGGGAGCGGCAGCTGCATCTCGTCAGCTAATCAGCGAGTTGGATACTTAAGGAGGATGGTGAACACTACTCGATGCCGGATGATTGCTACTGACTGGTAGTTTCTAGCCACTTGTACTCGTCTCTAGGTCTCCACGTGTATTGTGTGACCTTTTGGAACTCTCGTAACTCTTGGATGTTTTTGAACAACCTACCTCAGGTCTTGCTTCGCATAAGGAAAGCCCACGCTAAATCCATAGGACTCCACACCGGCTCCTCTTCTTCATTCAGCCATCCACCTGTCCGGACCGGCTCGCTCTCCATCACCCCCCCGCTCCCTCTCCAGCTCCGAACCTTCCTCTTGGACAAACCTCCGGCTCACTACCTCCCCTTACTCACCTAGTCTCCTCGACCTCCGTAAGTCCCCACTCATTACTCCCCTTCTGGACTATATCTCCCAGGACTCACCTCTGTTGTTCTCTCCTCTAGATGCTGCCTTCCCGTTCCTTCACCCGCTGGACTTCCAGTGTGCCCTTAGTTAACGCTCTCCTTTAATAAAAGATTGTTATTTTTCCTTCAATCGTTGTCCTGTACTGATTCTGCATGTCTTGGGTTAGACTCTTGCCCCAAACAATGACAATGTACCCACGTGCATGTTGAGGTCGGCTGACCTCCTGCTGCTTTGCACTCCCTGGATGTGATACAAATCACGGGGTGAACGAGCATTTGTACATGCTGCCCCAAAGCTGTGGAACTTGTTACCCATTAAAGTTCGACAGGCTCCATCATTGGCGGTTTTTAAATCTCGTTTAAAGACTCACTTCTACGATGTAGCTTTTAGACAGTGACTCGTTATATTGTGTTATTGTTTTAATGTGTTCTTGGTATTCCTTATGTTTTATCTGTTTTGATCGGTTTTTTTTCTATTTTAGTTGCTTGGATTGGTTGTGTTTTGGTTAGCCTGGGCAGCTATTGTGCTATATAAATAAACTGTTGTGTGTGTGTGTTAAATATTTAGGTCAGACCTAAATATTTAGTTTGTAAAATAAATATGTAACTCTAATTAGTTATCTTGCTAACTAAATATTTAGTTGGGAACTTTAACATTTAGAAATTTATGAATAAAATGGTGAAAATGTGACTTAGAAAAATAAACTCTTTCTTTACTCTTAAGATTGGCTAAATAATCCAAGATATTGCTGTTAAGTTATGACTGTTATGACTTTACAAATGGCACCCCATAAATATCAGGGGCACAATTGAAGTCAAACAAATGATAATGATGAAGATCTATTTATGCAGTTCTGAAAGATAATAACCCATTTACTTTTGCAGCCCGTTTCACCATCAGAGTTTTTCCGTTTATTTGAACTAATGCTTTTTCCTTTAGTAAACATTTTTTCTTGTGTTGTTTTTATTCCTAATATTATCACTATGATTTGAGTTTTACATGAATATTGCATGTATAAAAAGCAAAAACAAAGCATTGAGTTTCCTCACCTCTCAGCTGATTATATTGAAGATTCATAACATGTTTCTGTCCTATTTTTCTGCTTCTTCCTGATGTTTTTAGACCTGATTAAATCACTTTTGCATTAATACTCCGTGTGTTTTTCCCCCCACTTACATGTTAGAAGGTACATCTTATAGAGAAGGTACTGTCATGAGTGAATCAGCAAAAATTAGAAATAAACTGCCGCCTAATTTTACCCTACTCTGAAAAATGTCTTTCTGACCAGAAGACATAAACTCTAGACTCAGTTACATATATTAGCCAGAAGGGGATGCTCTACCCTTCTAATAATTAGGTTTTGTACATCACTATTTTGTGGACTGAACACATTTAAACCTCATTATGTGTATTGTTTTTTATTATATCATTTATAAAGTCTACGCATAGAGTGTCGCTCAAATACCAATCAAGTTAAAGCTGTGGAAACTTATAAAACCGAAACACTTTAATAATTCATCACTGAGGTGAACGCTGGGAGCTGATTGGTTTGATCTTTACCTCGCTCCCTGTCTCTCTTTCTTTCAGGCTTCAAGTTAAGTTGAACCATGCTGAGGTCTCACAGTCTGCTCTGTTCCAATTTACTATTAAATCTGTTTTGCTTTTCTTTAATTGTCAATGAGAACTGTGGATTGTAAATACAGACCTATCTTCTCATTTCCTGGAGGACCAGGACTTTATTTTGAAGCAACAGGAGATAAAAGCACTGACACACCACCAAGAGCTGCCAGATCTGAGTTTTTATTTCAGATCCAAGTCATCCCACCTGAGTCAACATGCAGCAACAGCAACAGCCTGAAGCGACGCAGACACCTCAGCAAACAGCCACAGAAACGTCGGATACTACAGGTACCGCTTCAGCCTTTTAAAAATGATAATTCTTTAATTTACTTTTCCTGGAGTCCTTTATTTTAGCATCTGTCTGAATGGAAACTGCACCTTTGACTGCTTTAATTAACAGAACAAACAAAGAGTTCAGTTTGGAATTTATTTCACAGCTTGATATTGATTAGTTTTGTTGAATAAAATTCTGAAAATGACAATTTCTCTCTCTCTCACACACACACACACACACACACACACACACACACACACACACACACACACACACACACACACACACAGACACACACTAGGTGTGGGACTCGATTAAAAAAATAATCAAATTACTTATAGGCTTTGTGATTAATTAATCTTGATTAATCTCACTTTAATTGTTCAAAAAAATTGACCACAAAGCAATTTTTAATGAAAAATTATGAGGCAAAGAATCAAACAAAAGACATGGAGATTATTATTGTAAACTTAAGCTCTTTTAATCTCTAAAAAATAAGCTTTTAAATTTTATTTCAATTCTAAACTGGAAAAAAAAGGTTGTACACATTTCTGTCATCAGGGATTTCTATTACAAATGTGTAAAATTACAATAAAGCTTCCTGTATCAGTATTTTTCTCCTCCCTTCAGTGCTGTACCGTCGTCGAGGGAGAACTGCTCTCTGGGTGACCGTGTCCCTGCTGGTTCTGTCTCTGGTGATTCTAACCATCGGTCTGATCGCTGTCACCCGCACCGACAATGTTCCTGTTTCCGGATATTATTCTGGCATCACGGTGAGTGACTGTGACCCTTGTGGACCAGAGTTTCATTTCTAGTGTTGTAATGGTCCACTTTTACCTTTCAGCTCAGTTTTGGCGCCTTTCTGGGAATTGTTGGCATCCACCTGGTGGAAAACCGCAGACCCATGGTGAGTTTGTTGTACAGTTTTAATGCAACCAGTTTTATTCACTCTAAAACTTACCAGTACTTTATGTAGCATCATGTATTTAAACCCTAACCCTAAACTGTTACAGCTGTTTTTGAATCCCCTCAATAACGTAATCATTTTTTAATGAAAAACAGCATTTAATCTTTTCAATTCTGTTAAGTGAAAAACATAATTCTCCTAGTTGTTTTTGTATCATTATTATAGTTTTATTTTTTAAAACAGTCCTTAAGTCAAATAATTTGACATTTTCTTTTAAACTAATAACCTCATTTGTGCTCAAAAAGAGGCAAAAACATTACATTTTCACTTTTTTTTTCATGACTTAGGGATATAAAACAATATTTGCAAATTGGGAATGCATCCCACTTCTTGCTTGGTGTCAAGGTGATTTGTATCAGCTCTGTGTGCTTTATGAGTGTCACCATCTATAAACGAGGCCTTGTTCCTGGAAAACAGGACATATATAACACAGATTACAGGATTATATTACACACTTTGCAAATTTTCCAAACTGTTTACAGGAAATTGCTCTGTTGTGAGCAAGAAACAAATCAGATTACTTGATGGCGGCATAATGAGTTCATGGTCCTTGTGCCTGTGTTAGCATACATGACTTGATTTGTGGTTGGGGAAATTTGTCTCAGGACTTCAATGACATGAGCAAAAATTGTATTAGTATTGGTCCGATGCTGGAAGAGATCCTTTATTTTAGGCAGGAGCCGAAATAATATCATTCTGTCCCTCTGAGAAAGCATCGGCTCAGAGACTATTACGTCTGCAGCTCAGAGTCCTTGTGAACAATCAATCATCAATCAATCAATCAATCAATCAATCAATCAATCAATCAATCAATCAATCAATCAATCAATCAAAGCTTTATTTATAAAGCGCCTTCCGCAACCCTATCGGAAAGCCCAAGGCGCTGTTGTGAAAACAGTGTGTTTGACTCCAAAGGACAAAGTGTACGTTTACTTTTATTATAACAATGTATGACCATCTATATTACGCTACATTTAAGCAGCTAGGTTTTTTTGGAACCAGCTGACCCAATTTTTTAAAGTCAATCCAACATTTAATTTCTCAGAGAGAAATTCTGGTTTAAGACGGCTTCTAAACTGACCTTGAATCATTTTAAGGCCAACGCCAACCAGTTTGTGACCATAGCCATGTGACAGTCAAATACAACACAGGTAACTGGCCGGTTGCAACCAGAAGCTACTGTTTGACATTTAAGTAGGACAGTCAGTATCAGATTTACAGCACCTGAAACCCAGCATGAGACTAATCTGGTCCGAGGAGGACACCAGTGATACGTTCCCTATCCTTAATGTACTAGTTAGCATGTTCAACTCATTTTAATGACGGCGCTTAAGTGAAATTATTTGTTTTTAGTTTACATAAATGCCTTTTTTCTTATTTTTATATGACCTTTCCTTTAGTTGATTGACTAGATAAGGATCCTGAGAAACAGGAAATTCTGAGTTGCTGTTATTGAGTTTATTCATAAAGCGCCAATTCCGTTCATTATGCCAATTACTATGTAAGAAAATCAAGACTGCATCGAGTCACTGACTTGTTGTGGGAGAGAATTTACAGCAATCCCCATACTAAGCAAGCATGTAGCGACAATGGAGAGGAAAATCCCCCTTTAGCAGGAAGAAGCAGCCATCTATAGCAACTCACTGGCGTTTGAGAAGACAGCACAAGCTTTGGGCAAATACTAATAAAAGTAATAATAATAGTAAGTGTTTGTATTAGTAGTGATTCTTTAATTAAGTGTAACTATCTCCTTATTTGCTTAACAAAAGCCAAAAACAAAAGCTCGAGCGTGTTTAAATGAGGATGCATTTTTAAAATCATGATTTTGGATCTTTGCCATTTTCTGGAGACTAAAAGAATGTTCTTGGTGTGAAAACAGAATGTTCCCCGAATCTGTACATGAGTTTGTCCGCTGTGAATTTTTCATGTGGTGGAGATCAGAGTGGCTCAGGTCGCGCTGAATGAGTTTATGTGACGCATATCTGTTAGCTTGGCTGACCAGTCCTCGGAAGCAATCCATTAGCAGAGTAGCATCATAAACCAGAGGACATGAAAATGGTGTTCCTTTCTTTGTCTGTCTGTCTTTCTTTCTTTTTCTTTCTTTCTTTCTTTCTTTCTTTCTTTCTTTCTTTCTTTCTTTCTTTCTTTCTTTCTTTCATTCTTTCTGTCTGTCTGTCTGTCTTTCTTTCTTTCTTTCTTTCTTTCTTTCGCTGCACAGACTTCAACATCCCCCACACACCTCTCATTTTCTCAGTGACATCAGCTTTTATGCATCTCACTAATTGGGATAAACCTTCACCTAAAACCTCATCACTAAATAGGAAAGCTAATAAATATATACAATCATAGTTACTTAAAATATTTACACTCTACATACTTCTCTATAAATAAACAGTAGTTCACATACATCAATACTTCCCACAGTATTAAAATATCCCCAATCACACTTTCAATCCTCCTCTCGGTATACCCCTCTGATACCTATAAAAGGTGCACAAGCCCTCAGAGACTATTTTGCTCACACACCTGCTGACAGGAAACAGGAAAGGCAAAACATGCCCAAAATACAAATGTTTGTTCCACAGTCATTTCCTTGTTCCACATATCAACAAATATCTTACTTTTCACACATGATCACCTGCTAATCAATCTACAAATAATAAATATATTTGAATACCCCATGAATGTGTCTCATTCCAATTATAAGTATAAGATCAGCAGATCCATCAAGTATTGGGTGTGACAGCGATCCACTGTCACAATATCCAACAAATGCACTCTACCTATTGCTGTTAATGCAAAAAGTCTAAATAATCTCATCTGCCTTTCTATCTAATCAACATGAAAGAGCATGTTTTCTTAGATGAACGCAGGTGAGCGACCACAACCTGCTGCATCCTGGCTGCCCTGGCATCACTCCTGTTTTTCTTCGTTAAACATTAATGTGATTACTGCTGCACAGGCGCTGGTCTACGGTGTCTCCTCAGAGACACGATGTTCGTTCTCACACAGGTGTCTAATTCTTCCCTCCAGCATCTGATGCCCACAAGGTAACACGAGAGCTGGTCGGCACAGCCGAGGAGCTCATTAAAGAAAAACTAACAGTAGCACAAAGCTGGAGACACCTGAGAGCTCCGGGGCTTGTTCCTGTGCTTCCTGGGTCGCTTGGCTCTGTTCATTTGGTCCTCTGACCTCATAACGAATCAGATGGGGATGTTAATGTGGTTTGAAATGTTAACAGTGATTAAATGTTTACTGCTGTTGGACATTAGTTCCTTATGTGTCTAGAAAATTGTAATGGACTTATAAGGAAGTTTTCTGGCATCTAAAATATGTAGATTGTCTTTTTTGGAGATGCTGTAAAAATAAACAAAATACACACAAATACAAGTCAACAATGAAGATTTAGTGAATGCATTATAATAATGAAGCATTAATCAAACCTGAGTTTACGTAACATTCTTGGATTTTATCTAAAGCTTAATGACAAGTTTTTAACATAAACTGATATGACGTAGTTGAGAAATGATGAAAGAAATCCTCTCTTAAAGGTGTGGAACACTGAAAAATCATTTTTAAAATGTTATTTCTGATTAAAATTTGTCAGTCTGAGTTTTTCATGCAGGCTGAACATGAAAATAGTCTCCTACACCTATCTCCTGCATTAGCTTCTGATAGAAAATAGATGGTAAAGCACTAGGATTTGAAAATGTAAACAGCTCGTAACTTTGAAAAAAAAGTTAAATAGATTTTTTACATAATTACAATTTATTAATCCTAATCTAATTGGTTACTAAACCAAAATAAAGTCAAAGCACAATACTAACGGAGCACTTTCATCAATAATAATCAGTCACATTTTTCCATGTGTAAATGAATACATTTATCGTGATAAAATTGGGACTTCCTCTGACATTGTAAAGTTAGGTTTCTATTTGAAAAGAGAGGAGGGTGCACTTTGGCTGAAGTAAATGTCATTTCCAGGCATTTTAGTGCATTTGAACTATTTTGTTGATTTGTAATTATTTAAATATTTTTCAACTAACAACAGAAATATGTGAGCTTTTAAATCTAATGTCAATGAAAAAATAAAAATATCAATGAAATAACATCAACAAGAAATTAAATGTCTGGTCTGGTTTGTTGTTTATTTTAAACCCAATAGTCTCATTATCTGAATTTTAGAAAGGTTTTGGAGCGTGAACCAAGCTCAGTTTAATGCTGAAAATACTAAAACATTAGAAAAAGAATAAACTTCCAAATGTCATCTTCAATTAGAGATTTTATTGTTTATATGCTTTAGATTTTATGTTTTCATTGATTATATGTTAGATGTTTTACTGTCGGCCAGCCCCCTTCTAGACACGCCCCTGGATCTACCTCACTCACCTAACATTAATGGACGCACCCATGTTGAGTGGCGGTGGGAAAGGCTGTTGCTGAACATCTCGGCTAGTAGAAGCTAACCTTTAGCATTAGCAACTTCACCACACAGCTGAAGCTCCTCCAGACTTATATAATTTGTGGAGAAAAAAATATCCCTGTTGCAAGTCAGTGACAGCGTCGCATTGCTGCTATCCAATCTGAGGCGAGATGTCCAAATATCAGGAAATAAGACTCCAAAACCTGACGTCTGACACTCAGCTGTGATGTGGCTCACTTCTAGTTCCTGGAAATGCTCACATGTGTTGTTTCTCTGCTTTGAAGGTTGAGTTTGTGTCCTGTTGCAGTATTGAGATTGTTTTACCCCTAAAAGACAAAGAAAACCAATCTTTTTTTTTTGTTTGTTTGGTTAAAACGTCAAGTTCTAGTTAGCAATTAATAAACTGGAAATCATCTTTGCGCAGTATGATTCAAGCTTCATAATCAAAGTTGAATTATAGTGTCAGACACCATTTTAACTAACGGGGGTCTCATGTTACACCGATGACAGAAAAGAG